AGCTTCTAAGTCACATCTAACAAAAGACGTGGCTTTGACAGAATGTGTTTCTATAATGTCATTGTCAGTGTTCCTCTTCTGTCATTGCTTCTTATTCACATGTAATAAAACGCGTGGCACTGACAGAATGTGTTTATATAATGTCACTGTCAATTAATGTTCCTCTTCCGTCATTGACGTTATTGACATCTATATAATAAAAAACCTGGCCCCAACAGAATGTATTTATGTAATGCTATTGTCTATGTTCCTCTTCTGTCAAAGCAAGGCATGGACCTGACAGAATGTGTTCATATTATGTCATTGTCTATGTTTCCTCTTCTGTGATAGCTTCCTATTCAAATCTAATGAAAGTCGTAGGCCCGACAGAATATGTTCAATGTCATTCTATACGATCATCTTTTGTCACGGCTTCTTAATGTAGATTTTGTTGAATTTGCTATTAATCAGCCATTCCGTATTGCTTTGGATAGAATGTTGTTACTGATGACAAGTGACATTGGAATCGACCTTCTCAATTAATTGTCCATCACCGACAAATTCGCTTCCAATACAATTTCTTTCTAGATTCTATTTTATTTATTTATTCATGAATGATTTCTTCTTCTTCTTCTTCTCCTTCTTCTTTATCCTAGACAAATATTAAATATTAAATTCGACTTACCTGGGTTGGAACATGGACCATGGTTGCAAGTCCCGTATTCTTGACCTCAAATTTAAGAATCGACTGACTGTGTTTGTTATTGAAACGGTATCCATGAATCAGAAGTATTTTCTATGACGTCATCACGCTGTATATTCATTATTGTTGACGTCACTCATGTTAAATTCACGCTACCATGGAAGCAGCTTGCATCAACTATTTTGATGATTTTAGCTATAACTTCGTTCATCTTGGAACTTGATATTAATTAGGCATTCGACATATGAGGGGGGCCATCATATCGCCAAAGGTTTTTCTAAGCGTGAACAAATGTACACACAAACATGTTATTTAGTTTGTTAAAAACGATCACAATAGAATATCACGTGGTGGAGCTGCCGGCTAGGAATCACTTTCAATATTACCTTTCAATTTTTTGAAGATCTTGAACAAATCGCCATTCTTTAGTTTTTGGTTTCACAACGAGCATGGCTGGATTACTTAGTGCATTCTGATCGAGAGGGACGAATTAAGTTTTGATCCTCGCGAGTAATTACTGAATTTGTCTTTTTTCTTCCCCATGTTTATCCGGACTTATGTGATCTCATTATTCGCCATAATAATTATAGCAAACTCTTATATTTATTGCCTCAACGAAGCTGACTAATACAAGATCTAGGATAACCCAATTTGCAAGGAAAATGTTTGGAATAAAAGTGTTATTCCCCTATAAATATCTTTATGCATTGGCACGGGATTTCACCGTTTATTGCAGAATATGGTTGAATCTGATATATAAATTATTTTAGGGGAAAAAGGTGCGAGAGAAAATTTATTGAAAAGGAACGTAGCCGTAGACGTTTATACCATGTGGCCCAAAGCCGCCCAGATCTAATTTGGCTTAGAAAGAAAATGATATCTTGTGTATAGTATGGGAGCCATTGCCACGCATGGATGGACATGGAATTGATCTTACAATAGTGGTACCCTGTTAAATAAGTTTACACAAGCCCATTCCTTGTGTTCAGTTGACCTTTTCGACATCCAAAGAAACAAAATCACTGGGGAGTATCGTGATGCAACAACACCGTGTTGTTGCATCAAGATGGCCAGACTTCCGGTGATAAATTTTCGTACGATATATTGTTTCCCCAATTTAAACCCATTTCTAGGACGAATTTCTCAATAACCATACACGTGAAGTTAGCGCACGATCTATATTTAAAGAAACTGTCATTAGTATACATGTAGCATCATCAAGAAGCAAGAAGTTCACGGTTTTAGTTCCTCACTATTGATGCAACAACACCAAACCGAAGATGCAACAACACTCCTCTAGATTTGAGCAATGATGCAACAACACCAATTAATAGTATAATTTCAGAAGACCATAAATCTCGAGAGGAACAGATTTTTAAATGCTACTATTGCAACACCGGGCCAGTACCCATTTGCGTTCTTCTCAGGCATTCAAAATACACGCAATTCTTTATATGTATTTTCAAAAAATACTTTTGAATATCATAATGTACTGGAAGTTGTTTTATAACATAATTCAATCGCCTTTAACATTGCAAGCTATAGTAACCCAATCTATTATCATAAACCCCTGTTCCATAGCTTGATGACCCTGATACCAGTTAGTATCATTCAAAATGGTGGACAAACATCTTTCGTTCTCGGTAAACACGACGAGCTATTGGAAATCTTGCACGGCGCACATGTAGAAGTATTGTTCTCTTTGGATTCGTTCTCCCCGATTGAGTAAAAAGGTAGGTAATAGGATTTAGGTCCCGAAAAGGTAAATTGATAGGGGTACAGTAATCCCAGATTCCCCCTGGGCCCTCGGGAAATATCATAATGTGTCCCGGAATAAAACCAATATTGAATCCCTCTCAGTAAATAACCTCTATATAATAGCATTGTATAACTGCAATATCATTAAACCAACACTCATCGGAAGTTATGGCGTTTTGAAAACTCAAAATCGCTAAATTTGGTGCCCCATGTTAAGTCAATGGGAATTTTTTTTTTGAAGTGTAAAATACGACATATATACGACCGAGTACAGCTTAATTTAATGAAAGCCTTTAAATGAAGGGTACCTCAAAAGCTTCAAAATTTGGACGCAAAAATGTCTAGGTCAAAATCTAGGTCAAATTCAAAGTTTTCCTTATTTTTGTGATTCTGACAGTACACTTCAATTATATTCTTCGAAATTGTGTATACATGTAGCCAAGAGTGTACTTATAGTGTTAGCCTTTTGCCGTCAGAAAGTTTTTTAACCCACTTTTGAGATATGGTGTCCAAAAAGTAGGTCAAAATAAAAAATTCTCCAAATTTAACGTTTGAGTTATGAATGAAGAATAGAATTTTTCTCAGGAATCAGAATCTGCAAACCAAATTTCGATCCGACTTCCGGTTCGGAAGTTATGGCGTTTTGAAATTTCGAGAAAAATCGATCTGATGGTATCCTGATAGAAAGTCAAGAGTAGCGAAGAAAATGTTGAAAAATCCATCCATCCTTCCATCCATCCTTCCTACCCTATCCTATCCTTTCCTACTATTCTATCCTATCGTTCCTTCTTATTCTATCCTATCCTTCCTATCCTATCCCTTTTATCCCTATCCGTTCCTTCCTATCTATCCTTCATATCCTTTCCTTCCTACCTATCTAACCTTCCTATCCTTTCCTTCCATTCCTTCATATCCTTTCCTTCCTATCCTTCCTACCTTATCCTTCCTTGCTATTCTATCCTATCTTTCTTCTCTATTCTCTCCTATCGTTCCATCCTATTCTGTCCTATCCCTCCTTCCTATTTCATCCATCCATCCATCCATCCATCTTTTTCATAAAGGATGACTCGGCTTAAAAAAGTCCAGATCTGGAGTCTGAAATTGAACTTGTTCAATTTCCAAAGTCTAGTTATATTAGTTCTTTGTAAACAATTTCCATACGATACGGTAAATCAAGGGGATTTAATTTAGAAAATGAATAATCTTTATTTTTCAGATACAATATCAATGAGGTTGGCTCCCGGGAATTCAATACTTAGCCTATGTATTTAGTTTACCTTGTATATCCTTTTAACTTTGATAACATAAAGACAAATACATTAAGGAACCAATCAAAATACGTTTCATTCATGAACCACGCACTCGCGCGTTTTATTCATGTCCCGACCAACACCTATAAACAGAACATAAAACAGTTTCTCTTGATATTCAATGATACATTATATTGGCGTTTTTGCATCAGCACATTGGTGTTGTTGCATCATCGATAATAAACAGAGTGGTGTTGTTGCATCAATAGTGAGGAATTAAAACCGCGAATTTCTCGCTTCTTGATGATGCTACATGCATACTAATGAGAGTTTTTTTAAATATAGATCATGGGCTAACTGCACGTGTATGATTATTGAGCAACTCGTCCTAGAAATGGGTTTAAATTGGGAAAACAAAATATCGTACGAAAATCTATCACCGGAAGTCTGGCCATCTTGATGCAACAACACGGTGTTGTTGCATCACGATACCCCCCAGTGAAAATGTCATTATCGGCGTTAAGGCGACGATCCCTTTCATTTCTCATTGCGATGACAAATTGTTATATTTCACGATCGGAGTATATGATAAATCCAAATTAAACAAATAAGCAAATAATTGATATTCACAGAGCACAAATTCTAAAGCGAGTGACATTTAAGAGACGTTATGATAAGTAAGTAGTAATAAGTAATTTGTAAAATGTATTGATGTATCTAACTATGCACTTTGGTATATGGAAACGGTAATATGTGGAAACACTCGTGGTTTTAGATTTTCAAGATATATGAGGAACGTTTGGTAAATTTTGATACATGAAAGCATGAATAACGGTCATAATTTTCCCCATTGGAGATTGGCTCCCAGGATTCCTTCCAAATCACATCTATTTAGAGATTGGACATCAACTACTTTGATTGGTGTACTGGTGTTTGACTCTTAGATGCTTTCTTTTTCTTGCCGTGTTATGTTTTTAATCCTTTCCATTTGGCACATGTGCATACATATTCATGGCAAGATACTCAGTCATAACATTATTAGTGTTTATGTTTCTTTATTACAAATTCACATTAAAAGAATAATTTCTTTAATTCAACTTACTTGGTTTGGAAGGTCCAGCCCAACTGTGGACAGCAAATTTCCGGAATCGACTTACAATGCTTGTTATTGCAACGGTATCCACGAATCTCAGCGGTAGTGCCTATGACGTCACCAAGCTGTATATAGTTATCATTGTTAACGTCACATGTGAATGTTACATTCACAGTACCATGGAAACAACTTTCATTATTTTGTTGAAGCAGAAAATTATCATAACAAAATGATTTTTTATAGCCAAACATAAACAACAATTAATATGTGATCCAAGCAGGACTCCCAGCTGCCAAACTTAGCGGGGGATCGAATAGTGTACATGTACGTCGTGCACAGTTCCATTTCAGAAGAAATGAATAGGATATGGTATTTATATTGCTTTCGTTCTTGACCTCAACAGTATTGGGACTATAAATTAAACTGTATTAGCGAGAGGTTTGTAGGCAGAGGATTGTATCTACATCCAGTCCAATAAGAGAGCGCTCTAGTCTACAAGGATATCTATAAGGGGAGTATAATGACGTCACAATCGGCAACATATGATGCCCTTTTAACCGACACTATCGGTATTGGGCGTTACCAATATCTCTGTTCAGCCGGACTTATAATAGCCAATATCATAGAATTTTGGCAGATTTCTTTGACGAACTTTACGGCAGCGTTTATGGACCACTGGTGTCATATACCAGAGATCTACTCTGTTCTGAACACCTCCGTCCACACCGAGGATGTTATCAAGAGTGTTACGATTCCATTAGAGAATCGTGGAGGGATTGAAAGTTACAGCAAATGTCGCATTTATGCAGTGAACTTTTCAGCTTTTTCAGAGGAGCAGTTACTTAGCGGGATACACAAAATTAACGCAACGACAAGAGCTTGCAGGGATGGGTGGCATTTCGACACATCGCACTACGTGTCGACCCTTATGAGTCAGGTAAAAGGGGTAATATCCCAGAATTCACTTAGATAGATATTCATATATAAATTCTGGGATACTTCCTCCTCTTGAATCAGGATTTTTTGATTCTGAAAATAAAGAAACAATCTTGTAAACATCAACAAAAAGCACTAATACAAAACCTAATAGCATTTAAATCTAAAATATTAAGATTAAACACTGTCAAAATAGCATGTATTTTTGTCTTTCATGATTGACTAAAATGTCCAACAAATAATTTAAGATGTGTACAATAGGTGTTTATTTCTTGACATCCCAAAGAAATATTGTAACACTTAACTACAATATTTTAAGTCACCAAAACCATCAAAACATCCCTTCATGGACGTATATTATTTATGCTTAAACGAGCTCAATGTCATCAGTAGACTGAGACAATCCTTGTTTCAGCATCCCTTTGACTCCATTTACTATGTGAGAAATCTTTTTCTAGCCTTGGTATGTTCAAAATATAAACTTTGCACGAGGAGACACATATTTACAACATAAAACACATGAAATAATATAGTCTGCGTCGCCCTTTATGGAAATATCTAATAGTCTTGTTTTTTATACTCGGGGTCACACGCTGGATAAAGATAATGATGGCGAGATACAGTTCTGAATGAATGAATGAATAAAATGATAAATAAATAAATAATCCGATGCTAAAATACCAAGGAACTCAACAAGCAATAAAAAACAAATTAAAAACACGAAGAATAACAACCATCATGATCAGCCATACTAAATTCATTTTTTGTTTTCAGTACGACCTTGTTTGTGAAGATGAATATCTGACTACATTTTCGGCTTCGGCACTAGTGGTGGGATCTCTTATTGGGGGCTATATATCGGGACAGGTTGCCGACAGGTATATATAAGGTTTCAATAAGGAGCTGTTATAGCACGCGTTTTTAGGAGAACTTGTAATATTTTGAACCCGATGGATTTTCCATGCTGCTTAATGGTATCCTCAATGATATACCAGGCCAATATACCTCTCAGCTTTCTAATGATATCTTTCAGTTTTCAAATTGAATCTCCCGGCTTCAAAATGTTTCGAGTGTCCAATCATTAACGAAACTCGTATTAAAAAGTTACATGTTTTTAGGTTTGGAAGGTTAACGACTGCCAGAGTTATGTATTTCATACTGTTTGCGTCGGCAACTGGCGCCATCTATGCTCCAACATACGCCATCTATCTAGTGCTGAGGATATTTGTAGGAATTGGCCTAATTGCAGGGTATACCCCGCATTTCGTGAGTTGTGAGTATAAACTAATTTATCAAGTATTTAATATAATGGCTCCTTTCAAGTAGATTTAGACATTCTGATGCTCAGTCTTATAGATAAATAAAAAGGCGTGTATATTATTAGTAAGTGTGTACGAATATTCTTTTGGTTCATTGAGACATACTATAAAATACAGTACTCATAAGAGGGACCACCCCGTTGCCTATAGAGTATAATAACCATACACGTCTAGGTGGACTCTTGATTTGCAGGAATCAAAACTCAACTTTTGAAAAAACATATTTTACAGGTGTAGAAATGTTAACATCGAGGGGGCGGAGTGTGTTGATAATTGTAATGACGGCACAGTTTATCGTGACGTTAGGTCCGTTGCCGTTGACGGCATACTTTGTGAGGAATCATATAACTCTGCAGTTTATCGCAGCCGGCATCTTGCTCATTCCAATAGTAATCGTTTTGTAAGTTAATTGAGCCTTTCATACACTCCAGAACCTGAAGTTTTCATCGTACTGGTATTTAATCCGAGTGGTTAATTTTCCGAATGGTCAAATTTCATCGTTTTCCTAATTTTAATTTTCCTAATGACAAGAAACCCCCATTGGATAACATTATAAAGACTATATTTCCGACATTTAATTTTCCGAACCTGGCAAAAATTAGGAAATAGGCAAATTAAATTATTAGGCAAAATTACCACTTATCATATCATACTAAAGCCTGTAAGTGTTGGAATCTCAATTACGATAGTTTGAAAATGATCGACTTTGAAGATTTTTAAATCCAAAACATAAGCAGGTTTTAAAAAGTGATCCAAACTTCCTGTTGCCAATTAACTTATATGGAGGGGAGTGTATCTTTGCTTGCAGCAGATTTTATCATATGAGAGACCAAACGAATTTGCGCATAGGAAATTACAAATCATCTTTATATAAAACCGATTGTCAATGCCATTAAATAACAATAAACATATAACAAATAAACATACCAGTCTTGCTCTAGATTCACCCCCGAGAGTGCACGGTGGCATTTATCCGTCGGACAAGTGGACGCTGCCACAGGCATCATTAAAACTATGACGACGACAAACGGAAGAGCAACGCCAGATAACTATGAAGAAATCATCAAGGCTATAGCTGAGGTAAGAGAATTTTGGGTCGCATACGAAGATAGCCGATTATCTTACCATAACCCTTCAAGAAATTTGATTGGTTCCTTGAAGCACATTCGGCAATCTTCGTGATACCTTCGGTTGTGGTGGATCGGTACTCTCTCATAATTCAAAACAGTGCGTTTGTCAGTTTTTAAATCTACAATTCGAACAATCAACCTTACAACCGTACAAATAGTTTACAGTTAATTAAATTGGATAAACAAAAAGTTGATGCCATTTTCAAAATTATGAAGTATAGTGTTGAATTGCCATTTGATTGCCAACTTTCGGTGAATGTTAGGGACATAATGAAATAAACCGATCTTCTGTCTTTGAATTTACAGAACGAGCGTTCCTTAGACGGCGGACATAAGGGAACCATAATAGACCTTTGTAGAACGCCTAGGTTGAGACGTCACACATTCATAATTTTTGCGATATGGTAAATAGTAATTTCAGTATCATAATCTATGAGACTTAAAGATCTAATAGCAAAGGTTTTGCAAAAATAAATCAATGCAGTGTAAAACAAATGTATGTATAATGAAGAAATAAATATTTAATGAAAAAAATAGATATGTGTTTGTAATATTGGTATTAACTTAAGATTAAAAAGTGTCACTATCTCTTTCATTTTTCAACAAATATAGGCTCACGTGACATATGACGCGGGGCAGTCAATTTTGATCTATCGTAGACCATATCAGTATCAAACTGCCGATATTTCAACCTCGTCTTGCGAGGCCATTTTTATTTGAAACATCTTGAATTTGGTGTCAAAATAAAGCTGGTCACGCCCACTTTCAGAGTATCAATGAATCATTTACTACGACTACTATATTCATTTAGGAGGCGTGTAAAGTTAACCAATCAGAAAGACAATTGCTCCATATATGACAGTTCATTAACATATTCAGTGTTTACTATTGTTTTTCGCGTCATGACAACACGAGTAGTAACCAATCAAAATGCCGTATTTTATCACGTGAGTTCAGAGTGACATGCACGACATGTAAGTTTAGTCTGAGCTGATCGCGATGTTGAACAATTTCTTCTCGGAATTTGTCCAGAGAAATCAGCGATTCTAAATTAAGGTAGGATCTTCCATTTCTTCCTGTACAAGTTTTAACTTATCTCTATCGAATCCTAAAGTTTTGGATGAAGATATGAAGCATACGTTTAAAAACGAAGCGATTAATTTGACGATCTGATTTTGCAATTTGCAATGGCCAATTTACTGCAAGTCTGCGTGTATTTGACAAGAGATAGCGCCAAGTCTTGTATCCGAATGCTTGTTAAGCCACTCAAAAACAAGATCCATATTTTCTAAATTTGATAACTTTGCAGAGAGCCCGTTTTCATAACCTGTTTTCCGCGTCTAAATTCAAACTGAGTAGGATTATAGGATCGCTGGGATTCTCAGTCAATGGCAACGGGTCTTCATTCCAGAACGCACATTTTTTTAGTTGATTCTCCGTCATAGTACTTGTCTAAAGTCCATATCTGCTCTTTTACTGGCATACTTGGACATATTTCCCCTCCTTAAATTGTCCTCCTTAAATAACACCCTCTCGCCGATATATAGCCATTTCCCAGAACCCGGGAGTCAGAATCGCTGATGTTTGCCATATTGAACATGTTGAAATATGTACTGTAATATCTGTAATACTAGGCATTGCCTGCTACGCGTAAGGGTCACGTGACTAGCGCGATACAGGAAAAATGGGGAATTTCGAAACAACAATTTTTGGGCACTTTTATTGCAAATTTCAATTTAAGTGTTTGTGGTATAAAATATAATCCACAGACATAAATGAACATCCAAACTACATATTTTATTACGTTTTGGAGCCTTTTTTGCTTTTAAAATGACATCTTTAAGTGACAACATGTCAATATTCAGATATTGCTAGAAGAATCCCGAAATAGAAAGTGCAAATGCCTCATCTCTTCACTTGACATAAGACAAAAAACTTGAAATAGTAAATGTATAGAATCAGACAGAATAAAAATAACACGACCATTCTACTTGAGAATGTTTTTCAGGTTTGCCGATATCTTTGGAAACTATGCGATGCGCTTCAACATTGGAACCCTAGTACCTGGAAACATCTACTTGAATATGTATTTGGTATTTGGATTGGGTTCGGCCCTACAACTTCCAATACACTACCTGGCACACTACAAGATAGGGCGTGTAAAGACATTCACCATTGCATTAGTTTTATCTGGAGTTCTAAGTTTAAGCATGATAGGGCTCGTGACGATTCAAGGTACGTTCTCGATCTCAAGGTCAAGGCCGAATCGGTCCGTCTTTCAAAGTGAGTCTGTTCCTTACCCGAAATCCTAAAATAGATTCACTCGAAAGATGCTTTTCTTACCATATGCGACCAATAGATGTCAGTCCTGTTATTTCATTGAAATTAAGTATTATGACACTCTTCATAAGAATAATGAAATCACGTCATTTATTTATGCTTACTTTTTTCAATAGGTTTTATTTCATCATAAAGATGGCAGCAGTAAAACAGATTGGTGGGCCTGCCATCTCAATTCAAAATTATTTTTATCGCTCTTAAGTCTATAATTATGTTGTTTTTGTAGGATTGCCTATTCTTGCTGCTATAGCATCATTGATCGGAACTGCATTTATAGAGACAATTCATCGAATAATCTACATCTACAGCGGTGAAATCTTTCCCACTCCAGCAAGAGGAGCAGGGGTTGGGTGTGGTTCAAGTATAGGGAGGATTGGGTCACTTGTGGCACCACAGATCCCGCTGCTCGTATGTAACGTTTATACATTTTTTTGGGTTTTAACTAAACGTTGGAGAAATATGAGAGTGGCTAAACTAGGAGAACTTCAATAAGTATAAGAAAAAGTTTAGAATATTTATGAATAAAAATGTCAAACTTGTACGGTACCAGTCTGCAATCAATCTGTCAGTAGTAAGCTAGTAAAATTCGCACAAACCTAGTATTGATTCTGCACGAATTGAGCTGTACTGGCAGTGCACAATTACCATGAATTTAGCACTAATTCTGCACTGGCAGTAGTGATGATATTGTGATCAAAAAATAATTGACATATTGGAAAATCTCATGAAAGACATATAAATATAAATATTATTTAACATGAATTCAAATGGAGAAACAAGATATCATTTTGTCAAAACGAGAGACCTTTGCCTAATCATCGAGTAATTATTAATAAGATATAAGTACAGGCGTTAATTTTTTTCTTTTATAGGGCAATATCTGGTACGGTCTTCCATATGTAGCGATGGGAGTCATTCCTATTATAGTCGGAATCATGTGCTTTTGGTTACCAGAAACAATGAATAAGAGGATGCCAGATACTTTTGTAGAAGGCGAGTTATTTGGATTGTGAGTATTTTCATCTATGAAAATTTTATCGTCTTAAAGTAGATCATTATATCATTATTACCATCCAATAGGTAGATTTAATTTGACGTTTCGTCTGTTTTAATAAAAATACAACGGAGACATCTATCGAGTGTATCTGATAAAATTAGTAAACTCAGAATACTTTGGGCAAGTCAGAATACTTGGGCAAGAGTCGGAATACTTGGATGTCTAGAACAGATGGGCTTTCAAAGGCGTCGTTTGAAGTTGAGATAGGGATAATACAAGGGTTGTTCAAAAAGTTTTGCACAAATATATCTAATTATGAAAATAATTATGAACCAATCTTGTTCATAGTTGGTAGGTATGTGCCCCCATCTTATTCCCTTATACTGCTAAGGTTTCACGTATATGCGTCTTCTACTTAAAATCCTATGGTTGCTATAGTAACCAAGGCGATGACGCAATGGTTCATATCATTTTGTAAAAAGAAAACTAGTATTACTAATCATGCTTAATTTACTTACATAAACTGTCAACTTAGATTTAAACAATGTCTAGTTTTGTTCTCATGGCAAAAGTGAATTTTATATCAATATTTCCCATCTTCTTTTCTTTAATCATGCCAAATAATGACTGTAAATATACTCTTCAAACATCTTAAAAAATCACCTGATTTTATGACGTTATCAAAGTTCTCATGGATTCATGAAATATTGGAGAGTATGGCTCGAAATAATAAAGTTGAAGCAGAAAACATTGATATAATACATGATAAAGAATGGGGAAACACTATTACACAGTCAAGTTATATACATTCATGCATTAATACATGTATATATTGCATATAATGACTTCAATCACAGGCATTGCGAAGTATTCCAAGATTGAATTAGAAGGGAAGGTAAAATGTATTGAGGGTAGCTTAGTTATGAAAAGGCTCAAAATCCTATAGGTGGGGTGGTTCAGACATTTACTTATGGACTAAGCATAATGCTACAAATATAATGCATTACTAAAAAGGAAGACTACATATAAATAAGTACTTTATATTTAGATTAAATATAAATTAGTTATAACATAACCTGACTAACAGCTGAGAGAACAAAGATTGACCGAACCATTTCAGCCTATCAAAGCATTCACAAAATCAATTCAATTTAATGACGTCATATGGACCATGGGCCAATTGGTTCAAAGTCAATGTATCTCAGGAAGTATATATTGTTTATGGTACTGAAATTTCATATACGCTTGTACAATTGTAGGAAAGGTTATACGATATCTGTGACAAATTTCATGTAAAAATAATAAAATCTCTTCAGAGAAGCTTTCGTGCAAAACTTTCGAACGACCCTTGTATGTCCAAACAATCTACACATTGTAATATGTTTTATGTCTTCAGATAAATTTTACCGTTTACCATTACCTTATGCGTACACATGCACATGATGTATTTCCAGATTAAGAATAGCCAAACAAGTCTCATTTGTCCGCAATGAAACAACAAATGATAACAGTAACGGTAATCAAGACGAAGAGTGTGATGGTAAAAGGGGCCATACAGATTGTGCAACAGCAAGCGTATTTTCAATCGATCCCTATTATACTGATATTAATAGGGGCGGAAAATGTGATGCAACAGCTAGCGTAGTTTTCAAATGATCCCTACCACACTGACGGGACGTAGCGTCCTCAGATGACATAAGGGATAGTCAGTTAGAGTATTTTCCGATGCTTCATAGGGATGTACTACTCTTTTTGTAGGACGATTTTGACACATCTTTTATAATATGAACTGTAGTTTATTTAAAAGAATATACAGTTGTAACGAAGAAGAGTGCATTCTTTTTCTTTTTTTAAAGAATGAACACTTGGCAAGCTATCAAAAACCAGTGTGGCACAAATGCTATTGACTGTCACATGCCGTGCACTCATTCAATACGAAATCAAATTTTAAACTGTACCTAGCCTGTTACATACTGTGCACAGAAGCCTGTTACATACTGTGCACAGAAGCTGAACTAATTACATCCACTCACTTCTCAACAGTCAATACAAAAGAAATGACATTTTCCTTACATTGGGTCATGAGCCATTTACCTTTCATAAGAGTCATTAAGTAATAAATCATTCATACTGGGTCTTAGGAGTCTTAGACTCGGTCCAAGGCCCACGCCGGCTATTATTCCTCCTAAAAGAACTCATAGTTCAGTACTCATAGTACTCATAGTTTATCCATAATGAAACCCTCAACTCTTCTACACACTGTTGTGTCATTGCCTAAGATTGATTGTGCTCAAAAAATGTTCCGTTCGGTTCCGTTCGGTACTTATCGGGGTCTTCCGAGATATGTTAGCCATCCCCTAGTGCATTTGAAAAGATCATTGATTTCATCCGATATTTGTTGATTTTTGAAATCGACAAACATAAACAGGTGTTAATAAGTGATTCAAATGGGAACTTCAGGTTGTCAAATTTATGGAGGGGAGTGTATGTAGTGTTCTTCAGATAATGAATGATTGAGTTTCGGAGTAGGCCTTCACTGATTTGGCGATTTGGCGATTTGGCTACGTATCTGAGACGCCTGTTGGCGATGCAATGAATAACTCCTACCTGATTGACCTCCTCTTTAGGCTCTACCTGTATAGTACCCAAGCTAATTTGAATGGATACGATTGCAACTATCAATCATTGCTTCTTCCTTTCCATTATGCGATACTTATAGGAAAATTGACATGTATACCATCTGCTTGTGCCCTAAATAGACTAGATGCGAATAGAAATGATCTTGATTTGCGTCATTAAATATTCAAAATTCAGTCAAAGTGATGTCATATTTGAAATCTACATGTAAAAGTACATCTAGAAAAATGGTTTCGAAAATTGTTTATCAACTTTGAAAATTTAATTTTTCTGAAAATGTGACTTCTAGCTCGGGTTGATTCCTCATAGACCCTATGTTACAAAATCACAAAAAGTGAAATATCTTTTCTTGTATTGGACAGATAACATTTTCTTTTACTGGACATATTTTAATTTGCATAACTATTTGATACATAAAGGTTAATTACAAATTGAACCACTAAAACAGATGTAATTTAAGTTAAAGGGAACTTTCTACTATACCCGCCATGTTATCTGACCCGAGCGAGCCACCTGGTGGCGAAACTGGTAACTACCTACTCGCATCTGCGTTATTATGCGGGCGGGATAAATAAAAATAACTATATTAATTTTAACATAGTTCTGTTTGCTAATTAATTGATTTTAAATCAGCAAATAAATGAGTCTGAAAAGCCGCAGTCTGCTTCATGTCCACAGCGGATCCATGTTAAAAGGATAAGGACATCTAGGATAGGAGTAAAATAGTTAATTGATGGGTATGATGAATGGCCGAGGATACAGCCAATTATGCTCATATGTCTGCACACACAGGTACATGTATGTCAAAACATTTATCTGTTTAAATCAGATTCCTGGAGCTCACACTATTATGGAATAATATTCTTTCTATATTTATATACCCATAGTTAAGGGGTACACATAAGTTCATTGTGCTTTTGAATACAATTTGGGATAATGGGGGTCTGTTTTGATAATATACAATTGTTTAAACCTGTCAATCTATACATTTTCGTCTTTTATATTTACCCTTTGGGCAATTATTGTCACATATTTCAGGACGATCTCTCTTCCAGAAGGCGTGCTCGATTCTGCAAGTATTTCGTTCTGTGTAGCTATAGCCTTGGGTTGGTACTCTTTGGCGTAATAGTTGGTGCGTTTATCATAATTTCAACAGACTCTACAACACCTTACACAAGCACGGACGTCGTAGAGAGGACTCGGCCGTTTGTGAAAAGAGAGAAGCTCCAGAAAGGTGTCGTTTTGGTAAGACTCCATATACACTATACAGTATATACTCCCATCCATAAGATTGGCAACCAGGAGTTTTCATTTAATTGCATACCATGGTTTGTCTATAATTAAATCTTAATTTTTTCTTCACGACAATAGTTCGGAAATGTATGATAAATTTGAGGAATATTTTTAAATCACATAGACTATATATAAACAGATTCAAAAATGACTTCCGGTCATTAAACTTATGAAGGGGACTGTACATACCAAGGGCGTTACAATACCCGGGAATTTATCGGTTCGTGCAGTACTTGTTTGTGATAGCGCCCTCTGTAGGTCACTGTGCTTAATAGCCTACAGTAATACGGGGTAGGATATCGGGAATTCGGTCAGTTTCTATCCGTCGATTACGCTATGAAATGAAGCAAGTGTGACCACTTTATCCACTTAAACAATTTGATAATTGATTAAATCTTTAAACAAAATCGATAAACACGTTATACACTTCTATCTCCTTAGAAATTAGCATGTATTTATGGATTGTGTTTTCGAACAAGGCTCGACCCAGACCAATAGGGAAATCCTTATGCTAATTAGTATGACGTCATATTTTCCTGGGGAATCCTAGATTTCAAAGCCTCAGTCTGTTATTGTGTCAAATGTAAACGCTCTTTTGCAGACAGAAAATTGACAGATTAGCTTTTAACTTTCAGCTTTGATGTTTAAATATTCTGTATTTCTACCGGACTTCTTGCTGAATATCATATAATGTTATAACTTGATTTGGACCATTGCCTGATTGATCATTCTGAAATTTTGATTGTGATTCATGATTGATTGGCGAGAAAAATAATTCCTATTGTTTTCCAGCGAAGTCAAAATGTTACAGCATGAGTTATAATGTCGAGTTTGCATCATGTTAAATTCTGCTAGTGATTAGAAGTCCATGCACAAGCATACACATAAGAGACAAACACACCCAGGCTCCAGGCCGTGGATGGAAATATAAAACTATTTAAGGCACAAACTGGTATTTAATAGACCGATATGTAGTATCTGCCATGTATTGAAGGTAAACAAACGGCATTATTAATGTTACTTCTATCAATACATGGATTGTGCAATGGAAAAGCAATGGCACAATCAAAAATGTGCATATCAATCATGAATATCTCTCATTTCAAAGCTTATTTCCAACAGAATCGTGTCAAAATATGTGTCTGAGTAACAGTTATACATTATAAGATCGCAAACTCTTACCAATTATCAGCCGAACGGCTCATTTTCAACGAAATGTCCTTAAGACAACAGCCCTGGGTCGCGCCTGAGACCAAAAACTATTTCAAATAGCCCTCCCCTAAATATATTGGATAATCACATTAATGCGTGCGCGCGCAGCTCATCCACTGAACGAAATGTCACTTCCCGCTGAAATCACCGGGTATTGATCCTTCCCTTGTACATACTGGGTTTCCTAAAGGTAAGATTACTTGTGTTGCCAATTTGGTAATGTTTATATTAAATTTTGAACATATATTTGAGTCATGCTGTCACATTATTGGCGATACTAAGTAATATGGCGATACTTAGTAATCTAACCCATTACATGTAAGTAGTTCACGGGAAGTCGGACATATGGACTTACCAACGTCCTTTGTACATATAGGAAACTCTTTATATCTATGGCGGTACCTTTATCATTTTACAAAACATCTGTTTTGCAAAATAAGTATGAAGACCTTAATTAAGAATAGAAAATCAAGATTAAGAACGGTATATCACAATGATGTGCGCAAACAATTAATTAATACTGGCCATATATCAGCCAGTATAGTCTTTACGGTGTAGTACATATATACTTGCAGTGTAGGCTTAATAAAATTGATGACAGTAAAGACTAATGAAGTTTATATTTTCTTTTGTCATAAAACAACATAATTCTTGTCTTTACAGTGAATTATGATTTATTAGGTTAACGAAAATGCTTACCGGAATATCCACGATGTTTACCTGGGTGGTATTGGTGATGGTATTGACGAACCTCCTCCATCTACGTCACACATGGGAAGTTACACATCTGCAGCTGTAGCGGCAGACCATCACGCCTGCTCAGATGTTGGGAAGTAAGTCGTATATAGGATGGGAATGGACCCTCGGGTATGTGTGGGTTTTAGAGAAAACACATGATTGAAATTGTATTCTTTAGATTATAAAAGTACTGGCATTTTATTATATTGTACAATCATATATGTTTCCTTATTTGGTCAACAAACGGCTCCCCTCCAAAAGTATGATTACCGGAAGTCCAATTTGAGGTAACTCGTTAGAGGTCTGTTTATTTTTGTCGAGAAATTATTCAGTCTTAGAAAAAGTTGATCGATGTACAAAATTAAGATCCAAACACGCTTTTGTACTCTAAGTTAATTATAAGTTCTTTCAAAGAGCTAACTCATACGAATTCAAAGGGTACCAAGAACCAAGGAGATAGAGACAACACATAAACTCTCATCCAATCCTATTTGTACTATTAAATATACTTTTTTATTGTTTTATTTTTTAGAAATATTATGGAACGACAGGTTGGTTCAGCAGTGGACGCTGCAATCGCGTCAATGTTATGTGTAGGAGTTCAAAACCCACAAAGCGTTGGGATAGGTGGAGGCTCCTTCGTTACTATATACGACAGGTATATAATCATTTCACCTTTCAATTTTTGTGACTATCAGATGTGACAAATTGTTAGCCGCCAACCTTTTTCTGGACGGTGTTCGGCATTTGGCGTGTATAATTAAAATAAACTGAAACCCTCAAAAGTTGAACACTTTTTGAGGTACCAATGTCGTTCCATTTAGATCCATATGGAGGCAGGTAAGTGAGTGGAGCGTCGTACGTCTAACTCCATAATCACTGTGACAATACACATGTAATACAAAATATAAAGTGGGATGTTGCTCTACGTGTAGAATTGTCATTCTAGCATTAAAAAAGAAGCGGTTTCTCTGGATTGTCGAGAGGAGGCCCCCGCCGCAGCTTCTACAAATATGTTCGTCAACGATGCACAGGCGTCTGTATATGGTAAGTCAGATTAATAGACTACACATTCTGATATTCAACGTATTGTTCCGAAACGCAAGATGCTCCGATCTATCAAAAACAGTACAATCTCTTCAAATCCTACAAAATATTATTGTAAGCTGTGATTGGCTGGATCGATTTCCAGAAGTTACAGTCGATCAAAATAAGTATAGTAGTGCATGTATTTCATATACGAGTATTTCCATTGACTGAAACCAAAAGTCTAAGTTTGTATTCGCAAATGCAACTTTCGGCTGTCTGCTACCGGATTAACCTACAATTAGTATTTTATAATCAACTTATTAAATATGAATAAAATAATGGCAGGTACTATATACTAGTATTCATATTTGAATGAGTTGCCCATAAAATAGTACGTTAATCCGGAAGCCGACAACCGAAAGTTGCATTCGCGAATACAAGCTAAATCAAATATATAAATTAAACGTTTAGTAAAATATATAAAAAAGCGTTTCTTATTATTTTATGGTAACCATTCGTCCTTCCTTTTCAACATTATGGATATGTATGTATTCGCAAGCCAAATGTAGTTGAATATTTGATTTTTCAGGTGGTTTGGCAATAGGGGTGCCAGCAGAAGTTGCGTGTTACAAGAAGATGCATGATATGTATGGGCGTCTCCCCTGGCGTGCCCTGTTCCAGCCCTCTATTAATATGTGCCGTAATGGCTTTAACATATCTCAGGGAATGGCGGCCGCGATTGCTCATAAATCGGACCTGCTCGCGATGACCCCTGGTCTGGAGTAAGTACGTTGTACACTCCTGTCCCCATTTGTAAATGTTTATTCCCGCTCTTAATAAAGTAAGAAATATCCGACCTATTGTGAACAAAATTTAGATTTAAACATTAGGAAGGTTGATTAAACAGGATATCAAATGAGGACTTTCGTTTTTCACACTTTAGGAGGGTTGGGGTGTAAAATAAATAGAGCTCATACATGTCATAGGGTATGATCTATCTCGAACTAATTTTCATTTCCATTTATGACCATGGAACATAATTACTAATCAATCACTCGTCGGAACATGATTACTATTCAGTCACTCGTCGGAACATGATTACTATTCAATCACTCGTCGGAACATGATAACTATTCAATCACTCGTCGGAACATGATTACTATTCAATCACTCGCCGGAACATGATTACTATGCAATCACTCGCCGGAACATGATTACTATTCAATCACTCGTCGGAACATGATTACTATCTAATCACTCGTCGGAACATGATTACTATTAAATCACTCGTCGGAACATGATTACTATTCAATCACTCATCAATCATCATTACTTCCAGGTTGCCAAAATTCGTGACTAATCCAAAGACAGGAGAGCAATATAAGTTAGGGGATAATGTTAAAATGCCCGAGTTGGCCGACACACTGGAGATCATCGCGGAGAAGGGGGCGGAAGAGTTATACCATGGCGAACTGGCCAAGACTATCGTCAAAGAAATCCAAGAAGCTGGTGTGTGCCTTTAGTCTTCTGTAGAGCCTTCCTTCCCTTCACTTACTTACGAAATTATATTGGACAAAAAACGAAAACGGATGTAAATACATATGTAAAACCTGTCTAATCCGAACGCCTCTGGGACCGGCCAAAAGTGCTCAGATTAGCAGGTGTTCACATTTTAAGTTAAAAGCTTTTGAAGTCTGCTTAATATATTTTACCATTTAAATTTGATATACACGTACTATTCTATTTCCATATTTCAAAAATATATATCTTGTCTACATCCTTTGCGGACGTATGTATTTTCCGTATAATTTGCCGTCATATGATTTTTTTGTATAATTTGCTGACATAAGTAATTTCTATTCAAGGAGGAATCGTGACATTGCAGGATCTTAGGGAATATAAAGTTCTTGTTCAAGACGCTTTGAATCTAACACTTAACAATGGCGGTTATACAGTGTATGGGGCTCAACCACCTTCTAGTGGAGCCATTCTGATGTATATATTAAACATTTTAGACGGTAAGCCATTTTCAATGTTTTTTTGTTAACTATCCAAGCAATGTAGGAATTACCAAGAATTTTGCTAAATAGAATGTTACTTTCATCTGGTGTAACCCATGCATGAAATTAAGAAAGCGTACTGTTTATATTCTGATTTTACGTATCTGTTACCCTTTTGTAAGCGTTTTTATTTCTGATTAATTTCTCATTAAAGGTTACAATTTTAGTCCAAAGAGTATTGAAACCACTGCTGAAGCCGTGCTCACATATCACAGAATTATAGAAGCGTTCAAGTTCGCTTACGCCAAACGATCTCATCTTGGGGACAACAGATTTGTCGATATTGACAAGGTATAGCATTTCAATTATATTTCGATCCAAACGTGATATATTTCTTACATAAATCCGTACTCTAAGATGATATGCGTATTTCAATTGTAATCCATACTTGTGTAGCTAGCTATAGTATAATAAGTACTATGAAACATGTCTGATCCGAACGGCAAAAATATTCGTATTAGCAATAGTTCACATATCAAGGGTATTTTAACATGGAAGTATATCAGTCTATGGCGGATTAGAAAATAGGACCAAAAGACGTTCAGATTGAGATGTGTCCAGATGAAACGAGCATGCAAAAACACTTTTTTTAATTCTTACAGATAGTGCAAGCACTATTATCCAAGGAGTTTGCCAATGGCATTCGCTCAAAAATATCGGACGACACAACACACAATGTAGAATATTACGGACCTGAATTTGGTAACATAAAGGACAGTGGTACATCTCATCTATCAGTTCTTGGACCTGATGGACTTGCAGTCTCAATTACAAGTACTATTAACTTATTGTAAGTATATATCATATTTTTCTCAAATAAATTTTTTCGATTCATTTTAACGAATCGCGCGAAATGTTATACACTTCCTTACATAAATATCGAAAGAACGTTTAGTTAAAGTAGATGTTTTATTATCTAGATATTCTTCAAAGAGGTGGATCAACGTAGGGTATTGTGGTCGAATAAAGCGTTTTTCTATTTTCAGTTTTCAAAATGTTAACCTCCTCCATAAGTCTACAATCCCGACATAGTAGATGAATTAAATTCCATGTCTTCCTATTTTTAGCTAGCTAACTGTCGGCTGACGATTTTATCGCTATTTTATGGCCAACTCATTTAAATAACGGTCAAATCGTTAGCCGACAGTTGAATTCGCGAATGCTAGCATAGACTAGTGATTGTTAACAATAACCAGAATCAGTGGTCACTGGTGCGAATTAATGAGTCTTTTATACAACAATTACAATGCATTGTTCGACAATAAGGACTCTGGTAGCATTCGCGAATTCAACTTTTGATTGACGGGTTAACCTAGTCATTGCCAAGTAATATATAAACCAGTTGGCCAAGAAATAGTAGGTTAATCTGTCAGCTGAAATCATGAATGCTACCTGTTTCGAATATTTTAGAATCAGGAGTTTGGGCTAAAATCGATCTCACGTTGTCTTAATATAATTGTTACATTTCAGATTTGGTGCTTACTGGGGTAAATCAACTGGTATCATATACAATAATAACATGAACGATTTCTCCATACCAAATACAATAAATTATTTCGGTCTCCCCGCTTCCCCAGCTAATTTCATTCAACCTAAGAAGCGCCCTCTATCGTCGATGAACCCAACTATCATTACGGACAGTGGCGGGGATGTTGTCTCTATCATTGGATCATCTGGTGGTTCAAAGATTACTACAGCAACGGCATATGTAAGTAGCTTTGGAGAGGGGGAATTTCCCCAGAATTCAAAAACCTGCCCGTAAGTTTGAACTTAGAGGTTCATTGTTTACATAGATATATGTTCATCTACGAATTCTGGGATGTTTCCTCTTCTGTTACGTAACTGGTTGGTTGATTCGGCCAGCAGAAATATCAAATTCCATGTTTAGGCATTATTTCACTTCCCGAAAATTATTTTAAGGGATTGATCATTTCTGATTTCAAACTATATACATGTATACCTGCTGTACAAGGTAGTCCATGGACATTAGCACACACAGAGAATGTTTGGAAACACATGTATTTAATGATTTAGACTCATTACAATAAATTGTATTTCAGAATATTATTAGAAATCTATGGTTTGGAAAGACAGTAAAAGAGGCCTTAGATTATTCCAGAATCCACCACCAGCTAGTACCACCGTATATAGAAGTAGAAAGAGGTTTCCCAAAGGTGAGCCAAGTACTATAGTTATTTTTCATACATCGAATTCTTCAAATAATGATTGAAACGAAACATTGACTTTATTATTTGCAATGTTATTTTTATCATTTAAGAATTGAAACAAAAGTGAAACCTGTCTAATCATAACTTCAATAAGACGCGCCAAACGTCTCGGGATTAGCAAATGTTCACGATCCCAGGTTTAAAACATGAAAGCCTATGGCAGATTGAAAAAGGGACAGAAAAAAGCATTCAAGCTGAGAGGTGTTTCCATACTTAGGTTTTACTGTAATGTTGATTAACAAATTGATATTGAACTTTTAGCTTTTTCTAAATACGAATTGTGATTGTGTCGTTCTTCTTTTGCAGAAATATATTGATGGGCTTTTATCTAAAGGACATAATGTGACAATGTTAGACAGTGCAGGATCTATAATACAAGCAATACATAAGGACTCAAGAGTGAAACACGGTGCTTCAATATTTGCCAATTGTGACTATAGGAAGGCTGGAGGGCCAAGTGGTTTTTAGCAGACACCATGGATTAATTACTAATCAAAGGAATTTAGCATTCTCAGCAATACTTTATAAAATTGTATTGTACAGGTTGACACAAAAATGTGACCTTCTAATTTTGGAATAACTCAATCATGATGGAATGTTTTAAATTATCTTGCGTTAAACAGTTTCATAAATATGATACTTTTGGGACATTGCTCATTATTATATCACTATCCAGCTAGCGACAGTATGATTGGTCAAAACCAAACGTCTCGGGATTAGCAAATGTTCACGATCCCAGGTTTAAAACATGAAAGCCTATGGCAGATTGAAAAAGGGACAGAAAAAAGCATTCAAGCTGAGAGGTGTTTCCATACTTAGGTTTTACTGTAATGTTGATTAACAAATTGATATTGAACTTTTAGCTAAACTAGCGATATCCCACGCTCCCGGGAATTTTCGAAGAATTTGTTTTCGTTCAGTGTAAATAATTTAGTTCAGTGTAAGTCAAAATGACAGACGAACCGAGTAGATTCAATGTATTTCAATGTTAACCTATGACTTAATAATATTAGGGATGTTTAGCTAGACAGTGATATAATAAAACAAATATTTCACTCTATTTTCGGTGAATACCTGTAGCACTTTCACAAGGTGATATTCCACTTGCCCTTCGGGCTTTGTGGAATATCACTTGTGAAAGATGTACAGGTATTCACCTCAATAGAGTGAAATATTTGTTTAATATTCCATCATAACTGGAAATATTTAGAGATAAAGTAGACAGAAAGGAGTTTCATGTTCCAAATATGAATTACAACAGTTGATAACAATTTTTCCTCTTAACCAAATTATAATTTAACATATACGGTAGAACCTGTGTAAGTGGAACACCCTTGGAGGACTAAAAAAGTGCTCCACTTGGAAGGTTTTCTACTTACAGAGGTTCATTAACATGGAGAAGAAGATAGGTCATGGTATTTTAAAAACATGGTTCCACTTGTGAGGTGTTCCATTTACAGAGGTGTTCCACTTAACAGGTTCTACTGTATGAATTAATGTGCAATGATTGAATAAAATAATATGGAATGAAGTGTGGACAAAACAGATGTTTAAAATATTACAATCAACATGACAAATAAAAAAAAGAAATGTAATAAAGAGCTACAACAATTATTTTGATGTATATACAATATGTACAGTTGAATATGTACAATTATTTTATTCACACATACTTCTTCAACAGATCATATTTCCAATTTCAGTTTCATGAACCTAAAAACTAGGCAAATGTTTTCAGAGCTTTTCAATAGATATGATTTTATGTTAAAATAAACTTTTACAGAGATCTCATCTGTTACCTATCCCTTGTGCTGGCCTACTGTTATCACTTTAAACCATGGATAGTTAAATGACTTGACATTTTCAGAAAACAATTTAATATTGATAGTTACTGAATATTTTCTTTTACATTCTACACACAAAAGAATACCACATAATCCTTTCTCACCTTTTTGACTTACTGTGATAATTAACAGTTGACGGATGGCACAAACAGTTACTTCTTTAACAATGAAACCAACTACAGTATTTCACAAACATCTCCAACTGATATCTTGTCACGATGTGGATTTTCTTGGATGGAATCTGCTGTTAATATATGCATTTTTTAAAATATACACTTGATTATTTCTGCAGAATAAACTGTTCAATGAAGTCATTTTGTTCACTTTCCTCTTTTTGTAAATGTTCATACTGCACTCGGAGTCTGAAATAAATAGAAAGTTATGAAAAATAGTAAACATTCACAATCTATAACAAATAAAATATCTGTAATTTGACATCTTGCATCCACTAAGAATTTTGAAAAGCAAAACAGTACCCTCTTGAAAACTCATTGCATCCACTTGAAAATAAGAAAAGGGCATAAGTTGGGTCAAAATTATGACAATGAGAATTCTACTGCACCAAATTAAAAAAAAAGAATCCACAGGGCAATGCGTCATGTATATTACCTCTCAAGTTGCATCTTTTTCTCAGTAATAAGAGCCTGTAACTGTTGTTGTTGGGCCTCTCTCTGTTTCGTTATAGACTTGAGAAGATTTCGAGATCCAATAGCCTGAACAAAAAATGTAATATTAAATTTATTTCACAAATCCAAATGCATTGGGTCAAATAGATGACAATTCAGGATTTTTGGTAAAAATCGGTCACGCATAATTATGTAAATGATTGCAAATTCTAGTCAATTCATCTTAAAATGGCTCAATAAACTGATAATATCAGGTCTCAAACAAACAGTTTACAATTACATGAAATACATGTATTTTACCTTCATTTTCTCCTTTTCGACTTCTGATGCCACAGTATCAACCATTCCTATGAACGTGCCTACTATGCTCTGAAACTCTGACATCTCTGTAAAATAAAAAAAATGTATATGTTATTACTCTTCGAGTAATTTGATCTTAGAGAATAGCATTAGTTCAGGTTGAATATTTTTCGATTGATATTTTTCTTGACGACAGGATAAAATTCATTTTCATATCATGTTACTAATTTTCTGTCACTCACTGTCTACGAAATCTTTGCATTCTTCCTTTAATTCTGTAGTTTGCTGTTGAACTTCTGGTTCCAGCACCCTGATCTTGTTTAATTCATCAAAATGTAGTCCAGCTTTTGCTAGAGCTTCATCCGCCATTTTGAAGCCAGGAATTTGTAAATGCAGAGCTATAATTCATTTTCGTAGTAGAATCAATATTTGTTCTAAAGTAATTTCAACCAAATAAAATCTATTTATCAAATAAAAATATAATCATTCAATTGTTTAATGCAGTTTATACTGAAATTACTGAAGATATTCCCTTCAATCATACTGCGCTGATTGCATACGAAGATAAGCAGTAGCTCTGTGCAACTACACATAAACAATTGACGTCATCAAATCATGAGCACTTACTCATTTTCCTAAAAATAGAAAATTTACTATAAATTTATAAAGAATCTGCGTTCATTGACATATTAGAGTTAATCGTTCGACAAGGACACAGAGTAACTGTTCCTCGACTATTTTTGAATACGAGGGTCTACCTGTTTGCCATGTCTGGTGAACAGAAGACCGTAATACAGGGAGGCGCAGCAAAATATGTCAAATTGAATGTGGGCGGGTCCCTTCATTACACCACAATAGGGACCCTGACAAAACAAGATACAATGCTAAGGGCAATGTTTAGTGGCAGGATGGAGGTACTCACAGACTCTGAAGGTATGTGGTATTTTTAGATCATCATGTATTTCAAGATCTTCTCAGAATCTTGTGAAGTAGGCGTTATAAACTTATTGTATGCTACGACCCCACTTACGAAGTGGTCGTACGGCTGAATCATTGGTCAGTTAATGTTTCTACAACGTTTGAGAAAATACTATGCATTTCACCCTTGAAATGCCTACCTCGTTACATTCCTGAGTATTTAAGGATTCTTTTAATGCAGTTGAATTACCAATTGTATAGGTTAATTGGCAGAGCGAAGTGATTTTCGTTTCACATTGGGAATATTTCAGCACTTTTCTAACAGCTTTTAGATTTGGTATGTTTGGTCATTGAAACTCTAATTTGTTATGACCAAGAATAGTCAAAATGATCTAACCTTCTGACTCATGATTCCTTTTTCATGAAATTCTTAATTTCAGAATGAGCATATTTATATAATGTCAGCTATCATCTGATACTACAATGTTATAGTATATATATTTTGTTTAATAAAACTTTTTGAGAAGCAGAATTCATCTATGTATACTTTTTTATTTTAAAATTTTATGCCTCGCTCTTTTTATCTAAATGCAGAGTTGGTAACTGTTAATCTCCTTGCTTCCTAATATCTTGCTATGAGGTCCTTAATTGCATCCCAGTTACACAAACTATCATTCATTTTACATTAAGTTAAGGTAATAGGACTTTGGCGAGTGTTTGATGGTGATTTTCTAAAAGGTTTAAAAGTTTTACTCTGTTCCTTTTTTTTTATTTCTCATAAATAAAAACAAATAAAATTTTTTTAAAATGCATATTGCATTTTACCTTCAAGGAGCAGTTTTTCAAAGGCGATTTATTTCTCTCAAAGCTCAAAATATTTATATCTTTACCACCAATTATCTGGTCGGTATAGAACTTGTGTACATCATGGGCATTGTAAGAACAGTTCTTTCTATTATTCATTTTTATATCAATAGTTATTACAAAAGGCTGTCCCCTCACAGTTCCTCATACGATTTCTGTGCTTTCTCTATTCCAGGTTGGATTCTCATAGACAGGTGTGGCAAACATTTTGGGACAATATTAAACTATTTACGAGACGGTTCAGTCTCTTTACCAGAAGCTAGGCGGGAATTAGGTGAACTGTTATCAGAATGCAAGTATTATCTAGTCTCAGATCTTGTACAAATAGTTGACTCAGCACTGAAGAAAAAGATTGAGGATCAAGATCCAATATGTAAGGTGCCCCTTATTACATCTGCCAAAGAAGAACAGGCCTTGCTGCACAAGACAAATAAAGTGAGTGTTCACCTTTAAGAAATATTCATTCAGAGTTCACACCTTAAGGAATATTCATCTCTAGTTTTCGACTTCGACAAATATTCATTCTGAGTTTTCACCTTTAAGAGATATTCATCCCAAGTTTTCACCTTAAGAAATATTCATCCTTAGTTTTCCCCTTAAAGGAATGAGTTTTCACCATAGAGGAATATCATTTTTAGTTTTCTCCTTAAATGATTATTCATTCCTAATTTTCAACTTAAACTAAAATTTATCCGAGAGTTTTCACCTTAAAGGAATATTCATCCCTAGTAATCACCTTAAAGGAATATTTATCCCTGTATATATAAGGCCTTGAAATGTAAAAGACTGCAGAGTATTGCAAAACATATTGCTATGAATACTCGATTAAATCTATCATTTACTGTCTAAAATGTTCTTTTATTTAACTCTATTGCATTGAGCTCACCATAAGAACACCACTCTTGTTTCTGCTCTTGTTTTTTAAGAAAATGTACATGAATGCATAATGGCCTCTCCCCTCTTAATTGTTTTTTTTCTGGGAACCTAATCACGACTATTTTCTTTTTACCGTTACCTCAATTGACAATTGGGCATGTAAATAAAACAAAGGAAAGAACTTACCTTTAGAGAACCGTAATTCTACACTTGCAATTTTTCGCCCTGAAAATGTGTAGCACAAACTCTCCTCTACATGTATTAAGAAAATGTTCTTATTTCTTATTCCAGCCTGTTGTAAAACTACTGTGCAATCGCCATAACAACAAGTACTCATACACAAAGTAAGTTATCATATTCAGTCCAAAGCCCAGCCTAGATATAATGTTACAAATTAATAATTTCCAACATATATGTTAAGGGCAACTGTGAAAAATAAAATGAAATAGTCAAATTCCATATGTTTTTACGCTACCATTCCTTCTTAGTGAAGCATTTTTATAATCTTTAACTTAAGGCATTTCATTAGTCATTGCATTTTCTTTAGTCATATCATTTCTTTAGTCATAGCATTTCTTGAACATATTATTTATTTGGGTTATCATTGAATGTTTTGTTAATTTTTATAAATCACACTTTTAGCCACAGAACTTGTATTTTGTACATGTATATCTATACTTGATTCATAAAATTTCCATTTCAGTAACTCAGATGACAACATATTAAGGAACATTGAGTTATTTGACAAGCTTTCACTCCGGTTTTACGGTCGTGTATTATTTATCAAAGATGTTATTGGAAGCCAAGAGATCTGTTGCTGGTCATATTACGCTCATGGTCAAAAGATGGCGGAGGTCTGCTGTACTTCTATAGTGTATGGCACTGACAAGAAACACACAAAGGTAAAAAAAGGAGCTAAAATATATTATTTCACTTTCAAAGTGCTTTAGTGTTGTTGTCTTGCGCTGATTGACTTACATGTATTTGTTTTTCTGTTTTTCACATCAGTCTTGTCATCAAAATTCCAGGAAAAATTCTTCCTTCGTTTTCTTTTTTTTCGGCACAAGTTTTTCAACTTTGATGTATTAATATGTGTATTAGTATAATGTAAATGAAATAAACGGGCTATAAAAGCCGAAAAAAATCCAGGAAAACTGCTTACCTGTTCAGCTTGAAATTTTTACAGATGCAAGAGTAGACTAGTTACAACATCTGATTTGAGCACACTTGGCAAATTGCTTGGCATCTGGAATATCTTTGATAGAAGTGTCAGATTTATTGCAGTGTGTCTTGTTTTGGATTTGATTTTCAAAATTAATGACATGTAGGCTACTGATTACTGTTTTTGGATATAAACACTATGATAAATTATAACATACCTATGACGATGTATAGTGCAAAGTGTACACAAGACAGCGGGCCAATATAAGTTTTGAAAAGCCCGCGCCCGCTAACTTTCTGATTGGTCAAGGCACTAACGTCACAACCAATCAATCGAAGATAAAACTGCGCGAGCAATTTTTCTAAACTCATTTCAATCATTTTCAAACCATTTGTTTGTCAATTCTATAAGAAAACGGCTCTCTCTGACCAGTCTACATCATCATAGGTGTGTTATAAATCGTTTATGTCACTATCGTGGCACATATGCCCTCGGTTCTCAGAGATCAATGTCCCTCCCAAGGTCGGGCCATATATCACTGAGACCTCGGGCATATATGCCACGATAGTGACATAACCTCTAAATATGATATAAAAAGTCCCCCATGGATAAGATAGCTTCTTGTGAAATATAGCATTGATGGGCTATAATCGTAATACAAACCTTCTTTTCTGAAAACATTGAAGTTTGAAATATTTGCAACATGAGTTTCCCAAATATATTTAGAATCAAGATAAATTGATCCTCACTAGGTCAACAATTTTTTCAAAATCTTTTATTTACTACAAATAATTATAATTGCTTTTTGTAATTTTCACTCTTCCATCTGTCTGTCCCTCTCTCTCTGTTTGTCAAGACTTCAAACAAATGAAAATTGATATTTGCCTTAAGGAATAGTTCATATCCATTTGATCGGTTTCATACTGGTAACTTACAACATTGGTACTGACTCTAAATTATGCTTCATCAATTGCATTTCAGGTTGAGTTTCCAGAGGCAAGAATCTATGAAGAGACATTGAACATTCTCCTCTATGAGGACAGAAATAAAGGCCCTGATGCAGAACTGATGCAGGCCACCAGGGGGTACCCACCTAAAGGTGGCACTGCTAGCGACGAAGAAGAGGAAATGGAAAGACATGAAAGAGATAAATTAAGGCGGAAATAATGAATGAAGATTTATTGAAAGAAATCAACATTTGGAAATAACTGCAGTCTGTAGTTTTGAAATCATAAATGGCCAGAATTTGTCGTTTGATTAAAAGCTTTAGAAGCATCACATTAACAAAAAATCTGGTGAACACCCTGTTTTGACAGAAATTATCACCAGGAAATGAAATTAATTTTGCATTTCTGATATTTTGAAACAATATTTTTGTCTCTTTGGAGTGTGTAATGTTTTTGACATCTAACAATAAAAATCCTACAAGGAAGCAACTTAACGAGCGGAATCACAGATGCATTTGATTCTTTACTAAGTTTGTATATGGAAGACATTTTTTCAATTCATTGAAAATATGAATATACACGGAACTGTGATCTTAATATTGTTTTCTAAATGATTACCTTACATATATTTTAGAATGAAGTGACTGTATCTATTGTGCGTACACTCCCCTCCATAAGTTTGGAAACTGGAAGTCGTCATTAAGAGTGTCTTAAAACCAAATATTCACTGGCTTTAACACGAGACGCAGAAGTGGACATCTGGTTGCCAAACATTTGGCGGGAGTGTATCTCTCTTCAGTGACAAATTGGTCCGTTGCCATTTGCAGTTCAGCAAAAACACTCAGCATTTTCTGTAGTAAAAGTCATCAATATTGACAAAGCGTTTCCATTGAATGAGTGCTTAATGCCACATTGGTTCATGATGAGATTTCTGTGGGTTACTTAATAAGAATGATACAGGGTGTCCATTGTGGCTGTGTCACCCCATCATAAAATAACTTGACACAAGGTATTCAATCATTTTGGCTGTCTCTCCACCACAGCATGAATTAGCCATTCATGCTATATATCTTTAGATGGAAAATTCAGTTCAAGATAAAATACCCCTGAATGACCATGTTGAAATGTTACTTGAATATTTCTCATGCACTTTAAGTATCCTGCTATTTTGTAAAGATCAAGACAACCAAAGTGAACACCCTATAGTAGGGACAAAGTATTATTAGCTTGCCAATTGGCCAGTCAAGTTGAAAAATGCTTGTAGGAATATTTCCTAGAATGATGGACATGTTACTCACTAGAATTATTTATTAAAATAAAATTTATACAAAGAGTACATATTTGAGAATCTTTCATTGGCTGTTGTAAGCCTATACATGTGTTTCATCTATCGTGCCTCAATCTGAAGCTACAGAGATACAGGATTCCCGGGAAGAGGAGGGAAAGCCCCAGAGCTTTACCGATGACTGACATATTACGTACGTCTCTTGCGTACCACCTTCGTTTGCGCAAATTCTCACCAGTCAGTTTTCGAATATAACTCATCATTGTGATCTCTTAATCGATTTAAGCATATTTCTTAAATATTTCTTTATCTTGATGTGAAATAACAAGCTATGATATTGGTTAACACGCCAGAAATTAACATAATATTATTTGAAGCGTTATTAGAAAATTTTGAATCCGCCATTTTTGTTTGTCGTTTTGATCAATCAGAGACGTGGGTCATCTCAATACAGGTTTACATTATAAGCGTATGTCATCTTTGAACTCTGGGGCTAATCCCCCTCTTATTCTCGGGGAACTTGTTTCTAATATTTGTATGTAGATGTCAACCGTTGAAAAATATATTGAATATTCCGATCCTTTATCATAAAAAACAAATGTATTAGTTGTTAGTCTGATCGAAGTTAAAACAACTCGGTGATGGCCTGTCATCTATTTTGATATTCTCTTTGACATCCAAAATGACTTCAGCACTTTTAATTTGAGAGCCGGTAAACATTACATGTATGGTGATTTATAATATCAAAGGCGTTTGGCATTTACAATACGAGGGAAGAAACTACCCTTCATGGCCAACAGTTGTTTTTTCAAGATTTTTAACCACACGATTTAACTCCACAGCCTTGCGAATCCTTGTTCTTGTAGCCGAGCTGACAGTGGATTGTGCGCGCCCTGAACTTGCACGTGAGTTTTGATTGGGCGTGCCTGGTTTACTGTTCTCTGGCTTTGCTCCACGGGGCCTGGATGTTCCAGGTCTGCTTTGTGCAGGAGTTTGCAGAGGGGATGCAGATTTAGGGGAGTTTATACCAGGCACTGTTAATAATTTTATTGTTTTAAGCGCTAAAGCTTTTCTTTGTTGACGTCTCCTTTCCTCGAATACTTCTGGAATTTACACACAAAGCCCTACATCTAGATGAATATATTAATAGATGGCAGTAATAGTTTTAAGAAAACTGAATAAATTAAAGCAAAACTATATTTACTTTAAACGAGATGGATCTTGTTCACACTAGCTAGGACCAAAACGCCACCTAGACTTGCACTCCCTAATTAAATATGCTTGTATTTTTCCTTGTAGTTATTGTTTGATAATACATTCTGAAGTAAATGCTTCAAAGGGTGACACTCTCCATTGCGCAGATTCACCTCAAGTCAACATCAAAAAGAACATTTATTTCTCATCTGATAATGTAACAGACAGTTTACCAGATTCTGGAGATACTCCAGTAAGACCACTCACGCGGTAGTATCTCTTCGGGACGTATCGAAACCACTCCGTCCCGAAAAACCGTTAGTTTGAATTTAAAACCTACCCCAGTGTTTGAAAATAAAGGATTGTGAGTCTCACACTTCACCGTTTTTCTTCAAACTTGTTCCGTACAAAGCTTTACAGAAATACCTTTCAGTCGATACATTGTTTTCGTATACAAAGTACCTCGTTTTAGCGGTGTTTTGGTCCCCAGCTTTGAGATAAAGCAAATTTTCATAACTTTCAACTGTAAGTCAAGTTATCTCGCCAGTCTTTTACCCATTCTCGCCCATAATTTCAGAATGGACTCCCATTACAACCTTCCATCGCTACGTCTTGATTTTTGGGCATCAAACGCAGCAGTTTCTAAATCATCCACACATCTCTTCAAATTTGACCAATACGTCCCGTCATCTTCCACTACGCCCCGCCGAGTCTATTACTATACACGTAGAGTTGCATTCTAAAACAATTTGTCCATCGATGTGTCCGTTTGTAGGTTGCCATTGTCGATTCTAAATACCAATCGGATTGTGTTTTAAGATTTACCCTTTCTTGTCCATTTTCAATATACCTATAATAGGGTGGTCCAAAATCTCCCTAAAATTTAGATTTCCCGATATTGCAATTTAAAGATTTTAATTACTGAACAATTGAAAATATTTTTAAGAAACGTTTAAAGTGCCATATCCTTGAAAAAATGTTAAAATGCGAAAGAATGGGTGACTTCAATTATATTATTTTCAGCATAACGTTAGAAACATGTATCATTTTATATGGTACACGTTTCATAATGTAATCCAATGGAATCATACAGAAGAAAGGTTGACATACAACAGTTAAAATCTTTATATTACATTATCAGACCAAGTCAGTAGATGTTGTTTATATACCAATTAGTGTTGTATGATGATGCATTCTTTATATGAATCTAGAAACGTTTTTGTGCCAATATTGCTCAATTTTGATAACATCTCCGTTATTTTGAAATTAAGCGTGGCAAAGTTTCCCGATGGATTTAGCTAAACAAAAGGTGCCTGTAGGGTTATTGAAAATCATACATGATGAAGAAAAAATACATATTCCTGAAATACAACAGTTTAATTTTGAGTTATAAACCATTTATGAAAACGGCATATTTGTCAAATTACCAAAACTTCAAGTGAGACGCGTGGCAAAATTTCCCAGGGGTCTAGAGTGGAAATATTTGTACCAAGAGTCAATTTGTAACTAGAATCTATCAGATGACAGATTTTTGGAATTTTGCAGATTTGGACAACCCTAACCTATAACTTTGTTGAACCTGAAGAAACGTATCAACTTTTTGTTAAATAAAGATAGCAAATTCAGCTGTCTACTGTACCTAACTTGTACTTTTTGCTAGTACTCAGATTGATGGATATTCTGTCGTATGAAATGCGACAAACATATCAATTCTCATGGGTTTACATGGGAATTTCGATTTTCAAAAATTCATCAGATTTATCATCCATTTCCGATCTATTGTAATTGAGGAAAAACATCAAGAAAATTTGGAGGTATTGGGAATACCTCACAAAATCAAATACAGGACAATTGCATATAATTAAAGTTAAAAAGCAACATCTTCACAAACATTTAAATTATCAATTTCATGCAATCAGTTATAGTTATACTCCGTATGTATGCTAAACTTAAGACTGGTGTTAAGAATCGACCAAGGCAAACCTATGTAAAATTACACAACGATGAACAAAATGTTTTAGAATACAACTCTACGTTTGTAGTCATAGACTCGGCGGGGCGTAGTGGAAGGTGACGGGACGTATTAGTCAAATTCTAAGAGATGTGTGGATGATTTAGAAACTGCTGCGTTTGATGCCCAAAAATCAAAACGTAGCGATGGAAGGTTGTAATGGGAGTCCATTCTGAAATTATGAGCGAGAATGGGTAAAAGACTGGCGAGATAACTTGACTTACAGTTGAAAGTTATGAAAATTTGCTTTATCTCGCAGCTGGGGACCAAAACGCCGCTAAAACGAGGTACTTTGTACACGAAAACAATGTATCGACTGAAAGGTATTTCTGTGAAGCTTTGTACGGAACAAGTTTGAAGAAAAACGGTGAAGTGTGAGACTCACAATCCTTGATTTTCAAACACTGGGGTAGGTTTTAAATTCAAATTAACGGTTTTTCGGGACGGAGTGGTTTCGATACGTCCCGAAGAGATACTACCGCGTGCCACTGCAGGATTAAACCGTGGGCCAAAACTAACCTTTGACCTTTGCTTTGACCTTTTCAAGGTCACTTATTTTACGGTCTTCTTCATCAACACCTTCTTTTATCTCTGCTGCCCTCTGTCGGCGATTTGCTGATTGCATTCTTGCAAGCCGCCGTTTGTATTCCTTTTGACCATCTAGTAGTTCTCTGAGAGGAAAGCAATTATAAAACGTCTAAAGATCGAGCACTTCTTTCACATTAAAAAAATTCTGTAATAAGTTTCCACTTATTTTTAAAATACAGTATTTCCGATATATTTTCCAATTTTCCAACTACATGTACATCTCGTATAAAGTTTATTTTATGATACGTTTTTTAGAATCGAATTTATTAGGCTGACGATTTCTGTTGTAAGAATATACGAGTATAAAGATAAGATATAGAAATTACTTGAAATCCACTTCACCATCTCCATCAGCGTCCATGTCTGCTATGAGGCGATCAATAGTCTTTTCAGACATTGGCATATTCACACTCTGGAAGAGGGCATCAGATTGAATATTTCTCTCCAAACGTTTTGTTTTCACAATCACATAAGTAGAAAGCAAAGACATTGAAGACGAAACAGAGGGATACGATTAAGTATGTGACTCCTGTTTAGTGTGCATTTGACGAATATCGGTGGGAAATAATTAGTGATACAAATGTAAAAGCATGATGGCCAGGCCAAAAACGGAAAAAGGAGGCACAACCGGTCACACAGAATTTTCTCCTAGAGTCCATAAACAATGATAAACAGAGCTACCACTTTACAACATTAAGCATTAAGCGAATGTCAGTACTATAAAATGTGAGAGAAAAATAAATCAAAATGGTTGCTAAATCATAACGGATTGTACATACCAACAAACCATTTCTGAATTCTTCGTATGTGAGAGTCCAACTCCCATCCAAATCTAGACTCTTAAAGAAATCGACAAGTCGAAGATTGTGGTATTTCATACATTCCATAAGTACCATCATTGGATCCAACTCCTGAAAAATTTGGACAGAAACATTAACTAATGACAATGTTAATGATACAACATGAGCATCAGCTATGAATTGTCTAAATCAGTTTGATAAAGATATATTTATACGGAGCCATCCTTTACACTGGCGGATCAAGAAGCCAACAAGGGGAGGGGGGGGGGGCGGGGGCGGGTCCACATTTCAAATCAGAAAATGAATTCCGCGCTTGTGCGACAACATTGAACAAAATTTTGGCCTAACGAAAAGGCCCGCTAATTAAGGCACTACAACTACTCAACTTTTTGATATAACTTACATCAAATCCATCCCCATCACCATCCTCTTTACCCTTATTGTCCTGATCCAGAATCACGCCATGTTTCACCCCAAGTGGACGCTCCCTGTCCTCTCCTATCTTTTCCGCAAGCTCTACAAACTCTCGTTCAACACACTGCTCCTAGGGATTGAGAAATAGTAAGCAAAGTAGAGTTTTGACAACGGCTCGCGATGACCCGTTAACATAAAGATGAAACACAATATAAGCTCAAATATTTCAATGTACCGTTGGAAAGCTGGAGCATGTTTAAATAAACAACATTTTCTGTTCACCATTAATCGATTTACTACGAAACGTGTATTTGCATTAGGAAGCGAAACGCACCACTGTAATGTGCTGACAGTTTTAACATTTTGAATCTCTCTTTTCCTTGATCTGCTTCTTGTTCAGTCATCTATTTACATGCACAATTTAATACAAGAAGGTTTATTTATCATATAGTTTCTTACCCCTAAATCTAGAAGGTTAAACGCAGAATCTGGCATCATCTCTACTGTTCTTAGAATGGCCATCGCACCCTCAGATCCAATTGGATTTTCTGCAATCTACAATGAAATATACACTCCCCTCCATAAGTTCGGCAACCAAGAGTTTTCACTGGATTGCGTATCAACGCTGTTTGAATCTTGTTCCTTAAACTAGTTCGGATGACCTTGACAATTTTTAAATCGCCAGATATAAAATTGAACTTTGATAAATGATCGAACATGGGGACATTCGGTTTTAAATCTAATAGAGGGGATTATATATACGATATTTCATTTCAATTTACTATTTTGTAATAGAGAGAAATCTTTCATCGAAACAAATAATCCACTACATTGCAGACTTATAAACGAGATATAATTTCATTGTATTGCACAATGTGGCTTAACTCATAATACTTCATACTTATCGTCTCCATAATTTCTACTGAATAATTTTTAATTTTTTTAATAACTACATGTATTGCTAACCTTTAAAGTTTTCAAAGAAGTGTTCTTTTTTAGGCCTTTTAGTATTTCTACGAGACAGTCTTTGTTTATCCTATTACAGGAAATATCCAAATGTTCCAGGATGATATTATGTTTAAGGAGTTTACATAGCTCAATAGAGCCATCCAGATAAAGACCGTTCCAAGAGAGATTCACAGATTCCAGGTTACTGTTGAGCTGAAAAAATTTGCATATAAAATATGATGGGAGAAACAAATAGAGAAAAACGACAACTAAATACTTATATGAAATATAGATATTGTATCGAACTCTTTATACTGTAGTAATGAATGGTAAAGATTTGATTTCTTTATTGACATCAATGAATGAATGATGACCTACGATTATTTGACATAAAAACAATTATTGAATGTTTTGACGTAATATTCCTTGGCATATATGTATTGAATACAATGAATGAATGTTGACTTACGATTCCTTTACATATTAAAAAAAACAATGAATTAATGTACCTTGGCAATATTGAATACAATAAATACTAAAGTACTAAAGAATATTGACGTACGATTCCTTGGCAGATTGCTCGACCACCCTCGCGACGGATGTGGTTCCACCCGAGGTCAAGATGACGTAATGTGTCGTTATTTTCACTTCCTGAAATAAGATGATTATGATCATAAAGATCTTAACTCAGTAGAGTGTTTTCATGTCAAATACTTTCAGTGAGCGACTGAGAGCATCCTCCACTGGCTAGAGCTTGACTATAGAGTAGTACTCCTATACTAGTAAATCATTTCGTCCAGAGCATGTGCATTTTAACATTTCTAGCTCCTTACTAAATTATTAGGTCAAGGTCATGTTGGGCATAATTAGGTGCACGTGTATGTACTTAAAAGGTCAAGATCGTATTGGGGATGGTCACGTGTATGTACTTACTCAGAGCTGGGCCAAGAAGTTTTCCTCCCTTTTCACACAACATATTATGATGCAAAACCAATCTTCGAATTGTAAAATTATTCTGAAAAAATAAAAATGCATTATTATAGAGGATTACGTAAAATGTGTTATTACAGGAGAATTTATATAAAACATTAAATTATTTGATACTAGAATGCTTAGTAAGTAAATAACTGCTTCATGACCCTAATTGACCTTTGACATTTTGGTGGCATTCAAAACATGAACGTGATCATTTTCAAATATGAAGGTGTAAATATTCTATCTATTAGCCTACCGAAAGTAAATCGTGAACGTGATCATTTTCAAATATGAAGGTGTTAATATTCTTTCTATTAGCCTACCGAAAGTAAATCAACCAAGAGTGGCGCATGGGCGTCAGTAAATCCATTGCCTAAAATAAATCATAAAGATAATTAAAAAAGGCAAAATTAAAAACGCAAGTATTCACATATTACAGCATAGTCCGAATTCTACAGTACAGAGAATTATGACATGCCATCATAAATATTTCTTTAATGGATTTCTTTCTTTAAATAGAACGGATTTTTGTTCCAAGTCGATATATGTTTATTTAACACTAAAACACGACCAATTCAAATAATACAAATATGATGAACTACCCTAAGTCTCAGAACTAGTTCGTACTAGTAATTATATTGTATAAACTCACTTTTAAAGGACAGAATTAAAAGCAAATCACTGACCCATGGAAAAAGTTGAATATGGATTATCTTTACCTGATAAATCTAAGTGCTCGATGGATCTATTTGTATGCAGAATTTCAGTTAATCTTTCCAGACCCTCCATTCCTATATTATTCTCAGAGAGATTCTGGAAAAAGGATTAATTGTTAAAACCTTACATATAACTTCGCTATTCACTCAGTACTATAGTTCTTTTCTCATAGTCATAGTTTGATGAAATTTTGTAAACTGTTATATAACCTTTATTTCCAATACTCGATTAACAGAATGTCACGTACAGTTCTACTTGTTTCTGCTTGTCTACACTTTGTACCTCTTTCTCAAGATTTAGATCTACTTTCACAATCCACAGGCAAGGCAAAGTTGAAAATAATAGGCATAGGTGGTTTATTTTTCCCAAATGGCTATCATCTAATCGACATTGACACCAGCATAAACATACCAGCGACGTTATGTTCCAGTTTTCCACTAACATATCAGCCAGATGACACGCCCCTTGGTTACCGATGTCATTACATCCAAGATCAAGCGACGTTACCGTGGAGTTATCCTACAAAATGCATTCTATAAATGTACATTAAAATAATATTGAGATAGGTATGTCAACTCCCACTGGGGCAACCACCAGAACTTAATGATTGAGCGTGGGAATCGACGATGTTGGGGCAATGCGCTGCTGTTAGCGCCGAACCTCAGATTTATATTTGTATAGAATGCACACATATATAATGAACAGACATTGAATTATTAAAGGCCCCATGTAAAGTTTAAACCACTTTGGCTTATATTGTAGTCTTACCCAATGTTATCAAAGTGTGATATGTGAAACTTTTTTTTAGATTTTAAAAAGTGGTTTTTGATAGACTTTTTGTTCCAAAATTTGTGAATTTATTTAAAACCAACTTTTAGAGGTCACTCATATCTTCTAATTAGCCACAATTCATACCAATGCATAGCATTCATCCTCCCATGTTTTTTGCCGAAAAAATCAAGAAAATCGGTTGATAAACAAGCGAGAACTTGATGAAATTATCAGTGCATGAAAGTGGTTCTGAGAAAAATGCATTTCAAAATTTTAGTTCTCATAGAAACCGATGGTACAATGATATCTAAAACATAATTTATTCTTCCTTTTAACCTGGTTAGACAATCAACATTAGTTTTTTTATGAAAGTCTAGCATATTTAGAAAAGATTGACATCGAAAAAAAAAATTCAATTTTTTTCAAAAAGTTTTTGTTACCTTAGTGACATCACTAATATTTCAAAATATTTTTGATAAGCTAAAACATTGAAGTGGCCCATTAAATATGAAATTTTATTATTGAAATAGTGTGTCTTTTGTTCAATCTTTGCATTGCAATTGGTGTTAAAAAGATAATCTTTTTTGAAATGCATTAAGAAATATTTGATGATTAAGAAATTTGAATATTTGAGAAATGAAATGCTCACAACTTTTTGTTCTAAAATTTTTTTTTGTTCAAAAATCTCTAAAATCACTTTTTAAGTCTTGACAATAGTAAATGAATGATAAAAAATATTTTCAAACTTTAGACGGGAACTTTAACGATCTTAATTGGTATGCATAAAATTATCTAAGCACAAGTGCCAAAAGGAAAGGACAGAAACTGAAGAGAAACCTAGCATTTATATCCAAAGAACATGTGTACGTTTTATAGATTTTATTACATAAAATATAACATATTACAATTTAACCTTTTTGGCATGGTGCCTCAAAGAACATCACAAACGTACTTCGAACATATAAATGAGCGCGTGAACGCAAAAATACTTGAAAGATGCTGCATATACAGAAGCCAAACATCATAAAGACCAGAGTAGAGAATCGGCCAAAAATCGTTTGACACCTGCTTTAATAGAATATGAATGGGGCTTATACTGCAAAGACAGTCTTGCCGGAAGGGTGTTTTCTTAACGAACGTATATAACGATCTCTGTTGTTGGGGTTTCACAGGAGTTACGTCTATGTTATGGTCATTCAAATCCTCTTCCTCAAGTTGAAAGCACTATTATTGACTAACGAACGAAGGAGCCTGATGTAAAGTAAGCTGCAATCTCGTCATTGACGCTAGGCACTCCAACTAAGAATCTTTTTATCTCAGGTAATGTTATTCTCTATTGTTGCCATTTGCATTTTATTTTCCTGTTCTGCATTTCGCTTAGCGTACCACCTTGAGGATAGCTTAATATAATCTTGTTGGGAAACACGAGCTCTTCATAACATTGCAATTAGGCTCGTGTTAAATTTAATTTACAGAATATAAATTCAACAACAGCTACGATACAAGGCTTTTCCAACGTCTGACGCACATCTAAATATTTTCTTTTTAATCCATATGAACAAGGCAATCATAACCGAACAGTAGAAGAAGATCTCTTTATTTGCACATGAGAAATATTCTTCGTCTTCTTGACAATTCCATGGCGGGGTATTACTGTCATTTCTTCTCTTTTAAGGTTTGGAAATGGGTTGTATCGTGATGCCTCCCGGTCTCTAACTGATTGAACTGATAAATGCATATTAACGTCCATGTTTCTATCTGTATATTCTGAGTATAAGTTTTAGCATTTGTATTTCTCTGAACGTTTACGAGAAGTCTCTGTTAAAATGTATAGGTCGAGTAATTACAATTATATCTCGTCGGGACATCTGTTTCGTTCCAGAACTCCAAGTAGTTTTCCGCCCTTAGTTTTCCGAGAACAATTATATAAAGCTGTTTTTAAGACAACGAGACCAATCAATTAGCCTTGAAATGGTTTGCATTGTCCATACTTTAGAAACATCAGTGACATTTTAAATGAACACGGCCTTGGCGATGTTACATTCAGAAATGACCTTGAACGGTATTAGATCATTCTGATACTCATCACTTTTTCTGTCTTCAACTAGAAATATATGATTCTAGCGTGAAGCTAATGGAAGGCCATGATTTCTCATGTTGGTATTAGATACTATTCTGGTTACATCCTCCCAACATCACACAGTTCTTTCCTTGCTGAGGCCCCACGAAGTTTTACTCATTACATTGGTAGAGTCATTTATTTGCATACATATTTATTTACTTGCATTGTTTATTATGTTTTTATAATATTTATATTCATTCCAACAGTGCAACTGTTTTAAAAGTTAAGTTCGGAATGCTAACTGGGATGAACAGAGGATCTAATATGGTATTGTCACCAAATTACTCATATTTAGATATCAACAATCATCTTTTACCACGAGGGAGTCCTTTACAGGTGCGCCCAGTCGATTCATCTTCCCAGAGGACCCAAAACGGCATAAATTGGTCTATAAACCTCATGGGATTAACATTTAGTAGCAGGCATATGTTGAGATGTCAACTTGAGGTCAACTCATATTTTGGATACATATCCTCGGTGATTTTGGTCTTACACTTCGGCTAGCTGCATCCTTTATTCAAAAGATTGCATTTATACTAATTCAGCCATTCGAGTAGTTTCATGTCAGGGGTAATAAGACAGCATTATCTGACTAGAGAGAACGCAATCTGCGTAGTGCAGTTGTCCACTCATCATCATGTCTCATTACTATCATCGATGTCGCTATTATCATCTTATTTCTACAGTATTCTCTTCTTGTGAAACATTTAATTGTTTTCAATCTTGATAGAAATTCTCGGAATGATGCTTTATTGTTGAAACTTAATCTTATAAGTACTATGTCGTTTTTTTTAAAACTGTTAACAATGCAATATATATTTATACTATATACATTGGCAGCAAGGATGGGTTAGCGTTTTCATAACAGCCACGATTGGGTTGCTAATATCAACATAATCCCAATTCATCTACGTTTGTTTAGTTTCTATTAAAAATGACGGAATATAAGAATGAGAGTAGTTTTGTAAGAATGAATACTGCTTTTGGTTATTTATGTTGTAGATTTCCAAGAGACGTGCTGGAAAAAGCCAGGTTCAAGAAGGGTTCAAATGATCAAACGGTTTCAAGTCCAACCTTCACCAGATCATGATCTCGGCTTACACGCATATGACATCGACACCGATACCACATTAACCCTATCGACCAGGTCTTTCAAGACACAACTTGGAAGTCAAATAGCATTTGTCAGTATAAACACACATTGATAGCAGACATCTGAATAGAATTCATCCCTTCGCAATATTGGGCATATTTGGACTATATTTAATCCCCACCGCTCTACTTCAGGGGTCTACCCAGTGCAAGTTACAGCATACTCGATTACCAGTTGATTTCATCAATAGATACTTCATACCTTGGTAATTCAGATGCATTGCAGGGGACTGAGTTTCAACCTCCCTATTTTTCTGTAATATGCGATTACAGTTTTTACCAAGGGTTGGGTTGCCGGATTTAGAGCCTACCAAATGTCTCATTTCAGGACTGACATTTGCCATATGATCCGATGATCGGATAATATCAGAACATCTATGGATACGTTTAGGGACGCTGTGTAATTAAAATAGTTTGCCGGGGACAATAACACTTGTGCAGTGCAACCGATGCAGCAGTATCTGCGTACCAGAATCACAACCAGGAACGCACACCTCGTTTGTAACACCCGATATGCCGCCCTTATCTAACATTCTACCGCGGTCAGGGATGTGCTTTTGGCCCTGGGAACTAACTCGATACTTTATATTACGCAGGTCATTCGTTTCGCCACGGAATGGTCACTTCTTGCTCCAAGCATATAGAGGACTCAAGGATCATGACCCCTGGACGATGAAACGAGGCGCTCTAGGACATATTATATCCGAAAAACAGACCCTATAAATCCAAAAACCATGATATTAGGTGAGAAGAAATAATGTTCAATACCCCCCCTCCAACATCGTTCATACAGAAGTCAAATACATGTTGAAAATAACATTGATAGCCAATACTCATTACATCAAAAATAGTTGTAGGTACTACAGGTATATTAATCATAAAAGATAAAGCATTCAGTTTCAAATGATGTGGGACAGACGAAATCAAGTCTCCAAGTCCATACTATTAGGTAATGCAGAGGGTTAACATTCAATCGTAAAGTCGTTGTCATAAACCATAAAACCATATATTGAAAGACTCAAAGATATGGATTGAAGACTTCTATAATGAAAAACGATTTTCTGAATATAACATCGACAAATATATTCTTACCACAAGTGATATGGCACAAGCTCTTGCATCTTGAGCCCCTAAACTCTGGTTGTGAAGATAAATAGTCCTGTTGATGAGAGAATTGTAAAATGTCTTTGAGGGAACAATCCCAAATTTTCTACAAGTGATCAGGTAGATTTTCTGGCTTGTATCTGATGTGTCTGTTGCAGTATCAGGTCGTTCTGAAAATGTAATAAAATAATGAGATACATTCCCCTCCAGAAGTTTAGCAACAGGATATTTTGATCTTTGGATAGCATGTTAAGGGTCAATATTAAAGCGTGTCAATGTTTGAGGCTTAAATGTGTGCCTTGATAAGAATGGTTAGAAATAATGACAACGATGAATTATTTCAATCGCCAAATGTACAGGTTTTGAAAAGTGATCTAAAAGAGGACAGAGTTCCGGTTTCCAAACTTATGAAAAGGCCGAGTGTACATTATAATTACCAGTACGAACATCTTAGGTCACCCTTAACATCTTTGGGTTATGCTTACCAGGATAGGAACTTCAGGGTAGTTAAAAATATCAAATATCGTATGAGTTTTGGAAATGATTGATTTGTATATCAAAAATGTTCACAATACGTATATCACCTGTTGGTTCGTGATCGAAATCAAAGTTGTCCTGTACGTCATTGACGGCTATGTCACTTCCGGTTCCGGCTTGACTTCTATTTGTCTCTTCAACATCCCTCTCGGCTGAGGAGTTACGCTGCTTTCTAGCACTGCGTTGTATTCTGTAAATAGTGTAAAGAACTGTGTCAAACATTTTTATAAGGGACGCGAGCTAAGTTTTCACGAACCTTTAAGAAGTACAGCGTGATCCATAAAATATGTTAATGGTGTTATTTTCAGAGGGATATTTTTACTTTTACTTAGGCAATCTGGGGGTCAAAAATAATTCTAAAATTTAAGAAGTTTAAATTTTCCTTTACTTCGACGCATTATATATATGGTTTCAACAATTGATTTATTTTACATGTATGTACATGGTCAACTGATGATTACCTTTTAGCTGCCGTTTTACTCTTATTATTACGGAGATATGAATGCCCTCCAGTGTCCCCTGTCAATGTACTCTTCATCAGTCGGTAACGAAAGGCCTCACCGGCTTGTGGTTTGTTACGTCGTGCCAGTTGAGAGATACCCAATGGTCTAAGCTGGTGATCACTTATCTCCTATTCATATGAAAGAAAGTAATGAAATATCAATACGATGTAGGGTACCATAGAAACGGAATAAATTGGGTGCTAGTAATGGAATATCAATGCGATGTAGGGTACCATAGAAACGGAATAAATTGGGTGCTAGTAATGAAATATCAATGCGATGTAGGGTACCATAGAAACGGAATAAATTGGGTGTTAGTAATGAAATATCAATGCGGTGTAGGGTACCATAGAAACGGAATAAATTGGGTGCTAGTAATGAAATATCAATGCGATGTAGGGTACCATAGAAACGGAATAAATTGGGTGCTAGTAATGAAATATCAATGCGATGTAGGGTACCATAGAAACGGAATAAATTGGGTGTTAGTAATGAAATATCAATGCGGTGTAGGGTACCATAGAAACGGAATAAATTGGGTGCTAGTAATGAAATATCAATGCGATGTAGTGTACCATAGAAACGGAATAAATTGGGTGCTAGTAATGAAATATCAATGCGATGTAGGGTACCATAGAAACGGAATGAATTGGGTGTTAGTAATGAAATATCAATGCGATGTAGGGTACCATAGAAACGGAATGAATTGGGTGTTAGTAATGAAATATCAATGCGGTGTAGGGTACCATAGAAACGGAATGAATTGGGTGTTAGTAATGAAATATCAATGCGATATAGGGTACCATAGAAACAGAATTAATAGGGTGTTACATGCCGATTGACACTACTTGACTAGCTAAATTCATTCGGAGAGATTACCCCCTAACAGGGCAAAGACTAGGCAGGGTTCCCCCACGACGAAGTTTGCTTCTGGAAAGACTACTTTGACCCCAAAAATCTAAGAGGTGTTTGAAAATCAGATTTGAGTCGAATAAATGGACTTTTTGACATGTTTTTTCAACAGATAATTAATCGAATAATGTCGTTGGTACTTTTTAGAAAGGTTGCAAACAGATAGTCGGCATCATGATAAACCATGACATCTCATTTCTTCTCAGCCCTGAGATGCATGTTAAGGTGAATCAGAAAGATGCAATGAGTATCAGAATGGATAGTCGGCACCATTTAAGTTACATGCTATGTTGATATAATACCGGAGAAGTATGAGTAATCAGATCACATTAACTCAGTCAGAGGACAACAACGCTTGTAAAGACGAATACACTATACTACCCCAGCAATGGAATCAAATTAAAAACTATATATTTCTGAATAAGAACCGTAACCAAGAGATATGAAGAGATATACAATCATCGAAGCGTTTTAAACCAAGTGAATCATACTGTCATATGAGTAGGTAAATACTATTTTACTATTTTGTACTTACCATTTGACAATCTACTATCTTGCATTCTATGATGTACTTTGTACTCCGAACTTTATTTCAAAACGCCATTTTATCGAACAAATCCTTCCATTTGGGTTAATATATGACTCCAAAGTGAATTCGAATAATGGCATTAGTAGAGGTAATGTCCGGTTCTATTCATCAAACGTAGGTTGTTATCATTAAGTATTTGTTGCATGTTAACTGGTCATATACAACCATAACAGTCTCTTTCAAACAGCACTTTAAACGACGCAGCATTAATATTAATCTTAATATAAGAGACACATATGACATATAATTCCCTTATTTTGATATTGAATTTGTTTTAACATAATAGCCATTGTTTTTTGGAAACATTCATAAATCATTTTTTTGTTCTACCTAAATGCTTAAAGCTACATATATCATATATAAATGTACTTGAATCAAAATAAAACGTCCAACTTTTCGAACTCGGTCAAAACTACTTATTGATATGCCCGTCGTTTCTTGTTTCAAGAACTAAGTAAGTCTGATTATAATGCTCTCGAAAAGAAGGAACATTGTCATCGAGGTCACGTGATCTTCTTTTAGTAAGAGATAACGATTCAATCTACACGATATTGGTGTAATATTAATGTATGTATTCACAACTCGAAAAGTCACTTAAATGCATTGTTATCATTAATACATTAAGTCAATGATTTTATATCTATATTATCTTATTATTTGCACTTGATATGATAATAAATTCGCAGAAAATGATAATCGGTACTCAAAATTCAAAATGCTTGCTGGACAATTTCCTCATATCTTCTTATACAGAGGCCTTTAGAGTTTCATACAGTGTCTCTTATGCACTAAAATAATAATTTGGTTGAATGTCGATTTCTCAAATTCGGATACATGATTCTATAAATGTTAAAGTTTATATCAATTATTAGATAATTTTCAGTGTTCGGATAAGTCCATCACAAAAAATCCTGTGCATTTTTAATGTAATGGATGTCATTTAATCTAGATTTATGTCTAAAAAGAGGCACATCTAACATATTGCTGAATTTGTGTAATAAGAACGGGATAAAATAAAAATAATCGCTTATATAAAAATATTAGCAGAGCAAGGTTTCGATCCTCGGACCTCTGGGTTATGGGCCCAGCACGCTTCCACTGCGCCACTCTGCTGTGATATTTTGGCAGTGAACATTTTACTTATTTATTAATAAAACCCAATCCTATAAAGAAAAAGACCAGACCTTTTTTGGAGGATGATCAATATCCTCGATCCGCCTTCAGGATTGTGTGACGAACAATGCCTCATTTTTTCTGATTCGTAGTTTTACTTGTAATGATATTTGTCCCCGGGTAATTGCATCCTTTTCATTTTGGCTCAATAAATCACATTACAATATTTCCAAAGGTTTATTTATAGATGTCAGCTAAGTCACATAATATCCTGCTTTTATAATGTGCAATACAAAGATAAACCAATAGCACGATGATGATTCTATGATAATGTTAATCTATTAAAGCTCATTTACCATATTGGTTTATCACGATCCGGTCGTGTAGCAGTGTGGTGTAGGGCGACAAGAAAACCTAGTAAAATGTGAAGTACTTAACGATTTCGGTGGAGGGCCTGTACAATCCGGACTATCAGTGAGGAGTCATAGGGATATTAGGTGAGTGAATACTGGTCTGATGTTACTCGAGTCTCTAGCCAACATAGAATATGGTAAGTCTGATGTATACAAGCCTTGGACTGAAGCAATTTGCTATTTTGATATTTCATATGTGTGAATACTGGTCTGATGTTACTCGAGTCTCTAGCCACCATAGAATATGGTAAGTCTGATGTATACAAGCCTTGGACTGAAGAAATTTGCTATTTTGATATTTCATATGTGTCTGCTGTCACGTCAAACATCAACCGATATATTACTAGATGTATCTTACTGTCTTATCAACATTGTGAATTACTAATCTAGTATTAAAGTGATCAATATTGTACTACAAAATATTGAGTCGGAACTACATGTGCTCACTAAAACCGGACCAACATGGGGATATTAATGTGGTAGTCAAAAATACAATAGTCGAATGTTTTTTTGGGCAAAAATGGGCCTTTTAAGGCGTTGTTTTTTAACTAGAGGCCAAATCATCAAGAAAATGGGCCAGTTTTTCAGACTTCAATTATGGGCCCTTCTCCTTGTTGGTTCCTGGACCCGCCCCTGGACCATAAGGGTGAGAACCTACATGAAGTAAATGTAGACGAGAAGCAAATTTAATCAATTTAAGGGTACAGAATGACATGTGAAACCTTGAAAATAAGCAATAGTGCAATATTGTATGGAAAAGGGCATATGCGTACAAACTACACTCATTGAACATCAGATCATGGATTTCTATCCCCTACTCAGGAGGGAGAATTCATGACTTATATTTTTCATATATTGTATACTTTTTTTTTGTTATACAGTAGTTAAACTTAGATTATTGCCAATTTTACATTTGACAAAATCATGACTGATATTACATGCGTTCATGATGCAATAAAAAGACGGCCCACATTGCTCATATTTAAACTATGGTTCGAATCAATATGAATCACACGTACTGTACATACTGTATAGTGTATGTGGCTTCAATATGTATATGGGAATTGTTCCATATGTCAATACGATTATTACTGCCATATTGAGCATGCATGTGTAATATTTGGCCTTTATATTGATAATATTAAATGTAATGTATACTATTATACATATACACTTTATACAGTGTGTATAATAACGCAATCCGGTTATTTTAATATCAGTGTATTGATATGTATGTCTGTGTGTAATAGGTTTAATGAATTACAGTATAGCAACCTATTCCTTGTTAAGTGTTATCAATGTTGGTTAGATTTCCCTAATTAATAGTGAGTAAAATAAATGAATTGAGGCCAGATTTGACTAATGTACTCTTTGGTTTATTTGGAATAAAATGAGTTTTAACATTACACAACTGACAGAAATTTTATTTTTATGAAACAATTTTTATCTGGCATGTCTGGAAAGAGATTAACGATAAATTAAAAGTCAATTCCTTTTAAAAACCAATGCGCGATAACAAAAAGTAATTAAACGCTGTTACTCATTAATTACGTTTGTGGACGTACGCCGATATACTGACCTCTTCCAAAGGTCACCAACTGATATTTTTTTCACCATTTTCAGCAAGGTAGACCACACAGGGTAAAATATGGAATCACATGATCATCACAACGTTGAAGGAAATCCGCCCAATCCGGGTTCCAGCATCCACGATCATAGTATCCATGACAACGGCAACACTAGTTCCCATGGCCACCAAGGACATATCACTAGTCACACAGACGACCACGCGGGCCACCCTGTACGTATACTACATTTCTGTGTCTTGGATATATTTTACAACACGAGATTCTAAAACTAATTTAATTTTGGTCTGGAATACCATTATTCATTCATGTGTTGATTTTACACAGTAAAATATTATAAAGCATAACATTAAGATTTGAAACCAAAAAGAACACTATGTATTATCAAACCAAAGTTAAATGTTAACTTTTTCCGACTTGTACAATATACTTACCGTGTATTAAAACATCTCTCTTAAACATAACGATGCACCATATGAATAGGTTTAATGCATAATGGTATAATATATTTAAATAGTCAAGCTACAAGCTCTTATGAGCCCCCCCAATACACATCTCTCAACTAGTGCGATATGTTGGTGAAGTAGATATACGTGTGTGTGTGTGGGGGTCTACAGAGCTGAAGCAAGGATGTTTAAAAATATATTATAGCATCCTTATTTAAAAATACTTTAACATCACTTTAATTGAAAACTAAAGCGCTGGAAGAATTAAACAGACTCGATGTTCTCATGACAATTGTATTTTTCATTTATGTTGTAGAGTTTCTTCAACTTCGACACAGCATTTACAATTCTATTTAAAGATGTAGAAATCCAAGACTGTTGGGGTATGTATTACATCTACCTGGGTCAAATTTAGGATGAAGAACGTTTTTTCTATCATGTTTAAGTCAAATATACATGTGTATTTTGAGTGCAAAAGGATTATAGTTTTATCAACGAGTGTTATTTTGCATCAATTAAACCGTACTCTTATTAATAAAGTATTAAATAAGTAAACACATTTGACTGATTAAATTAAATTAAATTAATAAGTGCCGAATTAATCAAAATCCGTTGATCCTAATTAAAAGTAAAATATTTTACAAGCAAAAATATTTTTTTGCCAATTTTTGCTAAAAGATAGACACGATTATTAGTATTATCATCATATTTTTCAGGACTATGTGCGGTCTGTTTCTTCTTTTTTCTACTTACACTAGTCTTCGAGGTCTCAAAAGATTTCCGGCAGATGAGATGGTATCCGTTTGACAGGTATTGTTCAGAAATTCGACTAATACATAATAATGTATATAATGTATACAGGGTGTCCCGAAAGTATGCCCCCCCCCCCTAGGCGGACATACACCAATGTCTTCATAGAATGTGTCATATCATTTTAAAGCTTATCCAAACTTACATTGATTTGCCAAATATTATTGGTTCAACTCACAAATGGCAAAAAGTTACAGGCATTTCAAAACTTAGAGTTTGGCCAAAAATATAGTTCATTTCAGTATCCTGGAAACAGCCCTGACCTGAATGTGACCGAAAATATTGGTGCTATTGTCGACAAAAGGATGTATATTGAGTTCTAAAAAGAGGAAGTTGCAGGTAGATACTCCAATGAAACTCTTCTAGAATGCCTTAAAAAGGTTTTATGAGGATTACAAAATACCAAATACCTATATGAAGCACGTTTAAAGTCATATATGGAAAGCATTGCTGCCGTTAACATGGCCTAGGGAGACGCACCGACTATTATTTTTGTGTAAAACTGACTTTAATTTTGGCCAAAAATTAAATTTTGAAATGCCTGTAACTTTTTCCTATTTGTTAGTTGAACCGTGATACTTGGCAGATCAATGTAACTTTGGATGATCTTTAAAATGATATATGATACATTATGGAGACATTGGTATATGTCTGCCAAGGGGAGGGGGGCATACTTTCGGGACACCCTGTATAATAAATTATAATTGTAATCCGAAACAAAAAGTAAATATGGGCAAATGAAACTGTTCATGGATCATTTAACCAATTTTTAACATTTCCTGATTTGATGCAAATCATTTTTTAATCTTTCAAAGGGTAATTGGGAGCAAACACAATAAAATATCACTCCAAAAATATTTTGAGTATTTCTCCTATTGTTAGATCTAGATACCAGTATATTCTTTCATTCATAACGGGCATATGATATGAAGTATCTAATGGATAAATGATGTTGCACACGTGATACGGTTCCATTGTCTCAAACACCACCTAGTTGGAAACACTATTGTCAAGATATGCTTTTGCTTTCCAGGAAATCTACACGAATAAAGCATCATATTTTCCAAACGATTTTATATTTGGTACACATTTTCATTGGATACTCAATGATGTTCGCAGTGATGACGTATAACGTGTGGCTGACGTTGAGCGTTGTGATTGGTGGAGGATTTGGCTACTTTATACATGTCCTCTCACGCCCTCTATTATTAAAACGGACATATGGATTTATATTCAAATCAGGCGATATTGTAGAGGTAGATAATGAACAGCTGAGTGAGTTGAATCCTCAAGCCAGCGATCTCAAAAGTCCTACCAAAGAAACATTCATAAGTGACTGCCCTAATTGTGAACGGTTAACCACAATCTAGTAATTCCTAAAATATTGAATATATATGAGTGGATAATGTTAAAGGGACTACTTAACAACTTTCATGTTTTAATTACGTTCATCTTGATTTTGATTTAAGTCATGCAATTCTTTTATTTCCTTATTCAGGAAAAATGAGGGAATTCGGCTTATCCGTCTTTATGATAAAATTCTACAAAATACAAACAACATTGCTCATTTGGACAAAGATGAAGTTCTAGATCTTTATGTACCTGCCCTATTGCATTTTCCAAGTCGATTAGTGACACGTGAAGGAGTGGAACTCGATAATACGGAGTTTAAGCTTGCAATGTTTCTCACAACCTAAACGCGAGTATTTGCGAAAAATAAAGCGATGCATTTGTATGGGCGATTGGTCCTACGTATACGTTATTGGTGTTTCGATTTTATATGCAAGCTTAAACTCCCTAATATCTACCAATGTGAACTAAAGCTAAAGATATATTGTATGTATATTTATTTGTGCAATAAATTAATGTCGGAATGGTACACACTACACTCCCCTCCATAGGTTTGGCAACTTGCAATTTTCATTCCATAGCACATCAACGCCTTTCGATGTTTAACTTTGTTCCTTATTCGTAGTAACTTCGGAAATGACAAATTCATTGATTTTGTTCGCCAAAAAATAAACAGGCTTTGTCGTGATTCAGAAGGAAACTTCTGGTTACCAAACTTATTTCGGGGAATGTACGTATATCTAAATCAAAGACTTGCATTTGTTTGTGATTGACTATAGATAACACTCACAGTTTTACCCGTGTAACAAGGAAATAGCTTTTTTAAATCACTTCTAAATTTGGATCCACATAAGCAATATAGGTAGAAGTTAACAGCGCTATTGGAAAACCAAAGTTTGTTAGATATATGATACAATAAGGTATTAAGAGCGTATTCCTTTGCAGATTCCTTGAAATGTATATCAGCGTAGACTATATATCGTATATATTGCGGTAGTGTCAAAGCAAGAAAGGTAAACGTGACAAATAAAAGCATCGCAGTTAGTTGATTCTCGCGAGAGTTTTTTAAACGAGATTTCCTTAAAAAATGCGATCTCCTGAAATATTTCGATCCCCCGTCCGTCTTTGAAGTAAGTTCCATCATATTTGCTGAAAGGTCCGCTAGTTCACGCTTGTGACGATGAATTGCTGATATGATGAGATAGTTGAAGGTCAACAGAGAACAGAATGGTATTATCGTACACATACAGATATAGATCCAAGAATAGATAACAGTCTGGGTATTCTTGGTGAAAAAGGCCGCACACAAATTCCTATTATGCACCCCTGTCATCCATGGTATCGGAATGTTGTAAAGTCCCAGTGTTAAAAGTCCGCTAATTAAGATAACACGGGTCCGCTGTATAGTGCAGAGTGTCGTAGATCGCATTGGAAAACGTATTGCTACATACCGATCAATTGTCATCGCTCCAAGTACGAAAATTGAAAATTCTGAACAAGTCTGAGAAATATACGCGAACACTTTGCAAAGAATCGTATTTGTGTGGACAGATGTATCAGTTTGGAAGCAGGTGACGATCCAATATGTCGCAAGACATACTAATGTAATATTGTCGGCTACTGCTAAAGCGGCCATATAAAGACACGTTGTTCTGCATATGTTCCTCTTTTGGACCATAACAAGAAATGAAAGTATGTTTCCCGCACTTCCAAACGCTAATATGACTCCCGGTGTCACTAAATGAATGTAATATCCTATCTGAAATGTAACATACATCGATGCATTTTTGAACAGCATTGCATCTGCAGAAAATTCATCAATCTTTTCCGTTATATTTTCCATTGCTGTTAAATGAAATCTTTCTTCTGACTGTTCATTATCTTGAACGTTTTCCCGAAATTGATTGCTGCTATTTCAAGCTTAAATGATGTTAACCACCATTTCCGTTTCATCCAGTTTACTTTTTCAATGTCGGTACTAATGTATTGTAAACCGTTTTACATGGACATGCAGATAGTGGTACTCTACGATCACTGTTTTTATACTTGCAGCTTGACCTGGTTCAGTTCGATGATAATTGTTACCAATGCAAAATGAAAACAAACATTCCAATGCAATCTTAATGGCCATATGGCGATATTTTTCTGAAACGTTCCCTTGCTAATTAACTTATAGCAATGCTATTTTTAATACTTACTCTGTATGATCATGTGACCATGCTGTTTTATTTGTTAATCTTATATTTAGATATCTTGCCCGTAGCCAGCTTTTACCAGGGGGGGGGAGCTTTTTTAAGATTTTGGCTAAAAATCATGCAAAAAATTCTCAGAATGGTGAAAAACTGCATGATTTTGAAAGAATTTCTGGCCAGGGGGAGCTTCCGCTCCCCAAGCTCCCCCCTGGCTACGGGCCTGGATATAATATCTGGTGTGGTGCATTCATTATACATACTGTTATATGCGAGATTGTACCAAAAAGAACACCAACAAAAAACGTGTTCTGTTATGACTTAAATGTACCATTGGTAAAGGTGCCGCTAAATAAACATACATTTAATTTTGAGGGCCCTATGTCCTACCATTTTCTCCCTGGTTTATTTGGAGTAAATAATCGCTACTTGATTAATTGATCATTAGGAGTATATTGTAAGTAGAGATGCCCTGGGACAGATTGACATTATCAACAATCAACTTCAATATTTATGATTACTTGGATTGTATTGTATGTTAATTTGATTGTATTTTTAGAATATTTTCTGCGACAGAATCTGAACCTTTCCTTTTGTCTCAGATTAATGTAAACAAGATTATTATCACAATTCGGATAGTTTCTTTCGTGACTTCTTTTGGCATATGATGCCAAATTTGTCAATTAAATATAAATGTTGTCAGTCTAAAGTAGAAAGTGAACAATAAACGGTGAAGCCTGAGTATTATGAAGGTCTCCTTAATCCAAATACCCTTTGCTTGGCCAAAGGTACGACGGTACGTTCGGATAAGACGAACTTTACTGCATGAAAGAAGAATATTCTGTCGAGGAAAAAGAATTTATAAACAATTATACCGTTGAAGAATCTTCGGTCTCAGAACAGAAAACTGGATGATTTTGCCTCACCAAACCTTGCTCCAGTTTTCTGCTCTCTGAGACCGAGGATTAAATCATCCGCTAATTTAGTTGGCTAATACAATTGAGTTGGTCACAATAGAAATTCGTAGTATACAAAGAAATGTTTTTTTAATTAGTTATTTTTAAATTTTAATTGTGAAGAAAAAGAACATAAAAATCATCTAGTTGAAATCTGACAAGTTTTTAGAAATACAGAAAAATACATTAAGGAAATCATGGACTTTTGCTAATTTAAAAAGAAGCAAGGAAGATATAGAAAATAAAAGACTAACAATATACTAGTATTTTTTCGAAACTCCCTGACATACACGTACAAGTATTTATAATGCTTCTAAGTTCTTACAAAATGCGAAATGTAGTCATAATTTGAGTCAACACCAACGAAACAATGTCAAACACCACTCATCCCACATCTTTCAGGTATCATTATTATATTAGTTGTAAACCCGAGAGTTATATTCATTTCACACTTTGCATATGACGCTTAATATTCAACTGCTCTCTGATTTCACGTATTGCTTCACATTTCGGGGTTTGAATATAGTTTTGGAAGTAGACAACTTAGGTATATACTGTGTTTAGAAAACGTCTTTAATCTCTCCATGAGGCACGACTTGATAGGCACGATATGACGAGATGAATAAAATTTCAAATCTGAAAGGTTTTCTCAACGACAAATATGAGAGTTTTAGTCACATCATATGACTGTTTTAAAGTATATAGAGCATTATTGATTCTGAAATTCTACTGCTACTGCTACTGCTACTACTACTACTACTACTACTAAATTCTAATGCTAGTATGCATAATTTCAGTCAATGAAAGCTGAACTGACATAATTAATACACAATTATATATGTACGATTTCAGTCAACTATAGCTGAGCTGAGCATATAGACACCAAAAAAACAATAACACGGTTTAATTCGAAATATTTCCTCATGCTGAATAATTTTTTTTTATTAGAATAACAGTTTACTATCTAATTAAGGTAATAAAGGTATCGTTAACATGACATCGCACCATTTGCATCATCGCATGGCGTAGTGCAGAATTCAAGTCTGAAACAAATAAGAATTGAGGGTAAAACAAAAATGCCTAAATAGTGTGTAATGTAAAACACAGTGCTTGATTATATTTTATTTTGAAGCTGATGACTTAACGATTTTAAGAATAATCGAACATGGGGTTCCAAGCTTAAGAGGGGACATTTTTCATAGACGTTGATGATATTAATCCTTCAATATATACCACGGATACTTCCTAAATTTTCAATCAATAATCATCCAAAAAATGCAAAATAATAATATCAATTCACGTTTTTATGATAACAAGTATTTTCCAGCATCATTTCAATTTCTCCAAAATTGTTATCTGGAGTCAAATAAAACATAAAACTCACTTTATTTTCTAAAGTGACAGCAGAAATTCGAAACCTCCTTTCTATCACCAATAGTGCACGCCGAGTCAAACTTAAAGTCTCTCTTAGAAACGACCACATCTCTTTTTTTACCGGGTGGGTCTCTCCAATAATCTCTAACAGAGCCACACTTTTCGCAAACCCACGAACACTTCTGTGTGCCACATCTTTGACGATGCGATTCAGTTTTGCAATCTCCACATGGCACCTTCACCCATTTGCCACAAATCGCTGTGAAAAAAGTGCTTCATAGTTTGTTCATGATTAGCACCTTATAGTTATCTAATGTAAAGGTTATCTGAGGGGGGGGGGGGGGTCGTCTTCTGTCTTTGACGTCGCAAACTAGAGCGATTTGGACCCGTATGCCCACCAAGGAGTGACGTGATAACTTCGCGCGTATCGGAATGGCTCCATTGGACTCTCGATAAGAAATTGCAGTACCCTTGAAAAAACTACTTCACATTTCATCAATATTGGAATATATAAGACTTTTATATACGAGCATGGAGCTATTGAAATCGGCTTTCTAAATCATCAAAGTTTGTGATATAATACTCAACTAATATTATTGTTTAAAGACGAGAAATCAAATTCGCCGACATGTTTGTTTACCCTTTTTCAGGGGGGGGGGGGGAGTGGGGTCGGGGATAGAATATTTTAAATTAAATGTATTCATGTATGTACATCTGATCAATGATGACATTACATGATAAATTATAAACAGCATTTATGACTACACGAAGAAAAGATTTTAATAAAACAACATTATTTCTAGTTTTTATATTGTGTCGGTAATATTTAAAAAACAGTTTTAAATATTCAGATAAATAGAGAATCACGATTTTGAAAAGGTGACCAATATTTTCCCAAATCCAATAAATTGTAGTTATTTGTAAGGTAAAACACGTTTTTCTCGAGAGGGTAACAGCTGTAGATGAACACGTAATATTCCAACACTAATTTTTGACCATCACGATTTTAAAATATATATATTGGACTTCAACTTTTAAAGTAATAACAATCATTACAAAATCTGGTTGCATAACCCGTCACTTACGGTAGCAAATTGGTGGTGCTTCATTCCATTGCGGGGAAGAACCAGGGGCCCTTGTACATATTATTGTTTCAGCTCCCTTTACTTCATACCCCTCATTACACTCGAATGATATTTTATCATTACATTCTTCGTTTCCCTGCGGGGGAGATCGTTGTCCATTTTCTGGGGCTCGGATTGGATCACATGATAATTCTGAAATATATATCAAGGTATATATTTTCATTGAGACATCCGAAAACGATATATGCCTCATAATACCATAGCATGTTTATTGTGAAACAGAAATATGCTATGAGTATAATCCTAAAGCATAATGGAAAACGGCTTGTTTGACGTGATGACCAAAGCTAACACTAGTGACGTCATCGATGTACAGGTTTTAAATTTAGATAAGGAATACGATTATGTACACAATAAATGTAATTACACAGTTAACCCTTAATTGTTTTCTGTTTTTACAACTTTTAACGTTTTTTGGGGTATTTTGGTGATAATGCAGGTAGCACAAAAGGTTATGATCCAATTAACATCTGGTTTGTTTTATTGGAAAGGAAATGAAATGAATTATTATTGGATTAGATGGAATTTCATGTAGATTGAATGATTATTTCTGATATAATTATTGCAAATAATGTGCTCTGGGGACCCCAAAAAACCATTAAAGGGTTAAACAAAATCACTGAACTCCATCTTTTTAAAAAGATAGGTCAATTTGTAAAAATAGGAATGGTTCATTTGGAAGAAAGTCGATGCTTATTTCATTTTCCCCTCACATGTGTAGTTTCAGATTAAACTACGTCACACCCATGGCGATTTTCTTCTAACGATTTAAAATCCTGCCGAAGACACTTTGGTGAGGTTTTAGAAGGTAATATGGCAAGCTTTGCTTACTTTCGCATGTAGGTTCTTCTGAGCTCCATGTGCCATTCTCTAGACAAGTTCGTGTCGCTGACCCAACAAGATTACTACAGGAATCACAGCTATAGACTACCAATGTGCCACATGTGTTGTCCTGTGTTGACACCGACCCACCTTCTGGCGCTTGAGGGATTCCTTGACATCTTACCTCTACAATGAAATTGTTAATGTCATTTGCCGCAAACATATATGCTTTACCGGACACATTTTGTAAAGGTTAATTTGGAACACTGGTTCATGGTGGACACACAAAATCACTAGTTAGAACATTTAAAAATTGGAATAGTACAACTTTCAAAGTTAGAAAAATCATAATCATAAAATGCAACGGTCTGTCCCATAGTATTATACAGTCGTCTAAAAAACGCAACAAACAGAAACATTGTAATACCACAAATCTAGTCATAATTTCATCAATTTCATTTAATTTACAATAAAGCCACATGCTTCCTCTTTCCAATGATATGTCATTTGTTCTTATACGATAATTGACCACTAATTATCATTGTTTTTTCGTGAATGGGTGAAAATTTACCGGTTTTAACTTTAGATAAGGAATACGATTATGTACACTATTAATGCAATTACACAGTTAACCCTCAATTGTTTTCTGTTTTTACAACTTTTAACGTTTTTGGGCGGTATTTTGGTGAAAATACATGTAGCACAAAAGGTTTTGATCCAATTAACATCTGGTTTGTTTTATTGGAAAGGAAATGAATTATTATTTGATTAGATGGAATTTCATGTAGATTGAATGATTATTTCTGATATAATAAATTGCAAATAATGTGCTCTGGGGACCCCGAAAACCATTTAAGGGTTAAACAAAATTCCTGAACTCCATCTTTTTAAAAAGATAGGTCAATTTGTAAAAATAGGAATGGTTCATTTGTAAGAAAGTCGATGCTTATTTCATTTTCCTCTCACATGTGTAGTTTCAGATTAAACTACGTCACACCCATGGGGATTTTCTTCTAAAGATTTAAAATCCTGCCGAAGACACTTTGGTGAGGTTTTAGAGGGTAATATGGCAAGCTTTGCTTACTTTCGCATGTAGGTTCTTCTGAGCTCCATTCGCCATTCTCTAGACAAGTTCGTGTCGCTGACCCAACAAGATTACTACAGGAATCACAGCTATAGACTACCAATGTGCCACATGTGTTGTCCTGTGTTGACACCGACCCACCTTCTGGCGCTTGAGGGATTCCTTGACATCTTACCTCTACGATGAAATTGTTAATGTCATTTGCCGCAAACATATATGATTTACCGGACACATGTTGTAAAGGTTAATTTGGAACACTGGTTCATGGTGGACACACAAAATCACTAGTTAGAACATTTAAAAATTGGAATAGTACAACTTTCAAAGTTAGAAAATCATAATCATAAAATGCAACGGTCTGTCCCATAGTATTATACAGTCGTCTAAAAAACGCAACAAACAGAAACATTGTAATACCACAAATCTAGTCATAATTTCATCAATTTCATTTAATTTACAATAAAGCCACATGCTTCCTCTTTCCAATGATATGTCATTTGTTCTTATACGATAATTGACCACTAATTATCATTGTTTTTTTCGTGAATGGGTGAAAATTTACCGGTTTTAACTTTAGATAAGGAATACGATTATGTACACTATTAACGCAATTACACACTGTCAGTTAACCCTCAATTGTTTTCTGTTTTTACAACTTTTAACGTTTTCGGGCGGTATTTTGGTGATAATACATGTAGCACAAAAGGTTTTGATCCAATTAACATCTGGTTTGTTTTATTGGAAAGGAAATGAATTATTATTTGATTAGATGGAATTTCATGTAGATTGAATGATTATTTCTGATATAATAAATTGTAAATAATGTGCTCTGGGGACCCCGAAAACCATTTAAGGGTTAAACAAAATTCCTGAACTCCATCTTTTTAAAAAGATAGGTCAATTTGTAAAAATAGGAATGGTTCATTTGGAAGAAAGTCGATGCTTATTTCATTTTCCTAACATATTGTGTAGTTTCAGATTAAACTACGTCACACCCATGGCGATTTTCTTCTAAAGATTTAAAATCCTGCCGAAGACACTTTGGTGAGGTTTTAGAGGGTAATATGGCAAGCTTTGCTTACTTTCGCATGTAGGTTCTTCTGAGCTCCATTCGCCATTCTCTAGACAAGTTCGTGTCGCTGACCCAACAAGATTACTACAGGAATCACAGCTATAGACTACCAATGTGCCACATGTGTTGTCCTGTGTTGACACCGACCCACCTTCTGGCGCTTGAGGGATTCCTTGACATCTTACCTCTACAATGAAATTGTTAATGTCATTTGCCGCAAACATATATGATTTACCGGACACATTTTGTAAAGGTTAATTTGCAACACTGGTTCATGGTGGACACACAAAATCACTAGTTAGAACATTTAAAAATTGGAATAGTACAACTTTCAAAGTTAGAAAATCATAATCATAAAATGCAACGGTCTGTCCCATAGTATTATACAGTGGTCTAAAAAACGCAACAAACAGAAACATTGTAATACCACAAATCTAGTCATAATTTCATCAATTTCATTTAATTTACAATAAAGCCACATGCTTCCTCTTTCCAATGATATGTCATTTGTTCTTATACGATAATTGACCACTGATTATCATTGTTTTTTCGTGAATGGGTGAAAATTTACCGGTTTTAACTTTAGATAAGGAATACGATTATGTACACTATTAATGCAATTACACAGTTAACCCTCAATTGTTTTCTGTTTTTACAACTTTTAACGTTTTTGGGCGGTATTTTGGTGATAATACATGTTGCACAAAAGATTTTGATCCAATTAACATCTGGTTTGTTTTATTGGAAAGGAAATGAATTATTATTTGATTAGATGGAATTTCATGTAGATTGAATGATTATTTCTGATATAATAAATTGCAAATAATGTGCTCTGGGGACCCCGAAAACCATTTAAGGGTTAAACAAAATTCCTGAACTCCATCTTTTTAAAAAGATAGGTCAATTTGTAAAAATAGGAATGGTTCATTTGGAAGAAAGTCGATGCTTAGTTCATTTTCCTCTCACATGTGTAGTTTCAGATTAAACTACGTCACACCCATGGGAATTTTCTTCTAAAGATTTCAAATCCTGCCGAAGACACTTTGGTGAGGTTTTAGAAGGTAATATGGCAAGCTTTGCTTACTTTTGCATGTAGGTTCTTCTGAGCTCCATTCGCCATTCTCTAGACAAGTTCGTGTCGCTGAACCAACAAGATTACTACAGGAATCACAGCTATAGACTACCAATGTGCCACATGTGTTGTCCTGTGTTGACACCGACCCACCTTCTGGCGCTTGAGGGATTCCTTGACATCTTACCTCTATGATGAAATTGTTAATGTCATTTGCCACAAACATATATGATTTACAGGACACATTTTGCAAACATTGATCATAGGGAGAGACAAACGTCATTTAAAATATAATATCATGAAAAACAGGCAGCGTGGGCAATGAGGGAATGAGAAACACCATTCAAAGTTGTATGGTTATGTGTCGGTCATGGAAATAAAAAGAAAGCACAGCATATTGAATATATAAATGTAAAGGTTACATGCATCGCTATTCCCACAAAGTTATAACATGATCACATGTGAAACTGAGAGTGAAATATATTGTTTCTTGGTTTGACAATGGCTCATTCTTTGCTGTAATTTAAATATAAACATATTGAACGTATGTTTACATAATTTTAAAGTCATTTTGTATCCTTTAACACATGCTTAATAACGTTTTACAAAGACAATTCAAATAATTCAAAAATTAAATAATGATGATCTAAACACTTTTATTAAGTACGTTCATTTCTCAAAATGATAATCTAAAAATATTTTTTCCAAAGATAATATTTTAATGTTTGGAGGATACAAAATATAGGAAAGCCTCATCTAGACAACTTGAATTCACAACAGAAATACCTACAATCAATCAAATATCTCCATTGTCTGCAGTAGAAGATATGTCATCAAAATGTACCTTGTGGCATAGCTTTCACCAAAATAATGCATCAATAGTGTATATTATTATGGCTGATTTGTTGGAGGATACAAATATTTGACAGATTGTATACATATAGTAAAACATACTTAATTATGTGACTAAGACATATCAAACATCCTGCATTCAAGAGTTGGTAGCACATACATTTTAGTAACATGCTCAAAAATATCAACGCAATCTATGCATTTCATTTTAAGAAATCCGAGTTTATATTTGCCGAAAAAAAATTCTTAATTGTCTTAAAATCCATCATTAAAGTGACATTTTTTAAAAAGATAAGCAATATTCCAAACAGGTACCTTGTGATAATGATTGCTTAAAGTCTGGTCAACAAAAAATAACACATTGCGTGTCCACGAAATCAACATATATGTAACAGTCTCTAGTACAACAACAGGTTTTTAAAATACCAATTATCGTAAATTGTCCCATATATCCTAAAGCATAATGGAAAACTGCTTGTTTGACGTGATGACCTAAGCTAACTCTAGTGACGTCAAAATTTATCGGTTTTAACTTTAGATAAGGAATACGATTATGTACAATATGAATGCAATTACACAGTTAACCCTTAATTGTTTTCTGTTTTTACAACTTTTAACATTTTTTGGAGTATTTCAGTGACAATGCAGGTAGCACAAATGGTTATGATCCAATTAACATCTGGTTTATTTTATTGGAAAGGAAATGAATTATTATTGGATTAGATGGAATTTCATGTAGATTGAATGATTATTTCTAATATAATTATTGCAAATAATCTGCTCTGGGTACCCGAAAAAACATTAAAGGGTGAAACAAAATCACTGAACTCCATCTTTTTGAAAAGACAGGTCAATTTGTAAAAATAGGAATGGTTCATTTGGAAGAAAGAAGATGCTTATTTCATTTTCCTCACATGTGTAGTTTCAGATTAAACTACGTCACATCCATGGGGATTTCCTTCTAAAGATTTAAAATCCTGTCGAAGACACTTTGGTGAGGTTTTAGAAGGTAATATGGCAAGCTTTGCTTACTTTCGCATGTAGGTTCTTCTGAGCTCCATTCGCCATTCTCTAGACAAGTTCGTGTCGCTGACCCAACAACATTACTACAGGAATCACAGCTATAGACTACCAATGTGCCACATGTGTTGTCCTGTGTTGACACCGACCCACCTTCTGGCGCTTGAGGGATTCCTTGACATCTTACCTCTACGATGAAATTGTTAATGTCATTTGCCGCAAACATATATGATTTACCGGACACATTTTGTAAAGGTTAATTTGGAACACTGGTTCATGGTGGACACACAAAATCACTAGTTAGAACATTTAAAAATTGGAATAGTACAACTTTCAAAGTTAGAAAATCACAATCATAAAATGCAACGGTCTGTCCCACAGTATTATTCAGTGCGTCTCAATAAAACGCAGCAAACAGAAACATTGTAATACCACAAATCCAGTTATAATTACATCAATATCATTTAATTTACAATAAAGCCACATGTCTCCTCTTTCCAATGATATGTCATTTGTTCTTATACGATCATTGACCACTGAATTATAATTGTTTTTTCGTGCATGGGTGAAAATGCCCTTGTGCCAAGTTTGAACATCCTAATTCAACTGATCCTTAAATGCAATCAGGTAAATCTTTATGCAGTTGGGGCTTGGGATTAACTTTTGATGACAAGACTTACACGATCACATACATATCAGACTTAGATCTACTTAGAAAAAATGATTTCACTTGATGTGTTTATCGGTATCCATGATAGTTTAGTTACAGCACATCGCACATATGGAAAAAAGAAGTGGCATTATTAAAACAGTTAAGTCAGTTAAAGTTACTTTCATTTTCTGTTATCTTATGAATAATTACTCATGCAAACTACATTTCATGCCCATCATTACTCTGCAATTAGATATTGGATCATCTCTACATGTCACGCAAAGCTTTTTGAATCATTTGTAGGTTCTGGCAGAGAGGAGCAGCCTCATTGGTTATTCTCTGTCGTTGTGTACAATGTCTAAAACTTGGTACAGAGCAGATTTTGGACCATTGTGCAAAAGGAGTGATTATCCAGTGGTTCGTGGTCACATATGAATAAATGACATATCATTGGAAAGAAGAGACACATGGCTTCATGATTAACTTAATGAAATTGATGTAGGTATCAATGGATTTGTGATTTTTCAATGTTTTTGTTTGTTGCGGTTTTTAGACACACTGTATATGCATTTTAATTTGTATACTTACTACTACAAGTAGGTGGTATCCCACTAGGGTCATAGTTTCCCGTCGGTTTACAAGTATACGTTAATGCGTCATCAGATTTGTAACACGTATTACATGTATATGTCACAATGGCATTTACCATAACTGATGTACTTCCATCTGCAGGAGGTGGATCAATAACAAATACACCGTTGTCGGTAGGGGGCGGAAGACTACATACTAAAATATATGATTTGAATTTGATATGTGCTATATCTAAAGATGCACTAAAACAAGTCCATGTGACCTAGCCGCAACGGAATATGCATGATATGCATGAAATAAGAATTGCTGATTAATGTCATAAAAGCAATAGTTATCAAAATCATTCTTCATCCTTTTTTTACATACATGGAATGCGATTATACAAAAAAGGAAGATTTTTTAATCAAGTGATTCATATAAACTAATAAATTTGTTTGAAATATTTATTATAACAATTGCTCTTTTACCTAGAAGAATTTTTAAATTCAAATCATTATCATTTTCGACCCCATAAACTACATCTTTTACCTTAAGTTTGTTATCTACTTTTGCTCAAAAGACTTTCGTGCGTGTACAATTAAAAAAATAGTGTAACTTAGAATATTAGATGAGGCAAAATCCATTTGCGAGGAAAATTGAGGTTGAAGAGGTATTTCACGACTACATTTGAACTTCATTACAAAAAGTTTAGCCGAAAAACACCCGAAAATATATTTTTTTAACATTGCACTTGCCTCGCATGCTTCAGGCTTTGCCATGCCCATTGTAACGTAGCATACATACCTGGTGGTAATGTTGTTGTTGTGGTTGTTGTTGAGGTTGATGTTGTTGTTGTTGGTGATGGCCTTGGACATACGGTGCATTGCTTCAAACATCGTGCCAATGTTGCATCCCTATTCTTATTAATGCTGTGACCATAACCATAGCCAAATACACAAACACTCTTCACACATTCGTTCCAACAATGATCGTTAACGTAACAGGCCTGCAAGGTGAATGGTAAAGCTTGTGTGCTAAAGGTGGCCAAATTAAATAAGTGAAAAAAATCAATAGCGTATCTATGTATGAAAAAATTACACATATTTTGAAATCATTTAGCCCGTCTATTAGAAGATATACAGGATTGTCTACTAATATAGTTGTCCAGTTTTGGGCGAAACAACTTAAAATAAGGATGCAATAATTTTTTATGTCACTGAAAACATGGTATACAGGGTGTCAAAAAACAACGGCACCCCCCTCCTCTACAGCAAAAAGTCCTTAATGTTACATATCGTGTCATACCTCATTTGAAAGATAATATAATTCTTGAGTTACTCATCAAATTTCATTTAATAAAACTTTATATTAAAAAAGCTACATTGTTTCAAACTTTGCTACTTCAGTACTTTGTTTGCTGCTCTGTTACTGGTTAAAGGTCAAATCTTCAGAAAGTGGAATATGGAAGAATAACCCCAGATTTCAACTGCACTGAACATATGGGTTCAGTTCTGAAAAACAGGGTATAGGAATTGATGGACAAAGAGCCTCTTGAAAAAAGAAACAGCAAGGATATAATTCTGAACAATGTGAGGAAAGTGCTAAGAGAATTATAAAACGCTACACCTTTATCTGAATTTTTATTGAAACCATATCGATCCGGATAAGCTGCTATTAAAGCAGCAACTGATGGTGATACCAACTACTAAGAATCAGATGTAAATCTGTAAGTTTATGTGATATAAAGCTGAAAGGGAGAGGTGCGATTCTTGGCAAATACCCCTATGGTCAAAATGAATAATTCTTAGGTGTAACATGAAGAATAGAATGTCGTATAACTCTTTGGAAAATATTAAAGTGCTTGGGCACACAAAGGCTGAGATAGGGGCCATTTAGTTCAGTAAGGTTGTATTGACTTACAAGGGGCTGTGCACCATTGGCTTAACATGAGGATATCAGCAGATCCCAATAGAGGCCATTGGTTTTCATTGATCATCACAAAAATACCCAAAATACACTATGACCTGAATCGATGGCAAACTTAATAATTTCACAATATGACACAAATTGTTTATCTCATCAAATGTGGAAATATGAAGTTTGCAATCGATTCAGGTCATACTTGAAATTAAGAGATTGTACATTTTTTCATCATTTTTTCCCTACAAAATGGCTTTAGAAAAAGGCTCCAAAAACAACTTTTACACTTATTAAATATCAAGTTTGGTTAAACCAAAGATTGTACTATTATATTTCATTATAGGATGTATGGATACGTAGGATGCAAATGGATTTTGATAGACATAAAAATACTTCCTGGTTTGGAATCTACGCCTCTACACTTCATGATTGAATTTCGACCCTAATAAGTGGCCTATACATCAATACAGTGCTGAATATAGGTCAACAGAAAACTAGTGTGCATATATATGTAATAATAAAGGCAGTATGCTATTTTGAAAAATCAGATGAGTTAATTTTTTATCATGGTGAGATCATAATGGAGAGCGCACTACTTCCTTTCTCAGGTAACTCCAAAATAAAATTATCTTTAAACTAAGATATAACACACCATGTAACATTAGAGGCCCGTAGCCAGAGGGGGAGTGGAAGCTCCCCTCTGGCCAGAAATTTTTTCAAAATCATGCAGTTTTTCACCATACGAGAATTTTTCGCATGATTTTTAGCCAAAATTGTGAAAAAGCTCCCCCTGGAAAAAAAGCTCCCCTCCTGGTAAAATCTAGCTACAGACAAGCATTAGTACTTTTTGCTGTAGAGGGGGTATCGTTGTCTTTTGACACCCTTTTTCAAAGAATACTGGTATACACGCTGGACAATGCAAGATGATATATAATCATACCAACCGGATTGAGTGCACAAACATCCGAACATCTAACATATAGTCTAAGTCCATAACAGCAACCCATGCATTTGTAGTATGTATTTCCGCCATAATATGCACCTTGTCCTCTCGTTGCTACAATAGATATGCATAGTCTGTTATTCATATTTTAAAACTAAATCAAATAAGCTGAAAATCAATGAAAACCAGTGCACCGTGTCCTCCCGTAATTTCAATAAATATACATAGTTCATTATTCATATTTCAAAATAAAATCAAATAATCGATCGTTATCAAGATAATGGAGAGTTTAAGCTAGCAACGTTTTCACAACTCAACCGTGAACGGAAAGTGCATGAATCAGCAGCAATGTATAGCGCACATACAAAACGTGCAAATTAGTCTACTTCAGATACCCGTATAGCCTCAGAGTTTCGTGTTTAGTTAGAACGCGTAATTCCAAATTTCACGTTGGTCTCAACGGGAATCATTATACTCGTGTCTATTGCAATGCTATGCTGGTAATTTTGGATATTAAATGTAGTTTGACTTTATTTCCAACACCTCGAAATTTTCTCAATTTTTTTCCTCAATTACAATAAGTGGAAAATTTATGATAAATTCGATGAATTTTTGAAAATCGACATTCCCATGTTTACCAATGGGAAATGGTAGGTTTGCCGCAACTCATATGACAGAATATCTATCCATCCGAGTCCTTGCAAAAATACCAGTTAGGCAGGCAATTGAATTTGCTAACTTTATTTGAACTCCCATTGAAATAACACAGGAGGCGAAAAATTATTTTTAAAAATGACTTTGAAGCGCTGTAACTTTATTATTCATCAAATAAACTAAACACTTAGTGTGCAAAAAAGTTAACTGAAGTGTACTGAAAAGATATCCTGATTTCTGATTTGCCCCGAACCCTCCATTTCCCATTGGATTACATGGGAATGACGATTTTCAAAAATTCATCAAATGTATCATTAATTTTCGATCAATTTCATTCAATGTATCAAAAACCCAAATTGCTCTTCTTTGCAATGGAATGTCATTCATTCACAGGGAGTCATGGCTGGCCGAATACTCATTAAATTAGCAAAGTGGGGTAAAATTCAACACGGACCCAAGTTTTAAACATTGCAAAAGTCAGTGCATGGAACATAAGGGTAATTGGAAGAAGGCATGGCAGGTGTGACAGAGACAGTAAAGTGTTCATACTTATACTCTTACAAGAATACATCCTATACCCCTCCAAATTGCCACCACTTCTTTGCACATAAAGATGCGCTAATCTCTCCATGTCATGCATGGTTCAACCCCGAGGCTTGAACTCAAATGTAGGTTAAAGCGGAGAAAAGCAGCCCATTGGCAATTCGTTCTCCAAATTTTGCAATATCTGGCGGAGGAATTGTGAGCACAGATGCTCCTGAGATAGCTCCAAAAGAAAAAATCACAACAATTCAAGTAAGGTGCACTTCCATTGGCACTTAGCCCTTGCACTGATTTTTGCAATATCTAAAACTTGGCCCAGAGCCGATTTTGACCCACTGTGCAAATGGAAGAATTTCTCACCCAACCATTACCACATGAGAATGAATGACATATCATTGCAAAGAAGAGGGATGTGGCTTCATAGTAAATTAAATAAAATTGATGTAGTCATCACTAGTTTTGTGATTTTACGAGATAACTGTTGCGTTTTTTTATACGCCCTGTACAACTACAAATCGTCTCTTCTGTAATGAGAAAATTATATAGATGATCTCTCTTTTGCGAGAGTGTGAGGGTTGGAAAGGATCTACGGAACTAGAAAAAAAAAATATATTGTTAGTCAGAAATGTCAAAATTTTCTAAAACTTAAGAAACTTACCGATTAAGCCTATCGAGAGTAGAAATAAACTGAAGCTGATTTGAAACTGCATTCTGTTATGTTGAATCCTCTGCAATGAATCCTGCAATGTAGCACACTTATATTTATAGGATTTTGGCCCCTTTGAAATTTTTCCAATCTCAATTAAGTCATTTAATGACGTTTGCTATGGTGAATACTTTAAACACATTTATATGTATAGTAAGCAATTTTAAGCGAACCCCGTCTGGTTTATTCAGTTAAAATTCAACACGTTTATAGAATTTTACATGATTTATAAAGGATAAACTGCAGTTCACCGACAAAGGCTTCTTGTTAGATAATGATGTCGTATGTGCTATAATGATAGAAAATTAGTTGAAATTGTTGTTATACAAAAAAGCATTACTACATCGAAAGTAAATATCAATTCATGTATATGCCAGACGAAATGTAGCGAAATTAAAACTTTTTTTATGAATACAGTATTTAGTTCCATCCTACTTGTGTATTTTCACATGAGGCACAAATAAACACTTAAATAAGCAAACACAATCATCTAAAGAGAAGACACCTTATGATGATGATAATAGGGTATTATACGGTGCATCCAAAAAACGCAACAAACAAAAACATTGTAAAACCACAAAACCAGTGATGATAACACCATTTTCATTTATTTTACCATGAAGCTACCTGGCTCCTCTTTCCAATGGTATGCCGTTTATTCATATATGACAACAGACCACTGAATAATCATTACTTTAGCACAACGGGCCAAAATCTGCTCTTGTCCAAGTTCTGGACATACATGTACAACAATTTATAGAGAATGACCAATGAGGTTGCTGCTCTCCACCAGAACCCACGGATGATTCAATGAGGCATTCTTAACATGGAGAGACGAGCCAATCTCTGTGTGTAGAGAAATGGTGGCCATTTGAAGGGGCATGATATATAATCTTTTGAGTAATCTTTCATACGATGACAGAAACGCAATGACAGCGACTTTACTGACTTAATTAATGTTTATGCCACTTCTTTTTCCATATGTTTGTAACGTAAACTGAAACATCAAGGATGCTGATGAACACTCAAATATAAATCTTTTTTCTTAGTGAATCTAAATCTGAAACTCGTGTTATGTAACTCTTGTGACCAGAATTTAATCTCCAGTCCCAATTACATAATGATTTACCTGAGAGCACAATATGATCGGTTGACTGAGGATATTTCAAAACTTGGCACAAAGGCCTTTTTCACAGCTCGTGCGCGAAAAAACAATGATTACTCATTGGTCCAATATCAGATATGAACAAATGACATACTATTGGAAAGGGGAGACACATTACTTCATGATAAATTAAATTGATGTAATCATTACTGGTTTTGTGGTTCTACAATGTTTACTTGTTGCTTTTTTGGGACGCACTGTATATCCCAGGTATGTTAAAACAATAAAGAACACAACGAAACAATGGCTAGAAAAGTAGAAATCATCTCCCCTTTCAGGATTCATTATCACAATCCACCACAAAACCATGGGACATTCAATGTAAACATTCTTAAAGCACATTTAATATATGTCAATCCTCATTATCTGGCTATACGACGCTTTCATGTTGCATTTTAACAGCGAATCATGTAATAAAAATGTTTTAACACCTAAAAAGTGCTAATGACTCAATTATTTTTTAAATCAATTTCACAATTCACTCCCTGTGGAAATGCCATTCACATGTTCAAAGCAAGTATGTGCTCATTGTCTGTAATGATTTCAATCTATCAATATATATTTGTATAAAATCTTACATTCACTACAACTATGGTCTAGATGACCTGCCCTAGACTCGACTTAAAGCAAGAGATTTGACATATACACCGCTGCTCATACACTCCCCTCCATAAGTTTGGCAACCTTTTTTCCCCAATGAACTACGTGTTAAAGCCTCTTTACATTTGAATTTTTATTTACTTAACCTGCGATTAAAATACTTATACTATTGATTGAAACGGAATTTGACTTTAATTCCAATACCTCCAAATTTTCTAAAAAAATTTCCTCAATTACAATAGGTCGAAAATGGATGATGAATTTGATGAATTTTTGAAAATCGACATTCCCATGTTAACCAATGGGAAATAGTAGGTTTGCCGCAAGTCATATGACAGAATATCGATCCATCCGAGTCCTTGCAAAAAATACGAGTTAGGCAGGCAATTGAATTTGCTAACTTTATTTAACAAAAAATTGATATGTTTCTTCAGGTTCAACATAGTTATAGGGCTTTAAAGTCAAAATTGTTTTCCAAAAAACCTCTCCCATTGAAATAACACAGGAGGCGAAAAATTATTTTCAAAAATGACTTTGAAGCGCTGTAACTTTAATATTCATCAAATAAACTAAACACACAGTGTTCAAAAAAGTTAGACAATTCAATTTTCTATATAAAAATATTTTTTTGCTGAATCTTTTACTGAAAAGATATACTGATTTCTGATTTGCCCCGAGCCCTCCATTTCCCATTGGATTACATGGGAATGACGATTTTCAAAAATTCATCAAATTTATCATCAATTTTCGACCTATTGTAATTGAGGAAAAAAATTGAGAAAATTTGGAGGTATTGGAAATAAAGTCAAGTTACGATTCCATCAATATTATAAGTTATTTCATCGCCGGTTAAGTAAATAAAAATTCAAACGTAAAGAGGCTCTAACACGTAGTTCAATGGGGAAAAAAGGTTGCCAAACTTATGGAGGGGGGGGGGGGGTGTATATTTGGAATGCCTTCTAATTTTAATGGATGAATATATATTTCAGATATTTGTTCAGTCTGGACATGAAAGGGGAATTTTCCAGTATTTCATTGAAATTTTAGAACAATCGAATCCTTTCATATTTTCATACATTTAAAAGTTTTGTGATTGTTATATAGTTAAAAAGATGTACTGTTTTTTGTTAATAACCCAATATTCTTGATATATGAGAAACAGTGTAAATGTATAATGTGCTCGAACAATATGTTGTTTTTATGTTTTTTTACGAAGCCTAGCCGGAATATCATCACCCACTCAATTCGTCACAATAGTTCATTAAGATGCTATGACAACGATAACAGTGCAATTCAATTTGAAACGGCATACGCAACTGCAACACAATATGAACATACATCATTAAGGGATAATTGTTACCATTAATCACAAATTATTGGTAATCCAATCGAATCAATTTAACATACATACATATAACGCACATTGATGGTTAATACATCATTTTCTATTATGTCTAATGGATAATTTTGTTACAATGATATTTTTTGCGTATTATTTCATAATGGTCATTTATTGTGCTGAATTCAATTTTGCTGTTTTACTTTATCAAATGATAAAAATATCATTAAATAGTTGCACGATTAGTAGTCATTTATGTCTGAAAAATTTGAATATATTACATACGTTTGCAAATACTAATTAATGAATCTCTCAATTTCAACATGTGTTTGGCATGTACCCCTGTTCGAAAAGAGTTTAGGGAACCGTATGGATGCGCCAAGACAAAAATGTGACAAAATAGCACAACAGCTTTTGTTGTGCAGTAATATGAAGATAAGTCCTATACCATTAGCAACACTGCAATTTGAATTCCATGTTTTCCCCTTGTTCCCATATGGGTCTTTATGCCATATTATATGGGGGCAAACTATTTTTATCGATTTCGATCAAACGCTAACCTGTTCATCCGTGATACAAGCCGAATGTTGAGTACAGTTACAAAAATTTTGAGAATTTTGAGATTTTATTTATTTTTTTGGGTTTTCCTCATATTAAACAATTCTACCCCAGCATTCACTAGGGCCGCCGCATTGTGGAAAAGGCCATGTATTTGGTGTCACATGTAGCTCTGTGGAAAACTTCAGGACTTCTGGTGGAACGTCATTTCCGGGAAAATCGTATTCCATCTGAAATATAACAAAATAAATACTCTTGCAAGTTAACGACATTATTTTGAGTTTTTCAGCAATACAACAATTATGATGCAATCGCATAAAGAATTGCTCATTCATCAATTAAAGATGCGATGGTTTACAAACCTCAATAAAAAATCCCAACCACCCTGCTTCGGGAGCATCAAATCCACACCGCCACATACGGCCTTCCTTTAAACAAGAAAGGATAAAAAATATTTAGGAAAGGTTAGTTGTCATTAAAGTTCGGCGAATTAATACAGTGCATGTATAAATGAATCATAAAAAAAGTTTGATACCTATTATATCGTGAACTAAATATATTTATACTAACTTCAACTTCTTGAAAGTTAAGGGGAGTTGCCTCCGACCAGAAAACTTCGTTAATATCTATATCGCCATCTTCAGGGCCGCGAACCAACCACCTGAAGTCTCTTCTCACTGCACCACTAAAATATAGGTATGACATTTGTTTTAATTTAGTCCATTCTGCAATATTCAATCTGTCTTGGTCTCAACATTAAAATGTGTCGTGTGGTAAAATGAGGTATATTGCATCCATAGAGAGCTGTCGCCAAATCATCAATAGAAAGCTTTCGATATAAGTTAATTGGAATACGTATATGTAAATCCGTACTTGTACTAGTAAGGTATAGCACCAGAAAGGAACTCCTAGGGTCCTTTCATTTTTCAAATCACAACAAGATATTCGACAAGTATGTGTTAACATCATTTCTTTGCTTTGCTCGATGCAACAGAACAACGATATCAAATTATAAGGAGTGAGCTTGCCACTTTCATTTATTGAAAAAGAAGCCTCTGTAACAGCATGTTGTTATGAACATGGTAAATACAAGTCACATTAAGTACAAAACGCAGGTAACGATACTATGACATAATTCCCTTTATAGCATGAAAGAACTCTCTAAATGTGAACGTAAATATAAATTAACATTTATCGAAATTGATTGATCCCAGCCATTAAAAACCTCAAATTAATGCGGAAAAGGTACGCGATCAATCAAAGACATGTACATGTTCTAAAACATAATATTATCTTATTAAAATAAAGTGCGTCTCGATCTCGATACGTGGCAAAGCTCAGAATGAAGTTACACGCCGTTCTAACATGCACTCATGCAAAACAACTCAACATCAACTCGTACACCTGTTCCATTTAGACAACGCCTAAAGAAATCATTTATGAGCTAATGTCGCTGCGCTCAAACGCACATAAATGTCAATTAAAAGTTAAAGTTGCAGTATAAGTTTGTCTGAAAACTCTAAAGCTCTCTAGTAATATCCATAAGCATATCAAATATACCACATTCTGACCAATCAGATCGTGTGTAGCCAGTCTTTATTTTACAACATATGTTTGATAAATAAAAACTGTATAAAGGAACACATTGATCTAAATAATGATTTGGGGTACTAGTGTTTTCCATGCAAGACACTGATGGGGGGGGGGGGGTGTATAGAGGGTCTTGGAAATGCATATACAATATTTTTCAGCTCTCTTATACCATATACAATATTTTTTCACCCCTTTTATACCATATACAATATTTTTCACAGCTCTTATACCATATACGATATTTTAGGTGAAATACAATATACGATAATTTTGAAACTGCTTTTGATTAAAGTTTGGATTTTATAAGGAAATAATATTAGGAGAGAATCCATGTACTAAAGTAAATGTATTATTATAAGGGAAATAGACTCCACATACATACCACAATGATTTCATTTATATTACATTATGAATAAGAGACCATTCGGGTACATCCGCATGTTCAGAAAAGCTGTGACCACATTTTATTTTCAGGTAAACAAGTTGATTTAAAACACATTTATGATATAAGATTCATGACTTATCTTCAGTGATTTCACAACCTACTTTGACCAAAAAAGTAACTTTAACATTTCTGCAATTTGCTAAAGCCATTAGCCCATTACCTGTAAAAGTACCATAAAGATATTCAAAATTAGCACCAAACCTGCATCATTGGAATCGGTGGAACTCAGTGTTCAAATTTCTTATGACCTACTTTCTCATGACATATTTTAATGTCAATGGAATCCTTCATAGTGAGCCAGGGAAAAAAATCCTTGAAACATAATTGATGCAAAATTGAGAATGTGGAATAAAAGATTCATCATGTGTTCTATGAAAATAAAGTTTGCTGAGGAAAATATGTATCAGATAGGTAATGAAGATTCACAATGCACAATAATTTTGTAAAGCAGTTACCTGAAAATATTAAGTATTGAAAACAATTTCAGAAATAAAGGACATTTTTGATTGGACTCGAGTCTGGAAATTAGAGTTTGAAATAAAGGCAAGAGGAGACTTTATTGTTTAAACATTTGAAACAAGAGACACTTTTCAAATAAGGCAGCCTTAAAGACAGTATAAGTTAAACAAAGGTGTGTCAAAATAAAGCAAATTTCCATAAAGTTCAAACCACATGTTTCACGAATGATTTCAAGGCAAAGATGTATTGATGAGAATGAAAACTACTCTATGCAACTAGAAATAACTTTCTTTTAAAAGAACCACAGACGGTATCGCAACAGATTTCAGTCATATATTGGATTTTGGCTATTTTCTGAGGATTTGAACAGGTGCATATGTTAGGCCAATGCATTAACTCCAGGACAAGCAATCATAGAGATTATAAAATGATTTGGACTTTAAGTCAGGGAAGGTGCAAATTTGCACCCCATCAACATGTTTTTTCTGTAATGTTGTCCTGATTTGCAGCCCTTTCCACACCTGTTTTTCAATGTTTGTTGCATCGATCACTCTGTTGCGTTTTAAATGAAAATATGATTCATGCAGGGGTTTTAAAGATATCAATTTTGAATGACCAAAATTTAGCTGAAAACAATGGATCACATGAGTTTTCCCTATAGGAAAATAACATGGGAAATACATGTACTGTTTTCCACTTTATCCCAAATAAATCATATTTTAGAGGTTAACTGTGTCTCAAAACTGTGTCTCAAAGTGCAACATATTGGTGCATCAAACATTGAAAAAACATATGTGGAAAGGGCTAAAAATCAGGACAACATTTCAGAAAAACCTTCCCTGTCTCAAAGTCCAAATTATTTTATTACCTCGATGAGTGCTTGATCTGGAGTTAATGCATTGGCCTAACATATGCACCTGTTCAAATCCCCAATAAATAGCCGAAATCCAACATATGACAGTTTGAAGACCAAATAAAAACCTTTTGCTAAATTATGCTATATTAGCATTGTGATGCTTGTATTAAAACATGCGCTGTATGAACACTTTATACTCAAATATTTTAATGATTTATCCCACATACCCCGAAACACGAGTAGCCATAGTGACCATATTTTTCATTAAAGTTAAGATGAGTCAACGTCGCCAACGTGCAAATGCCAATGTTTTTGCTATAAATCAAGCAACAATGGTCTGTACGACCTGTAATAAATATATAAGCAACGTTTTTATCACAAAATTCTTTGCCGGTTTTTTAAAATAATTTTCCAAATGATAGATAAAAAATAATCGAATAATTGAACAGAGGGGGGGGGGGGGGGAGTGAACGGAGGGGGGGGGGGTGGAGTAATATGTCTTTAAGGTGGAAGAAATTTCCACAAATTCGTGTACTTGGAAAATGAACTCACTTACTCAGTAACTTGATGTTACAACCCTGAAAAGTGAAAAATGGGGACATATGGAATTAATGGAAGTTCATATGTCTTATAGACACATTACTCCCCCCTCCGTTCAATTTTAATAACGTTCGATTACTTTTTATATAACGTATGGTAACGTGTTTTACAAAACCAATGATGACAATAGTTTTGTGATAATTACCTCACTTACAAGTATTTATTACAGGTCGTGTAGACCCCTGTTGGTTGATTTATAGCAAAAAATTGGCATTTGCACGTTGTCGACGCTGCACTTTTTTAATAGATCTTTTATTTTAGAACTCCACAGTTCAAAAAAATCCAAGAAGACCTAACATATTCCCCCGTCCAGTGCGTCTATTCATTTAGCCATTCAATTGTAAATCTTCAAGATTTGTTGAATTATCTACCAAAAATCAGCTAGATCTACCCCCCCCCTCCGTTCATTTCTTCTGATCATCCGGCGTGATTCTTATTTGAGACTTTATTTAACACCTCCTGTGAAAATTTGAATGAAAAGGGCACAAAACTCTTAGTTTGAGAAGGATTTTTTCTAAACTTACAGTATTGATTGACCTGGAATGTGGAACCAATTAGAGAGACTACTTTTCCATGTTTTTCCAACACGGTTACAGTAAGAGAGTTGGCACAATGGGGAACTTTAGGGTGCACTTTCTTCATAATTAGCCTTTTTTAATTCTAGATACCATATATTTTCTATCATACCATATACCATATTTTTTACACCTCTTATACCATATACGATAAATTTTGCCCCCTCTTATACAATATACAATAAATTTTCAGCCTCTTATACGATATACAATATCTCTATACACCCCCCCCCCACTGATGCTTGGCTGCTGCCCTCAGAAATTATTGAGCTCTCGTCTTAAACCATTCAATATACGAACTAGAGAGCTGTGATTTAGAAGGATTCCTTTAGGTATTCAAACTCTATGTACACAGTATGCGTTTATGATAAAACATCATAAGAATATGCGTTTTGTATCACTTTTTGAAAAAAAAAACAATGTTGGCGACAACCTTTAACCCTGCAGTTCTAAAAACAAAAAATATTCATAGAATGCTGTAGTATGTATATATAGGTCATTCAATAAGTAATGACACTAAGGCTGTCATTTTAAGAGATTACCACCGATCATCATGAAATTTGGTCAGATTAGCACAAATACACTGTTTTATAAGTGTGACGAATTTTATTAATACATACAAAATATAAAGTACAATTACCCCTTTATAAAAATAGAGACTATGATATTGATAGAGCTATTACTATATACAGAATATCACATCATTTTGAGTGATATCATTTTTATCGCCGAGTTGATATCAAATATCAACACGAGTGAGCGAAGCGAATGAGTGTTGATATTTGATATCTACGAGGCGATAAAATGATATCACGAGAAATTATGTGATATTGGGTTTATCCCATGATTACAATCACCTTGTGATGTTCTGATCCAATTTCCAGGACACTGGCAGACCTATTTTCTCAAAAGAGAATAAATTATCTGGCCTATTTTCCAACAATATTGTGGCGCGAAATGCAAATGTGATATCACACGGATATGCGTGAGATAAACGATATCACACGCATATGAGTTTGATAAACGGTTTTCTGGAAAATATCACACGGATTGCAATAATATCAGAAATATCAATAGCTGTTATTGTACAGATAACACATTAATCGTGGGATAAATTCTATTATTATATCACTATCTAGCTATAGCTAGCGACAGTATGATTGGTCAAAACCGGGTCACATGTCGTGGGATATCTGGCGATATTCAATGGCAATGCTAATTAGATAAGACAACCGTGAGATATCTAGCGATATCCCACGCTCTCGGGAATTTTCAAAGAATTTGTTTTCGTTCAGTGTAAATAATTTAGTTCAGTGTAAGTCAAAATGGCAGACGAACCGAGTAGATTCAATGTATTTCAATCATGTTAACCTATGACTTAATAATATTAGGGATGTTTAGCTAGACAGTGATATAATAAAACAAATATTTCACTCTATTTTCGGTGAATAATGTACCTGTACATCTTTCACAAGTGATATTCCACGAAGCCCGAAGGGCAAGTGGAATATCACCTTGTGAAAGTGCTCAATAGAGTGAAATATTTGTTCAATATTGTATACGTATCTGTTCATACTTAGGACCGTCAGCAGTTTCGCCGTACCAGCAGCGCACAGCACTAGGTTCAGTTGGTGTTGTCATGGTAATGCTAGCACTTGTTGCAGTCTAAAATGATGTATATTTTACATGTAACATATGACAATGTCCACATTAGTCTGATTTAGGTGGGATGAGTGGAAGATTACAAATAATGGAGACAAACTACTACTTAGATGAGACTTACTGTTTCTTTTGTCCATGAAAAAGAGGGAAGCTGGTAATTCTGAAAAATAGATTTAGCATACATTAGGGGTCGTGGGGTCGCATTTCCACCACCATCAGTCCTGATGATGCACCAACCGCACCCCCATCCATCTGCCCCCTTATTATACATTATATCCAATCAGTATAGGGTGGACAGACTTTTCCAAATCAGCTCTTAGTGCAGAATTTCATTCTGTGTTTTCATGAACATATTTAAGATGGTGATAGACTCGTGTTTATAGTGTTCCAGCTGTGCACGCAAGATATGATTTTCATCCAGTGATATGTAATATCCAGAGGGTAATGTTATGTATTTTAAGATTTATTGTTACATGAGGTTTTTACATTGGGTTTCTAACATTATGGATGTTTTGTTTTAATCATTTTCTTACCTGTAATATACCCAAGAAAAAGTTGCCCATATTTGCGAAGATTTCATCCCAGTAACCAATCATAGCGTGGTTGCTATCTACAAGCATCCTTTAATAGACAATCGTCCTTTAATAGACACTCGTCCATCAAAACTTTGGAAAACTTGATTCAACAATGAATATATTCAAATTATGTTTTGTTATTATTACAAATAGAATTTATATTACTTATTTTGTCTATTATAGAATCCTTTATACTGTTCATATTCGCTGAAAATGTAAATTAGAATAATACAAATTCATAACCTTATGATGAAATCCACTAACATCAGACGTTTGTTTCCAGCATTGTATTTAACTGACATGGATTCTATATAAGATCACGCAACTTACCATATCCATTTAGGCTGTGTAAGATCGTGATACCAGAAGCCGGGCTCGTCGGGTCGGAAGAACTCGTCGGCTGTCGTTTGAATGATCATCATGGGAACCGTCAGTCTGCTTCTGTATGCTTAAGGATCATAATGATTTGATTTAGAATAGTGTACATTCTGTCACTCAAATCACAATATTTAGAACATGTATGAATCCTTTATGGGCAATGTAATTATATTTTAGACAATGCATATTTGAGCCTCAACATAGGAAAAGCGGTCGTATCACAAAAACTAAAATTGTGCTACAGAGCCAAATTTAAATATGTCAAAAATTATGAAGACATGTGCTAAATTCAAATCCGTCTTTTTGTCTATATCTGCAAGAAGGAATTGTTAAAACATAAGTCATGGCTCATTTGAAAAGTATAAGTCTTCTTACTTTTATGTCACGTGCAATGTAAAGACCAATGAAAGAGTGGCGAATATAGCAGTATCGTACGTACTCTTACAGATATTGTTTATAAGTTTATAACGATCCACCTTTTAAAAGACGAGCAACTGTCAAAAAACACCAGTCTCATACTTACAATAAGGGTCAATAAGATTTGCCATGTCTTGTGTTCGTGGATCCTGTAGATACTGCGTAATATTTTCGTCCCAGTACGGGCCAAATGCCCAAGCCCAGCCCCCATACGCTCTATAGTGGTAATTGACCGTCTTGAATGAACAATCGATACATCAATCAAAACCTAATTAAACGTATATTAAGATAACTTGAACATGAACCAATTTTTTGATTGAAATTAATTGAAGCAGGAACAATATATAAGCACTAGTGCCTAGTGTAAAGTTTGCAATCGTGTCCATCGCCCGTACCGAGGCCTAAAATAATAGTTTTGTTTGGAGGTTATATTATTGCACGTTCAGGCTCGTGCAGCTGAACCTTTTTGTTGTATCCCGGTCAACGACTCATTACGTCATGCTTTACCTCAACGAGTTTAAGAACGCTGAAGACTTGTGGAACGGCTCCGATAACCCTTTGGTCAACTGCAGCAACTAACCACGTGGTCCAACCTCGCTATATCATAATACACACAAAAATGATTAATAAGGGGCATTTCTTTTGATCACCCGATTAAATACTATATAGTATGTAAAATAAGAAACAAAACCATGAATCAGTTTCGGTCTGTAAAATGTATCACTCAATTGATATTGTGTTATGAGATAATATTGTCACCAAATACAATAATACGACAAAAACACAAAAACAGACACATGTACGTTATGCGTACCAATGCTTTTCCTTTTCTGTCAAATATGAATGTTTTAATTTGGAAGATATTTGAGATGATATACCTATGATTAAATAACTTTTACCAAGCAAACATCGCAATTGGGAAGGTCTCTGGTATCACAGTATTTGTCAACCGTTCAAGGGTTCACGTATCCTTTTTTACAGCGCCTAAAATATTTACCTTAGATGCTCCCGCAGTAAAAAACTTTGTAATGTTGAACCGTTGATCTTGTGTCATTGTAAAGTTTGCAATCGTGTCCATCGCCCGTACTGAGGCCTAAAATAAGTATTGTTGTGGTCATACATAATTTTTACTTCAGGTGGTAATTAGTATTTGAAGGGAGATCTAGAAGTTTACTTTAATTACTAGGTTCAGGACGACAAACCTTGACCATAGGGTAGTAAAGTAGCAGTTCGGGGTCAGTTGCATTCCCTTCAATGTATTCCCTCCAAGTCCAGGCAATGATCGAATCCTCTACACGTTCAAGATCTGGTCGACTCTACAGGTGAGTGAAATCACATATCATTTGAGATGTATTTCATCCGCATGTGCGTATCATGTACGATTCTTTTGTAATTATAAAAACAGGAAATATAGGGATTTGCCATGACGCTTAGGCTTTAATGTAAATTAAAATTAGAGGGAAGTTAAGCTAGACGTCTTTTAAGAGAACATGTTTGAGTCATATTAAGATTCCCGGGGATAACTCTCCCCTCAAAATTTTCCCTATACCTTTTTACTCTTAAATTGGGGGTGATTAAAATACCAAATGCATGTACATGAAAGGTGTAAATGTATGTCTTTGTCGATGCACAAAAAGAAAAAATAGGGATCTCCTGATCTGCTCATCATCAAATATGGTGGTAACAAACTACATTATACAGTACAAAATAAAGTATCTGAACAGTGAACACATAGTTAGGACCAAACTGATGAAATAAATCATGACTTGTCTACGTCACTAATTCTTACTGATTTAGGAAGAGTCACGGGCTGTTGAGGAACTTGCATAAGGTATGCTCCAACCATTTGAGTACGCTGTGAAACCCGAGCAGCGCCATCTAGCAGATTTGAAGTTTCCGGATCCGGCAATCTAACAAAATAAATCACATACAAAAAACAATAAAGTTATCGAAAGTGGAATTAACGCGAACGTTTGAGCCAAATTGGACTCTCGTAAAGCTACATTCTATATGCTGAATTTTCAAGATTCTAAGTCTAAGAGATACAAATTCAATAGCAAAACCTGCGTACCTCGTAATGATCCCTGATTAATGATCACCGAATCGATTACGCTAACTAGGCCTATATTTAATAATAATGAGGGGAATAACCCAGAATTCATACAACAGTATACTACTGTAGTAGCTAGATGGACCCATCTTCATTTTTAATTTGAATCTAGATGAATCCCTATAGTCATCTAACATGAAGCTAGGTTCATCTCTGAATTGTGGGTTATTTCCTCCTCTCAGTCCCATTTTACTTACTCTGGCTCATCATTCATTCCAGCTCCAATAAAGAGGAAGGCCGTATCAAACACATTGACATTGTCAGGGACGGTTACCATGAGTTGATGGACCCAGACTGGGCGACTACTCTCTCTATCTGAAACATGGCGACAACAACGCAACATATAAGTGTACTGGCATTGCATGTACATGTACTTGTTTTAGCAGAAACTATTGTCCCAAGAGACTATTGTCCTTGTTTTTATTGCCATTTCCGTGGCCCTGAATGTGGATATGAATGTTGAATATAGGCCACCCGATCGTGTTTAACTATTAATGAAATGTACAATTAACACAGGGTATAGGGTAAACGGAACATCATATATGAGGTTCACAATATTAAGATTATCCCATGACCAATATATGATATCCGATTCCGGGACTTCGACCCACAGACAGTTATATTAATTAATGTTGCGCAGGATAATCCAAAATCCCGAATCAGGTCAAAGAAGCATATATTTTTACACTAATTTTGCTATTTTACGTACATATATTCGTCTATACGTATGAACATGTTGGAGCTGAAGGTCGGGTTATCGAAAGTCTCTATTCGTCTTTTGTGGTGAATGAAGCAAAACATACACGAATGGGGTACGACGGGACCTCCATAAACTGAACATTAAGTTGGACCTCTCGTAGGGCGTCATGGGTCTCAATGGGTTCTTTACCCCATGAAGTTCAATGAGAATCCGTGGTACTTTTCCCTCATGAAGCCTAACCGGGTCCCATCGCGTTCAATTTGACTCGATAGGGCTTCATAGGACAAAGCCCCATCGAGAATGAACATGTTAACTCTTTCAATGCTTAAATTAATATTACTCACTAGTTTTCCAAGTCTGTGACGTCATATTCAGGTAATAGATGGTCGTATCTTCGATAGTATCATCGTTGCTATCGTAACGTCGTGTTTCGGTGAGAGAGAATGTGTACGAAGGATCATCTCTATACACGTAGTTATCTAGTGACGTTTTCTGATCCCACTAAAACATACGTCATTAAAAATCCATTGTCATTTACGAACTCTGTTTTTTGTTTGCATGATTACAAAAATGACGTCACTTAAAATAGTAAAATTCATGACAGTTAAGCGTACGTACGTTCCAATTTGCTTGACCTTGTCCATCTACAGAAACTCCCAAGACAATCGCGAAGCACCATACGCTCCAATGTGCCATGATGCTTTTGCGACTAATTTGACATAAATGACATCCACTCTAAATTTAATCACGTGATTGAAGCTATTATGTCATTAACGAATCAAAACCTTGCGTACGAGAGGTATGTCTTTATTACAATAGACACTCAACTAGATATCCTTGACCTGCATTATTTTAAAAAATGTTGTAAGTTATCAAGTCTTAATGTTATTGTACATCGAGTGCGGTGGGAATACAACAGATTTGATTTCTTGGGATTCGTTAGTAACCCGGACAATCACCTCGTACTACAATATATCCCCATGGTTATTATTTTTTGAAAAAGTATACATTTTTCATAAGGACGATGCACAGAACTATTTTTCAAAAAGATGATACATGATGGGTGTCCCCTTTCTAATCAATCCCTTGGATTTCCTCCATGGAGCTGAGGAGAAGGAAAGTCAAAGGAGGGAAGAACCGTATGCTCTAGCATAGTGGAGGAGCTTGGGTTCATGTACAAGCTTCGTGCAAGCATGGTGATGGAGTTTTTAGATGAAGACACGCACACCTGGCAAAATATTTGGGACGCCCCTAATGCATTTTTCATCGAAAGGCTTCATTTAACTTTCAATTCAGAAAGGAAGTGAAATGTCCTTAGACTAAGGATACCTTGATGCTCTTTTTAACTTTTATGGAATGAATAATGGAAATATTACGCGGAGCCCATGGCAACGTCATTTTGGTTTGATTGATGGATTGACGAGCATACGTAGAGGATCGCTTCTAAACTGACAAAATCATTTTCAGTATGACGAAAAGTAACTAATGAGACTAACCATGTAAAGCAGACCTTTCCATTTGATTTACAATTTGGGCAAATTGAAAAAAGAGTCTCAAAATCACCAAGGGAATTTTTTATCATGTCTTCAAAATTATCATTTTAAGATTGAGATTCGTTTGTCAAACAACATTTTAACATTTTCATTTAAAAAAAACTTAACACATTATATATTTAAAGGTTACAGTGGCTATGACCCCCAAGAGGGAGTAGTATATGCCATGTGATAGTATTTAATTGTTCATCAATGTATTGCATAATTCAACATAAATAAATTGTAACTTGGTCTTTGTGTTGTGTTTTTTGTTTTAGTCATTCTTGTCATAAAACAGAGTAAACTAATATTTGTGAATCAGTAATCCTTAGGAGAAATCAGAGGTTTAAAGTGTGCGCCAAAGTTTAATACTGCGCAGGCGCAGCGTTCTCGCTAAACTATATAAAGAGATTACCAGGTACACGATCCAGAGGTAACCCAGGAAGGCGAACAATCTTCGCCTCGTGATGATTTCCCGTATAATCGTAACCAGGGAAGTTTCACCATTGAAATTGAAAATTACTATTAGATTATACTTTGTAGATGTTATTTATGAAGCTATTTAGTGTATGTATCAATCAAATGGCTCATTTTGGACATATAAAAAGTATTTGTCTTTTGTTTCCCCGGGAATCGTATTACCATGTAGTACACACAGAAATAGTGTACATTATGTAGTACATATTGAATAGCCTGGTATAGTAACACCGTGTTTATATAATATTGAAGGGCATGCTGATTGTACACATGAGTACATGCATGCTAGAAGGCCAGATTTATAGCTTGCATACCTAAATAAAAAATAAACCCTTCTAATCCCCTTATGTAAATACGGCGGTATACGTAGCCCGATTTATCGGAATCTTTAAGAAATGGAAGTCAAGTCAAATTCCTTTATATTAATGCTAATAAAGTTCCTTATTTCCAGTAATTTTAGATTGAAGCCTTTCGTATGAATCAAGTGCATCGGCAATCTCTAAAGACCAAAGAAAGACTGGACATAAAAATGACTATAGGTTCCCTAAATCTTTAAAGCCGCGATTTTATTTCGTTCAGAGTATAGACGCCTTATCAAGACATACAAGGTTATCATGTGTAAACAGGTTTTTACAAGAATCTACCTCAAAAGGTGTAAATCATTGAAGTTGAATCGATTCATAATGCTAAAAGAAACCCACCCGTTCATACAAAACAATTGACCTGGGAATTCATTCAATATAGATTCATAGGCAATGTAGCAACGGTTATTTGACAGTTTACTACTTTTCAACATACACCACTTGGCTTGGAGTTGTTTAGATACATCACCGAGACTTAATTCCGAAATGGCGGATTATCAAAACGTCGAAGGGATTGTAAACCCCGCTGGACCAAATGTTGGCAACGATTATGTAAGTAAACTGTGTCACTTTTGTCCTCAGACTTTGTCCTATCGCATGGACGTAGCCAGACATAAGGCAAGCGAGGTACATGTAGCTACCTCACCAAAATGTTAATGAGACATGTTTTCAGTTGATACTGTGAAGTAGGTGTATAGTGTTAGTATCACATCGCTTAAACTTAATTTTTGTCTCACCTATTAAAATTTGCCTCAACTATTCGAATCTGCCTCGCCTTTTAAGGTTTCCCGTGTCTATTTTGAGATCTTGGCTACGCCTTTGCATAGTGAATGGTACAGACAGATATATTGCATTAATTTGGCCCAGTAGTCAGTCTGATAGTTTAATTTTATTGTTGCAGTAACCACAAATTATGCATTCTATTATACGGTTAGCTTTTCAGCCTCCCAAATTGTGATTTATGAAAGAGCAAATTGGATTTGACCAGGATCAATCTAACGCACAGTTTGTGCTAATAAAACTTCCGAATAGTTTAGCCTTAACTTCGATCAAACAATACGAGCACACCTTAACATAAGTGTATAAACGGTCGTATATAAAGTATAAAGATTGTACTTGCAGTTGCTGCACACACAAATCTTAATAATAATGAATATTAATTAGAAATTCGAACGTGCATTGTAGAATTCTCATCCACGTATAGATGGCAGTCTGGATCGGATGAATTATGAAAAACCAGCAAGGTAAATATGGAGGTGGAAAGTAGTTTTAGGTTTTTACATATCCAAAATATCAAAAGAACATCTCAAGGGTTTTATATATCATTCAATATTGATCATTCTAAAAATAGTTTTATTTGAATTCAAATACAAAAGCACTGTGACACTGTTGCACTAGTGTTACTGCTATTTCTTTAGTTATACGATTCAATTCAATGAAAATAGTTTACCTGGCGAGTCGTACGCAGTTTTCCTCCTCTTGGCAGTTTATGAGATCAAGCCTGCCACTAGCTACTAAATGCTTTTCCGTTAAGTAGGCGTGAAACAGAGGCAGCATCAAATCATTTCTTGTTCTAAACATTATCAAAAGAACGGCAACACAATCTGACTATAATGAGTATAGACACAAGTTAGTGCCAAAAGGAAAAACCAAAAAGTAATACATCAGTCAGAAAGTATATTTCTTCATTTATTGAATACATTAATAAACCTTTATTTTCCCTGGGTTCGGTCAAAATATTCGATATAACTCGGGTATTGCAATGCGTTTTCAAGCATCATTTCACGTATGTTTGTTTTTACCAAGGGACCCTTTCCAAGTACATTCAGATATTATGCTTCTGATTAACCGTACTTAGTGTTTTATGCCTTGTTTTTGCTGGCTCCTGGGGTTAATGTCCGACTGTGACTACTGGATACTATAATCATAGACTTAAAACTCCTAGTACAAGGCAAACCATATGATTGGTTAGATAATGGTAATGTGACCATAGGTAGCTGATATGATTGGTTAAACATGGTCATGTGACCATATATGTGAACGTTCGAAAAGTAAAGTGGCCATACTGTATTCCCAACTTCACACACAATTTAACACGCACTATGTTACGTCTGTAGATATACAATCCGACCATGCACCCTGCCGCGTTCAGTAGTACAAAAATGAAAACCGATTTAACTTAAGTCGTATTTGCAAACGTGCGACATTATTACAAAATTCACATAATGCAAATAACTGTATAACGTTGATGTTTAAATTCGAAAAGCGCAGGTCATGTGGGGTAAATACGAGTGTAAATGTTGCATCGCTTCTGTAAGCACAGTTCATTGTTATAATACATATCTTTTCAAGGGACTGTATTTTGTATTTACTGTGCCATTGAATGACGTTATTTCTTGGCAAATAACTTGGCAGAAAACTGAAGCCAAAAACGAAAACTTACAGTGGCCAACTGGGTAATCTTTAAATACCCAATTTGCGTCCTATTAGTTGCGACTTAAGAAAAGTTACTTAAATTATTAGCGGCTTGTATTTATAAATCATCGCTTATTAACGTTTCAACGGAGTGGGAAATGGGAGAGGATGCAAAGCGTAGGAGAGATAATGGTTACGAGCGATCATACGGCTATAAGCGTTAAGTGAAAAAGTCGAAAGCTGAAAATTGCGCATCTATCAAAAGTTGTTTTACATTTACAATACAGAGGCTAGACAACCGTTTAAATATGATCCCCTTTGAGTTTGCGTATTGGGGGAAAAACAACTGTTGAAGCATACTTCATTTAAGTTTGGTGATCGACGAAAGCTTTACCTTGTGTTAGAATCATGGATATCGAAGAAAATACATTCGCTGGGCGGGATTAATTGTCAGTGGCGCGTGATAATGATGAACGCAGGGAGCTCAGACGTTGAACCCAATTGATATATAATCTTAAACGCAGCCAAGATAAACGTTCACAGTATTTAAAGTTGACATCGATTAAAGCACAGTGGGAGCCACTGCTGGCAATAAATAAAAAAGAATGCAAATGAGACACTTAAATAAAGGATAGCGAAATAACAAAATATTCATTGACACCAAGCTGCCTAAGTCACTATGGCCTACAACTGGAGGTTAACATATGATAACGTTATATACGAACAGAGATAAACATGTTCGATGCAAAGATGTCTTTAATGGGATTATAGCAAATATTACGCCTAAGAAAACATAAAGTGCAGATAAGGCTCATAGATGGTTCTTATTACCTAGCTATTTACAAATATGTTTGCTGCCACGGTACATCTGCCATATTAAAGTACAGTATTTTGTTGTTAGACAAGATTTTCTTTATTAATTATACAGCACTGCAGTTTCCCATGTCTGCAACCAACAAATGTGTCCTTGATTAAATACATGAAAACATCAAACGAAGGATACGTGTAGCGTAGATATTCTAAATGTCATATGTTATACATAAAAACATCGAACGACGGATACTTGTTGCGTAAATATCATAAATGTGATAGTTATAGTGCTCTGCTATAATTTGAATGTATTCATGCATACCAGTGTAACATACCATGAGGTGCCCTATAATGTTCGAAATGTGCGAAATTCTAGACGATGTAGCAATGGGAAGCTGCTCGGGCTGGCGATCTTCATACTTCTTGCATTGGGCACTATAGGGGTCGCTGTCTATCTTAAATTCTACACGTTGGCGCCTGAAGAAGTTGACAAGACTAATATCGATCGTAAGTGTTTAGTTTACATGTATTGCATGTATTGTGTACAATATATTTGTGCAAATCCTCGTTCTGTTATTTAATCTTTGTGTTTTGCAGTTAGCAAGATGCTCTAGCTAGTATAACAATACTCCCTCTTTGATCTAACATAATAGTATAAAATGTCCTAATAAGATAACTTAAAATTTACGATGGAATGGTGATCGTACATATTTTTCCTAATGTTTAAACTTTACACAATAAACATAACATTCCTTAACATTTTTTATGTGTTTATATGTTCCTTTATTTCCGCCTTCAAGATGAGTATATAAATGATTTCGATTTTAAAAGTTACAACGTGAATTTTATAGACAATATTTTGATATAACGAAGAGATTTTCCAGATTTGTGAATTTTCCTGATATCATTTTAATATACAATTCACAAATGGGGTAAAGTCCCACCGTGCCCAATCGGTGTATGGGGGTATTTTCAGATAAAGACCATATACCTGAATTCGTGCATGTCTTGTTCAGTCATAAGTGATAGGTTTATCATGCTTTTCGGTTGATAAAGAAAGTAAAAAATATATACACCTGTTAGATCGAACCCCGATTGCATTTAAACTTAAATTTAATATTATTTGAAACTACATATACGTAGATTGTCGAGCTTTTGAACCAAGCACATTTTCAACAAAATACTTCAAAAATTATTGGATTTAGTCATTGTGAGTTCCCATAAAATTGTTAAATGAATAATGGGAGTGAGGGGAGGCGTAATTAGTTGAACATTTATGCATCTTGAAAGCTTATCAAATATCACTTTAAACCTTCAGTAACATCCATATTTTAACAATGAAATAAGAATTGCAAGGGGATCCTATGCCAGAATTTTGAAAGATTTAATACTTGATCATAATTATTAGGTCCCTTTTATTTCAGCATTGGTGATTCACACAGCGAGTGGACAAGTGCATGGCATGACGTCACAATCTCCTCAAGGTCAACAGGTGCAGGAGTATTTGGGGATACCATACGCAGAGCCACCTGTCGGTGATTTAAGATATGCAAAACCAAAACCATATGGGATGTTTCCAAATGGTACGTCTGACAGAAGTATCCACAGAATAAGGAATGTGTATAGAACTGGCACGCTACAATTAATAAATAAATTAGTTAAATTTAACCTCGCATATATTGCGCCTGGGGAGAACGTGTTTCCTATTACTAGTCCTGTGGTTTTGATTGATGTATCGTATGGGGGTAACAGGCTAATTGTTTTAAGGAATTGTTGAATGGATGATTACTATCCCTACACTATTTGACTGCTAATTCAATTGTATCTTAACGCTGGTAGATGGTAGAATTAGCTCTTTACATATTAAACGCAGTGTATCTTTTAACACTATATATACACCTAGTCATCCAAAAAACACGAACAGGCTTTTTCTAATCTCTTTAAAGTAATCAATTGTTCGAAAAAGAACAGTATATCTTGATCAGATATAACAGTTGTATTTAAAACATTGCGCAAAACAGACATAAGGTGAGTTCTACCATTTGCTATGCAGATTACCAAAATTAATTATAACAACTATTTGTTATCATTTCATATCCAGGTACCTATAACGCATCAAGCTACAGAAACTCATGTTTTGGGTTCATCGATGAAACATTCGGCGACTTCAGAGGATCAGATATGTGGAACCCAAAGAATCCACTAAGCGAAGACTGTTTGTTCCTTAATATATGGGTTCCACTTCCAGTCAAGCAGAAGCGGGCAGTAATGGTAATGCATTTAAAGTGATATTAATGCATTGGATTTTCCATAATGTATTACCCTAATGTCTCTTAAATATCCGAAATTGATATAAAATTCACGGTGTGAACTATGAATTAATGCGCTTGTGAAACAATGTAAAGTAAGAGGCTAATCCGATTGATGGCAACAGGAGATTTTCTATGTACAGTAAGTTGACACCTCATTTCACTGCTTCGTTCATCTCATTTATCGCTAATTACATTTCCACTGAAGGCGGAATAATCTCCATTCAAATTCCCAAAGGCTACAGTTATTAAATTGTACGATTTACATAATTTTGTTTTATGAGACGAAGCTTTTACTTTTCGAACATCCTCCACGATGTCCAACCCAAACGCTCTTTCATGCACCCCGGGCGTTTCAAATACGTTGACAAATACGTTTATGAATTTTGGTAACTATACTGTTTCGTACAGCTCTTCCTAATTGACCCATTCCCATATAAATGGAAAATAGATGGCATCATGGGTTAGGGCTAGAATACATGTAAATGTATTACCAGAGCCACTTAATTTCTTGATTTAAGAAGTAATTCCATTTGGATCAACTTAAAACACCATTGGAATATAACTATATAATCTTACTGACATGTGGATTGTGATTTCACATTAAAATTGTGATCCTTGTGAGAGTAAATGAACTTTTAAAAGTTGTTAAGCATTGTGCCAATGGGGATTTAGCCCGACCTTTTTAGACAAGTTTAAAATCATTAGAATTTGAATAAAGATAAATAATGGTGGGAATCAAAATTGTTTTGGTAGAAAATGACTCACAGAATTCAAATATGCCATCAAATAGAAGCAAATGTTAGTCTTTAATGGTTAAAAATGAAGATCTCCTAAAATCTCATTAAAAACGAGACTTTAACGAGATTCCAAAGCTATATGGAAAAGAGGACCATTGCTTCAAATTTCAACAGCCAGCCCAGTTCAACATGAATATCACACCCATCGAATGGTATACTCGAAATAAGTAACACATACCTCTTATTCCCATTATTTGGGAAATCGTCAGACGGCTGATCATTCCCGCCCGCCATTTTTCCTACTCCGGAGCGTTTCTTTGTTTAGTTTCAGTAATGAAACGCTCCGTCGTGCATGCAAGAGCGCTTGGGTTGGACACCGCTTCCTCGAAACTACAATTAATTTATCTGAACAAGGTGGGCAAAAATCGGTTGTAATTTTCACTTTCAAACGCTAGTGAAAATAGGTCCATATCTTCAAAAATTGGGTTAAAATATTTTCAAAAATGCTCAACAATTTACGAGCCAACGTTTTTTCCAGAAAACTGTAAATGTGCACCCTCTCTTGTGAATTAATTGGATTAAGTGAATTGGGTTATCAGAATAGTTGGGCAAGAGCCGGAACATTTGGGTAGCCCAGAACAGTTGGCCTTCCACATACGTACTTATTATGGCGTTTTATTTTACATAAACGCCTCTTGGCTCATACAGTACTCACATCAGAAAGTGCCATCTCAGAATTAATGAACCATGTATTGTATCTTACCTTTTGTAGGTGTGGGTATTCGGCGGAGGTTTTTACAGCGGAAGTAGTTCCCTCTCTGTATATGACGGAAAGGCGTTAGCTGCGCACGCAGATGTCGTAGTTGTATCTATGAACTACCGAGTCGGTTCCTTCGGATTTTTCAGTACTGGGGATGACAGATCAAAAGGTATGTAAACGTTTAGTCTACTTGTTTTGTAACGGAAATAAAGCAATCACTTTTCAAAATTAAAACATGTATAAATAATGCTCCCACGTATTTGTGTTCAATTGTTTGAAAGTTGTTTCTGAGTCCAAAATGGGGCTCCTTAAGACATTGAATGGTTTAAATTCCAGGGAACTTCGGGTTACATGACGTGTTACTTTCCCTTAAATGGATAAATACAAATATTGGGTCATTTGGAGGAGATAAGGATTCAGTGACTTTATTCGGAGAAAGTGCTGGTGCAGCTACTATCGGATATATGTTAATGGCTGACGAGGCAGATCCACTATTCAAAAGGGCAATACTACAAAGTGCGAGCCCTGATTCCAGATGGTCATATATGACTGAGGAGCAGGCCAAAGAACGCTCTCAACTGTTTGCAAGCGCTATGACTTGTAAGGACAATGCCAACCTTATGGAATGTTTGCGGACTAAAGATGCAGACGAAATTTATGCGAAGGACTATGTAACAGGCAACTTCTTTGAATTTCCTTGGGTACCAAATAAAGATGGCGAACTTGTAGAAGACAATCCACGTAATCTCATAAAAGAAGGGAAATTCCAGAAAAAGGACATTATTGCCGGGGTTAACACAGACGAGGGGTCATTTTGGATCCTTTATGCGCTTCCAGGGTTTTTCAAGGATAACTCAAGTGAACAAAGTGAACAAATGTACCGCGACGCCATTAAGACATTAGATTGGGATCTCCCTTCTGGTACCAAGGACCTAATCACAACTGAATACCTTCCAGCTGACACTTCTGATAAAAATGCAAACAGGGATGCTATTGAAGATGAAATGGGAGACAGAGCATTCATCTGTCCAACCATAAACCTGGCACAGGATTTCTCCGCTTCTAACTCAGGGAATACTGTTTACATGTATTATTTGTCACATCGCGCCTCAAATGAGGTGTGGCCAGAGTGGATGGGGACCATACATGGCGCCGATATTCAGGTACTTAAATTCCCTTTGGTAGAATAAAAGCCTAGACTATATCTGTAATTCAAGTACCCTATATTTTACAACAACTGGCTATAACATTATATTTTATTTACTTTACTCGTAACAGATATAAAATAGTTAAAGCAAAATAATACAATACAGTTCGCAATAACGACAACTTTAAATGTGACCAAAATATGAACAATTCTTACTTTTAGTGGATATTTGGTCTACCATTAGACAAGTCACGAGGGTACACTAAAGAGGAAGAGGTGCTATCTAAAGATATAATGACGTACTGGAGCAACTTCGCCAAAACAGGGTAAAATACATCACTTTGATTTAATTAAATATAAGTCATTGAGGAGTACACATTTACTTACACTAAGGAAAGTGGCAAAATTGTCATATCGTTGGCTCATTTAGTTGGTATACGCTTAGTCATATGTTTCTTTATTTACGTTTTACTGACGTTCAAACATTTACAAATTGTTATGTTTCAGGAATCCAAATGGCGCTGGACTTCCCGAATGGCCAACGTATAGGGAAGATGCATATACGCACTTAGAATTCCGCGAAGGAAACTCTCAAGGCGTGTATCCAACAGGGTCTAAACACAGGGAGAAATATTGTACATTTTGGAACTCACTCCCTTGATGACGTTGTGATTGGACTTTACAATTTTATTGAATATAAAACGTCAGATAATTCGAACGATAAAAAAAGTAAAATTTGTATAACGGAACACATTTGGTTTACCAATCTTGATTTTTTTCCTATTTTCACTGGCAAGAACTTTAACAAACGACAAAACCGTTTGAACCTGTTTGATATACAGGGCTACCCTCGTAAACTCTGGAGCATTACATGGTTCCCCTCTGTAATATTTGAGACGAGCTATTGCTGGCTTTGTTTCTTCAATACTGATTAATAAATGGTTAATTAAAATGATCTCATTTCTTGGACGTTATTAATGTTGCTCTTTGAATATCTATACCTGCCTTATGGGCTAATAAGTGATGTAGCTCACCGACTTGTGTGAACTTTAGGCATAATGTGTTTATGGTAATAACTAAGGATACAGAATTAATAGATAAATAATAATGTTGATAAGTTGGACGCTAAGACGTCTTGGCTATGACTAGGGTCCTAAAACGTTTTAGCTAAGCGCTCTTAGCCGAGAGCTCTTGAGAAAATCTGGATTTACATTACATTTGTAAAGACGTGTCGCAAAAAGCTCGCGCACGCATTGTTACACATTTTGTGGCGTAATCCAGAGGATCCTCGCTTTTAACATGATAGAATGTGACGTTTATGAGAAAAATATACACACGTGAAAATCCTTTCGTCCTCCACATTTACCTCTATATCTCAAAACATTTTAGACGAATAACTCTGATATCATATATATATTGTTAATGGGCTAGGAGCATCATAAAACACGAATCAATTGATATTTTAGGTGAAATAAATATACGTGTTGCTGTGCTTGAAAATAGGCGAATGGCGTAAATTAGCCCTATTTTAATGAATTTTGAAAACCTTTCGTCCTCCACTTTTCCACATACAACAGAAAACACATACTTTTGTGAACGAAATCAACTATTTATTAATAAACTAGAGTTTAGGAGCAAAATAATCATGTATGATTTATTAAAAATTGACCTCGTATTTTTTGTTAAATGTACACCTGAAAAGTTGAAGGTACCAAAAATGAGCAAAAAAGGTCACTGTCAACAGATTCTATTTTTCAAACTCCATGACGTCACAATATGGGACGCTTACTAAAATTCATCCTTTGAAATAAAACGTCCATCTACCTTTATCAAGACGAAAAATAAGTATAATAGTCATATATTGTTTGAGTTATGAGCGTTTAAAGACGAAAAATAATTCAAAATGTAACGTGTCAACATGGGATATTTGCCAGATGTTTTGGTAAAAAACTCTTTTTTAAAAACGAACGCGCAAAAAATGTGAACGGAGTGTAGTTGATCTAAAATCTTCATCGAAACAGCTTTAAAATGATATATAACTTTAATTAGAATATTATCTTATAATCCGGGGAATCAAAGTTACATTCACGCGATACCCTTAAAAAACAAATGCGCCACCTTTTTGCGACACGTCAAAACGTTTTAACGCTAAAACATTTTGGCCAAGACGTATTAGGGCTCTAGTGTAAATCCACCAATTATTGCGATAAACTGACCGTTACATTATTTGAATATTTATATTTATCATCATGCATTGATTTTTAAAACATGTTCAATTAATGTTCAGGACACAGTTTTTGATCGATAAATCCTCAGGGATGATTAATGTTCTCAGTGAAAGGACCTAGTATGGTTTGTCCATACTGAACTTTTGACTTGCTTAACTTGCTAATTACTAGTTATTTGCATTTAAAGAGGCAACTTGCATATTTCATCAGATATCTCCTTTGTCATTTTCAGATTATCAAATTAAAATTGCCAGGCTTTTTTAAAAAGATTGTTTCCAAAATGTTTACAGTCTTCATTCTTTGCTATTACTTTTATACAGTATATATAACAGTCAGTACACAGTCAGAAACTACAAGCTTGTAGCTGAGAAGCGGGGGTAGCGAAAATAGTGATATTGATCTATTAGTTTTGAAGATCGAAAAAGCTTCGAGAACTAAAAGCCCAAACTGTCTGTGATCCTTTAAAGTGATACTTATAAGACCTTGCACGTGTATGTGTTTTCTATCGAAACAATTTTGGACGTTGATATATGACATTTATATTATTGATCAGATGTGTGTGCTTCTTTTTCATTGCACATTTGGACGTGGATACGAGATGTCGTTTTTCGTCTTTCTCATTTTCTTATGCTTTGTATCATGCAATGCACGAAATACAAACTCATTCATTAAGCTAATGAATAAGAAATGCCCCGGGAGTGATCATGTTGGAATGGATGGAAACGATGTCATTTTGGATATGTGCAATTCTGTAAGTTGAAATATGTTATCATCTATTTAAATTGCTCCGCAGAACCTGTATTTGCGTTACTATGACAATCACCCTTTGCTATTATTAATTATATCTCACTAAATAATTTTTTCAGGGTAGTTAGAAAAATGTAAAATGCTTTTTCCCTGAAAAGGGGAATGATAAATGACAATAGATTAAAGTTGAAGAACAATATAAACTTTACTTACTGAACGCCCTGTACTTGAGATTGAATTATTTATCTTTGCTTTGATCACGACCTAACATAATTGTTCTAATGTGTGATAATTCTATTCTATAATTTTGATGTTTGGTGCTTGATGATGTCTGAGCTAAAACGTCTGATTTATCTAGAGTCAATTGCAAACTAGTAATCGTAAATAATAAATCACTGTTTCAATTGTTTATAATTCTGTTTGTGAAAGTTATCTATTCACAATGATGCAATAGAACTCCAGAGGGAATAATATGCTCATATAGTGTATCTTTAAATTGCAAGTAATATCATTTAGGCTGTGGGACAATATAATAGAGCACGTGGCCACAATGGGAAATGGAAATGCAAATTGTTTGTCAAAAGTGACGACGTTTTCGCGATGAAGGTAACAAAGGTTTCTATAACAAAACAAAGAAGTAAGACACAAATTACAAAGCAAGCAAATCTATCATCCTAGTAAAGTTCTAGTAAAGGTACAAATGACAGTTGGTAAGCTTGTTATGTAAAGCATTGCTTAAACAAAAATGTTGTGTTACGAACCATGTCTTGCAATATAAATTTGATAAATGATATTAGGTAAAAATCCTAAAGAGGGGACGTCCGAAAACATTCATCCATATCTTAGTAAACCAAAATGGAGAATTAATTAAAGAGCAAAAAGGCTTCTACAAGAAGAAGGACTGCATCAGATTGAATGGTACGTATGATCAACTGAAGATTACTAACTGAATTAAATAGTGCAATTAAATGGTAACAATACTCGAAGTAGTACTTAGATTCAAGAAAGAAATTGATCCGCTGGTAGTTGACAACATTTTTTTGAATTATTTCAGCAATGGGGATTAATACAAATAGCGGACTAGTACATGGCGTGATGTCAAAGTCTCCACAAGGCCAAATCGTGGAAGAGTATTTGGGAATACCATATGCAGATCCACCTGTCGGTGATTTAAGATTCGCAAAACCAAAGGCATACAGAATGTTTCCGAATGGTATATTTAGTATATTTCATTTAATGATAATCAGAAAGTGAAAGACATTTGTGCCGCAGTTTTGACATTTTTGGCTCCAATTTTTGGCCCTAAATCTGATCTGGGACCTATTTCTAAAAAATAGACCTAAAATTAAAAAATGCCTAGTAATGCAAGGCTGTACCTAGATTGCCCAATTTGTGTGAGAAGAAGCAGATGTTGGATTTTTCGAGGTCCAGCAAGGTGGCGGGGGGGGGGGGGGCTAGCTCCCATATCCGCCACTGATCTTGATCTTCACCGACACTGTTGTTTCCGACAGATTTCGCAGAATCGGTATGTTATGTATCCGTTGCTATCTTTTTTTTTTTACCTGAAATCAATTCTTTTGAAACTATTCTTATCATTACATGTTTAGGTACCTATAACGCAACAAGCTATAGAAACTCATGTTTTGGGTATATCGATGAAACATTCGGTGACTTTAAAGGATCAGATATGTGGAACCCTAAGAATCCACTAAGCGAAGACTGTTTGTTCCTGAATATATGGGTTCCACTTCCAGTCAGGCAAAATCGGACAGTAATGGTAAATGCATTTCAAGTGATATTTAGTGCATTTTACTTTCCATAATCAATGCATTACTCTTATGTCTCTTAAATATCCAAAAATGATATGAAATTCATGATGTGAACTATGTGCTTGTGAAATATTGTCAACCAAAGGAGTTATCCGACTGATAGCAACTGGAGATCTTCTATGTAAGTTGACTCCTCATTTCACTGCTTCGTTCATCTCATTTATCGCTTATTACATTTTCCACTAAAGGTGTTAAATTGTACGATTTACATAATTGTGTTTGATGAAACGAGGCCTTTACTTTTCGAACATCCTCGAAACTACAATTAAGTTTTCTGTACATGGTGGGCTCATATCTGTCACACGTTTCACACGCTATGGAATTCAAAAGGATATATGATATATATATGAAAGGATATATGAAGGATATATGAGTTAATAATGCAATTATTTCCAAAACGGAATACAAATACTCCGTATTTAAGAACACTTTAAAACAATTAGAACTAGCCTTTTGCAATAGTTTCCTTAAAAAAGCTTTATCTACGATATTTTAAAATTAATACCAGCCCTTTGTATTTCCGGGTAATCAGAACTGCGCAGATAGCAGAATTTTAGAGATTTTTCTCTGTCTAGAAAACTAAGGATTAATTGTCCATGTATTCTGTCTTACCTTTTAGGTGTGGATATTCGGCGGAGGTTTTTACAGCGGAAGTAGTTCCTTGTCTGTATATGACGGAAAGGCTTTAGCTGCGCACGCAGATGTTGTAGTCGTATCCATGAACTACCGAGTCGGCTCCTTCGGATTTTTCAGTACTGGGGATGACAGATCTAAAGGTTCTTTGACTTTCAATTCTTTACAATAACATCAAGAAATGAGTTGGCCTAATATGTAAACGTTGTTTTGTATCGGAAGTGAAACAGTCGCCTATCAAAATTAAAACCAAAATTTTCCCTTATACATAAGGCTCCGATGTATTAAAAAGATATTCCTGATTTCAAATGGGGCCTTCAAACATTGTATTACATTTCATACCCAGCGAAGCATTTGTATTGAAGTCAATGGAGCTGAAGGTCGGCTATATATTCCTGTATAGCCGCTTTTTACCATGACATTCTTATGACGTCATCGGGACGTCATGTTTCATTTCTTCCTAATTTCACTCGCACAAAGACACGCGGCGTCATTGATATACCGTAACCATGATATAAAAGTATGTAATTCAACAGTTATGTCCGTATCATTGAATATAGGCCCTATGCCTTCGGTCTGTCGTAATATAGCGCTCGCAAGCTCGGGCTATATTGGTGACAGACCTCAGCCATATATTTAGAGGTTATGTCACTATGACGTGAAATATGCCTGAGTTCTCCCAATATAGGCCGACCTTGGGAGGCTCTATATTTGGGCAAGAACGAAGGCATATTTCACGTCATAGTGACATAACTGATGTATTAAATGCCTTTGTTCCCATGGTTACTTTGTATCAATGACGTGACGTCATGATATTATCATGGTTATTAAAGAAATCTAATATCAAAACGAGGTAAGCGGGCTATATCGGGGTAATCGGGCAATATCGGTGGATATAGCTCGCTAACTTTCCCATTGACTTCCATACAAATGCTTCGCTAGGTATGTAATACTCAATGATATTGACATAACAGCGAAGAATAGTTTAAATTCCAGGGAACTTCGGGTTACATGACGTGCTACTTTCCCTTAAATGGATAAATACAAATATTGGGTCATTTGGAGGAGATAAGGATTCAGTGACTTTATTCGGAGAAAGTGCTGGTGCAGCTACCATCGGATATATGTTAATGGCTGACGAGGCAGATCCACTATTCAAAAGGGCGATACTACAAAGTGCGAGCCCTGATTCCAGATGGTCATTTATGACTGAGGAGCAGGCCAAAGAACGCTCTCAACTGTTTGCAAACGCTATGACTTGTCAGGACAATGCCGACCTTATAGAATGTTTGCGGACTAAAGATGCAAACGAAATTTATGCGAAGGACTATGTAACAGGCAACTTCTTTGAATTTCCTTGGGTACCAAATAAAGATGGCGAACTTGTAGAAGACAATCCACGTAATCTCATAAAAGAAGGGAAATTCCAGAAAAAGGACATTATTGCCGGGGTTAACACAGACGAGGGGTCATTTTGGATCCTTTATGCGCTTCCAGGGTTTTCCAAGGATAACTCAAGTGAACAAAGTGAACAAATGTACCGCGACGCCATTAAGACATTAGATTGGGATCTCCCTTCTGGTACCAAGGACCTAATCACAACTGAATACCTTCCAGCTGACACTTCTGATAAAAATGCAAACAGGGATGCTATTGAAGATGAAACCGGAGACAGAGCATTCATCTGTCCAACCATAAACCTGGCACAGGATTTCTCCGCTTCTAACTCAGGGAATACTGTTTACATGTATTATTTGTCACATCGCGCCTCAAATGAGGTGTGGCCAGAGTGGATGGGGACCATACATGGCGCCGATATTCAGGTACTTAAATTCCCTTTGGTAGAATAAAAGCCTAGTCTATATCTGTAATTCAAGTACCCTATATTTTATAACAACTGGCTATAACATTATATTTTATTTACTTTACTCGTAACAGATATAAAATAGGTTAAAGCAAATACAATACAGTTCGCAATAACGACAACTTTAAATGTGACCAAAATATGAACAATTCTTACTTTTAGTGGATATTTGGTCTACCATTAGACAAGTCACGAGGGTACACTAAAGGGGAAGAGGTGCTATCTAAAGATATAATGACGTACTGGAGCAACTTCGCCAAAACAGGGTAAAATACATCACTTTGATTTAATTAAATATAAGTCATTGAGGAGTACACATTTACTTACACTAAGGAAAGTGGCAAAATTGTCATATCGTTGGCTCATTTAGTTGGTATACGCTTAGTCATATGTTTCTTTATTTACGTTTTACTGACGTTCAAACATTTACAAATTGTTATATTTCAGGAATCCAAATGGCGCTGGACTTCCCGAATGGCCAACGTATAGGGAAGATGCATATACGCACTTAGAATTCCGCGAAGCAAACTCTCAAGGCGTGTATCCAACAGGGTCTAAACACAGGGAGAAATATTGTACATTTTGGAACTCACTCCCTTGATGACGTTGTGATTGGACTTTACAATTTTATTGAATATAAAACAGATAATCCGAACGATAAAAAAAGTATAAAAACACATTTGGTTTACCAATCTTGATTTTTTCCTATTTTCACTGGCAAGACCTTTAACAAACGACAAAACCGTTTGAACCTGTTTGATATACAGGGCTACACTCGTAAACTTTGAAGCGTTACATGGTTCCCCTCTGTAATATTTGAGACGAGCTATTGCTGGCTTTGTTTCTTCAATACTGATTAATAAATGGTTAATTAAAATGATCTCATTTCTTGGACGTTATTAATGTTGCTCTTTGAATATCTATAACTGAATCCAATTGCAATGATAATCTATGCTTCCATTTTCTCTTTCATTTTGATTCATTCAGCTTCATGACTAAAACATTATTATTAGACATTACGACCCATGGAATACATACGCCCCTTTGGGTGTCTTTTTTCATGTTAATGAAGGAAAAATGGGACTCAGTCCCCAACAATATAAAAAAGCCAAACTTCTTCAAAAGGAGATCAAATATTAAAACAAAACTAGATCAACTTCCCGTTTGACCTTATACAAATCACAAAAATCAACCTTAATCAAATGACTGTTGACCTATTTAAATTGCAAATATATGTAATTGGCTTCACAAATGTAGATTCACCAAACTGTCAATACAGAGAGGTCGGGACTGTCAAGCACATATTTTCCATTGTGGTCTCAACTTGAACTCTGATTATCTAAATGTTAACATTCTCCATTAATAAGATACCATTCAAATAGACAGAAATGATCTTATGAAAACATTGTTATTTGGTCATCCAGATCTCTCAAATGAACAGATTATTTTGATAAGTTACAAGTTTTCTAATAGCCAATTCTACTTAAATGCTCAACATGGCCTCCTCTGATTGTCATAGAGCATCTTATCATTTTGCCCAAGCATCATTACCAATACCAGCAGCAAGCACCTATTGTCAGAAAAACACATCTTTGTGCATACCCAATGTTCCTTTTTAAAATCAAGAGTGAACATAATGCCAACAGTTCTAAACGATTTTCACTCATATTATTGACTACAATTATATTAAGATGAAGAAACAAAAATATTATAATAAAAAATTGAAGGTTGATAAGTAAGTTTGATTATTGCGATAAACTGACCGTTACATTATTTGAATATTTATATTTATCATCATGCATTGATTTTTAAAACATGTTCAATTAATGTTAAGGACACAGTTTTTGATCGATAAATCCTCGGGGATGATTAATGTTCTCAGTGAAAGGACCTAGTATTGTTTGGTCATACTGAACTTTTGACTTGCTTAACTTGCTAACGAGTTATTTGCATTTAAAGAGGCAACTTGCATATTTCATCAGATATCTCCTTTGTCATTTTCAGATTATCAAATTAAAATTGCCAGGCTTTTTTAAAAAGATTGTTTCCAAAATGTTTACAGTCTTCATTCTTTGCTATTACTTTTATACAGTATATATAACAGTCAGTACACAGTCAGAAACTACAAGCTTGTAGCTGAGAAGTGGGGGTAGCGAAAATAGTGATATTGATCTATTAGTTTTGAAGATCGAAAAAGCTTCCAGAACTAAAAGCCCAAACTGTCTGTGATCCTTTAAAGTGATACTTATAAGACCTTGCACGTGTATGTGTTTTCTATCGAAAAAGTTTTGGACCTTGATATATGACATTTATATTATTGATCAGATGTGTGTGCTTCTTTTTCATTACACATTTGGACGTGGATACGAGATGTCGTTTTTCGTCTTTCTCATTTTCTTATGCTTTGTATCATGCAATGCACGAAATACAAACTCATTCATTAAGCTTATGAACAAGAAATGCCCCGGGAGTGATCATGTTGGAATGGATGGAAACGATGACATTTTGGATATGTGCAATTCTGTAAGTTGAAATATGTTATCATCTATTTAAATTGCTCCGCAGAACCTGTATTTGCGTTACTATGACAATCACCTTTTGCTATTATTAATTATATCTCACTAAATAATTTTTTCAGGGTAGTTAGAAAAATGTAAAATGCTTCTTCCCTGAAAAGGGGAATGATAAATGACAATAGATTAAAGTTGAAGAACAATATAAACTTTACTTACTGAACGCCCTGTACTTGAGATTGAATTATTTATCTTTGCTTTGATCACGACCTAACATAATTGTTCTCATGTGTGATAATTCTATTCTATAATTTTGATGTTTGGTGCTTGATGATGTCTGAGCTAAAACGTCTGATTTATCTAGAGTCAATTGCAAACTAGTAATCGTAAATAATAAATCACTGTTTCAATTGTTTATAATTCTGTTTGTGAAAGTTATCTATTCACAATGATGCAATAGAACTCCAGAGGGAATCATATGCTCATATAGTGTATCTTTAAATTGCAATTAATATCATTTAGGCTGTGGGACAATATAATAGAGCACGTGGCCACAATGGGAAATGGAAATGCAAATTGTTTGTCAAAAGTGACGACGTTTTCGCAATGAAGGTAACAAAGGTTTCTATAACAAAACAAAGAAGTAAGACATAAATTACAAAGCAAGCAAATCTATCATCCTAGTAAAGTTTTAGTAAAGGTACAAATGACAGTTGGTAAGCTTGTTATGTAAAGCATTGCTTAAACAAAAATGTTGTGTTACGAACCATGTCTTGCAATATAAATTTGATAAATAATATTAGGTAAAAATCCTAAAGAGGGGACGTCCGAAAACATTCATCCATATCTTAGTAAACCAAAATGGAGAATTAATTAAAGAGCAAAAAGGCTTCTACAAGAAGAAGGACTGCATCAGATTGAATGGTACGTATGGTCAACTGAAGATTACTAACTGAATTAAATAGTACAATTAAATGGTAACAATACTCGAAGTAGTACTTAGATTCAAGAAAGAAATTGATCCGCTGGTAGTTGACAACATTTTTTGAATTATTTCAGCAATGGGGATTAATACAAATAGCGGACTAGTACACGGCGTGACGTCAAAGTCTCCACAAGGCCAAATCGTGGAAGAGTATTTGGGAATACCATATGCAGATCCACCTGTCGGTGATTTAAGATTCGCAAAACCAAAGGCATACAGAATGTTTCCGAATGGTATATTTAGTATATTTCATTAAATAATAATCAGAAAGTGAAAGACATTTGTGCCGCAGTTTTGACATTTTTGGCTCCAATTTTTGGCCCTAAATCTGATCTGGGACCTATTTCTAAAAAATAGACCTAAAATTAAAAAATGCCTAGTAATGCAAGGCTGTACCTAGATTGCCCAATTTGTGTGAGAAGAAGCAGATGTTGGATTTTTCGAGGTCCAGCAAGGTGGCGGGGGGGGGGGGCTAGCTCCCATATCCGCCACTGATCTTGATCTTCACCGACACTGTTGTTTCCGACAGATTTCGCAGAATCGGTATGTTATGTATCCGTTGCTATCTTTTTTTTACCTGAAATTAATTCTTTTGAAACTATTCTTATCATTACATGTTTCAGGTACCTATAACGCAACAAGCTATAGAAACTCATGCTTTGGGTATATCGATGAAACATTCGGTGACTTTAAAGGATCAGATATGTGGAACCCTAAGAATCCACTAAGCGAAGACTGTTTGTTCCTGAATATATGGGTTCCACTTCCAGTCAGGCAAAATCGGACAGTAATGGTAAATGCATTTCAAGTGATATTTAGTGCATTTTACCTTCCATAATCAATGCATTACTCTTATGTCTCTTAAATATCCAAAAATGATATGAAATTCATGATGTGAACTATGAATTAATGTGCTTGTGAAATATTGTCAACCAAAGGAATTATCCGACTGATAGCAACTGGAGATCTTCTATGTAAGTTGACTCCTCATTTCACTGCTTCGTTCATCTCATTTATCGCTTATTACATTTTCCACTAAAGGTGTTAAATTGTACGATTTACATAATTGTGTTTGATGAAACGAGGCCTTTACTTTTCGAACATCCTCGAAACTACAATTAAGTTTTCTGTACATTGTGGGCTCATTTCTGTCACACGTTTCACACGCTATGGAATTCAAAAGGATATATGATATATATATGAAAGGATATATGAAGGATATATGAGTTAATAATGCAATTATTTCCAAAACGGAATACAAATACTCCGTATTTAAGAACACTTTAAAACAATTAGAACTAGCCTTTTGCAATAGTTTCCTTAAAAAAGCTTTATCTACGATATTTTAAATTTAATACTAGCCCTCTATATTCCCTGGTAATCAGAACTGCACAGATAGCAGAGTTATAGAGATTTTTCTCTGTCTAGAAAATCTTTTATTTTAAAATGCATGGGTAAATAAAAACCTCGTGGCACACATAGACAGAAAGTGCCATCTAAAACTAAGGATTAATGGTCCTTGTATTCTGTCCTACCTTTTAGGTGTGGATATTCGGCGGAGGTTTTTACAGCGGAAGTAGTTCCCTCTCTGTATATGACGGAAAGGCGTTAGCTGCGCACGCAGATGTTGTAGTCGTGTCTATGAACTACCGAGTCGGTTCCTTCGGATTTTTCAGTACTGGGGATGACAGATCTAAAGGTTCTTTGACTTTCAATTCTTTTTAATAACATCAAGAAATGAGTAATATGTGAACGTTGTTTTGTATCGAAAGTGAAGCAATCGCCTATCAAAATTAAAACAAAAAAGTTCCCTTATAAATAAGGCTCCGATGTATTAAAAAGTTATTTCTGATTTCAAATGGGGCCCTTAAACATTGAATAGTTTAAATTCCAGGGAACTTCGGGTTACATGACGTGCTACTTTCCCTTCAATGGATAAATACAAATATTGGGTCATTTGGAGGAGATAAGGATTCAGTGACTTTATTTGGAGAAAGTGCGGGTGCAGCTACCATCGGATATATGTTAATGGCTGACGAGGCAGATCCACTATTCAAAAGGGCGATACTACAAAGTGCGAGCCCTGATTCCAGATGGTCATTTATGACTGGTGAGCAGGCCAAAGAACGCTCTCAACTATTTGCAAGTGCTATGACTTGTCAGGACAATGCCAACCTTGTAGAATGTTTGCGGACTAAAGAAGCAAACGAAATTTATGCGAAGGACTATGTAACAGGCAACTTCTTTGAATTTCCTTGGGTACCAAATAAAGATGGCGAACTTGTAGAAGACAATCCACGTAATCTCATAAAAGAAGGGAAATTCCAGAAAAAGGACATAATTGCCGGGGTCAACACAGACGAGGGGTCATTTTGGATCCTTTATGCGCTTCAAGGGTTTTCCAAGGATAACTCAAGTGGACAAAGTGAACAGATGTACCGTGACGCCATTAAGACATTAGATTGGGATCTCCCTTTTGGTACCCAGGACCTAATCACAACTGAATACCTTCCAGCTGACACTTCTGATAGAAATGCAAACAGGGATGCTATTGAAGATGAAACCGGAGACAGAGCATTTATCTGTCCAACCATAAACCTGGCACAGGATTTCTCCACTTCTAACTCAGGGAATACTGTTTACATGTATTATTTGTCACATCGCGCCTCAAATGAGGTGTGGCCAGAGTGGATGGGGACCATACATGGCGCCGATATTCAGGTACTTAAATTCCCTTTGGTAGAATAAAAGCCTAGTCTATATCTGTATTTCAAGTAACCGATATTTTACAACTGGCTAGAAACATTATATTTCATTTACTTTACTCGTAACAGATATAAAATAGGTTAAAGCAAATACATTTATACAGTTCGCAATAATGACAACTTTAAATGTGACCAAAATATGAACAATTCTTACTTTTAGTGGATATTTGGTCTACCATTAGACAAGTCACTAAATTACACTAAAGAGGAAGAGGCGTTATCTAAAGATATCATGACGTACTGGAGCAACTTCGCCAAAACAGGGTAAAACACATTAATGTGAAATATATGACTTCATATACGGTCATTATCAAAATTTTGACAATTCTGAGCTTTGCTGAAACATTTAACACCTTAAGTTCTACCCTGAATAATTTAACGAAACTGAGTACTGAGTAAATGAAACACTGAAGAGTAGCTACACAAGTCTGACTAACTAAGCAATGGGGTAAGAAAAATAAGTGAAACTGAGTAGCGAATCGCAGTACCTATCCGATCTTGAACCTGAGTAGTTGAGTACTGAGTATTCAAGAAATTGAGTATTTTGAGCACATTGTCATGGGTCATTTCAATTTGTTTATTTACGCGCAACTCTTTATTTCAACTTATTTTGTTTCTCATTGTTCAAACAATATAAATGCAAAAACTATAATGATTATGCTGATGTTCAAACATTTATATAATATAAGGTTATTTGTTTTATTTTAGAAATCCAAATGGCGCTGGACTTTCTGAATGGCCAACATACAGAGCAGATGCATACACGCACATGGAATTCCGCGAAGCAAACTCTCAAGGCGTGTATCCAACAGGGTCTAAACATAGGGAGAAATATTGTACATTTTGGAACTCAATCCTCTGATGACGTTGTTAATGGACTGTGCAATTTTATCAAATATAAAACAGATCATTCGACCAATAAAAAAGCAACATTTGTTAAGTAACACATTTGGTCATTCATTTTGATTTTCTTCAATTTTCACTGGCCAGAATTTTGATATCAAACGAAATAGCTGCAGTCCGAAAATCGATAGCCCTTCCTAAAAACTACCTTGGCCCAGATCCCTCTGAATTGGCTGCTACATTTTGGAAATAGAATGTTAATATTCAGTTGTGCATTTTGGTGTAGATATTATGGAGCGTGAATAGTGACGATGGGTGACCTGATTTTAAAAGTAGAGGCCATCGACATTGATAACTAAGTTTAATTTTTGCTTTTAAAGTTACATTATTCGTGCAATTATATACATCATCATGTATTGTTTTTTAATAACATTACAACACATGGTATAAGTATCATCGTGTATAATTATGAATATTCAGCGTAATGTTCACGATCGATAATTCAAAAGCGGATGCTAAGTTTTCTCGGGGAAAGGATCTCGTATGGTTTGGCCATATTGAAGTATTATATATTAAATAATGGAGCTGTTTTTGCAGTTTTCTATTTTGATCATGACCTTGTTAGACATTGTTTCTTTGTACGGTGGATTATGTTTTTGGCTGTTGGGGTTGTTATCATTGTAACTGATTGTACTCCTAGATGTTGCTATGTGTTGCTGTCTTTCGTAATATTCTTTGGCATTTCCCCATTAAAACATTTTAAATATCTTCGTCAATATTATAATGCTAGATCCAACTTGATATTGGAGGGAGTGACTAGTCCATAATAAATCACTCGGGAGCAAGGACGAACAGATATAGTAGGGCATGCCCAAATATTTAGATTTTAAGTCTATATTGTAATTAATTTTTTTTCTTGCCAGGTTCTGTAACAATGTTCGACCTTTTTCCTTTGGCACTTGTGCTTACATATCGAGGTTGACACAAAAATTGTCTATTAACATATAAACTTGTTTTTAGGCACATCGAAAGTAGACATAATGCAAAAGGACCTCCAAAATTCGATTCTACACAAAAATACCACCCAGCTTTTGTAACATAACTTTGTAAATACTAATGATTACGTACATGTATAATACTTTCAGGGAAATGAAGTCCATTCAATTAAACACAAAACAATGTAGTTGTCGTTGATAGAATCATAATAACTTATTTCCAGAACTATGTTACAAAATGTGGGTGTCATTGTGTAAGTTCCAGTTGTACCAAGAGTCATTTTATTTGTGTCACGCTGTAAATTGTCAACTTGTTGATCCATACGGTCTGTATATCCCTCATCTTCCTCATAATCATATTAGAATTTGCAGAATTTTCAAAATGATTGTTTTCAACATTTTTTCACTCTTTATTCGTTGCTGTATTTCTTTTTACAGGTTATACCACCACGGCTAAACTATCTACGTACAATTGGAATCTAAACGCATGAAGTCTAATAAAGGAGCAGTGGTAGCAACAATTATGATATGATGAATTTATTTTGGAAAAAGAGATGAATGAACTAAAAGCCCAAACTGTCTGTGATCCTTTAAAGTGATACATGTGAGACTAATCATGTGCACACCGTTTGTTTCTTTATCATAACAGATTTGTAGGTTGATGTGACTTTTAAAACATTGATCACAAATGTATATTTCTATTTCATAGCAGATTTATTTCAAGTGTAGATGAGATGTCGTTTCTCGGCGTTATCATTTTCTTACGCTTTGCATCATGTTTTGCGCAAACTACAAACCCATTCATTCAGTTAATGAACACGAACTGCCACGGGAGTGATTATTTTGGAATGGATGGAAACGATTACATTTTGAAAACGTGCAATTCTGTAAGTTGACATATTATGTCATGTTATATGATTGTTTTGTAGTTTAACAATATCCATTCATTTCTGTTGATTATGTTGGTTACTTTATGATGATAGTCATTTTTGTGTAATCCAATGAAATTTTGGTTGGTTCACAATGAATTTCAATTGTCTCAAAAAGTCGCAATATGGAACTTGTAGAACATATATTTACTAGACTTTTCAGTAAGCCCTGACATCGTTTGGTATGATATATTAGCTAGATTGATATGATCTCATTGGTTGTAGGTCTAAATCTGCCCATGTAAAGATTGGCTTTTACCTAAAAATATCAAATGTTGTGAATATTTTGACATTTCTCGTTCTCATTCGACAAAAATGTAATTTTCAATTGATACCAATGTCAACAGGCTGTCAACAGGCTGTCACTTGGTATGAGTATTTTCGGTTTTCCCCTCTGCTAAATTCCAATACGCATGCATGCTTATTTCAAAAATCATAATCTGGTAGCATGTTGACCGTTGATGGTATGTTTCCAAATAGGTTATATACTGTACATGTATAATGTGATGTGTTATGACGTACCTACGCGTACATGTACCTATTGGACAATAGTATTCACCAATATAAATAACACAAATCGCTAGGTGCATTGTTTAAAATTCGGTTTTTCTGAAAATTTACAAATCCACAATTACGCAATAGTGCATATTTTTGCGATCAATATTTCATAATCTAGAGTCTTCTTAAAATAAAAAACTATTAGTGTCAAAATAGTGTCAAAAAAGGAGTTTTAAACCGATATAATACACGCGTGTAATATATACTAAAACATGAAGTGATTTTTAAATTATAATCTTAAATGAAGAGTGCCAAAATGACAGGGGTGACGTATGCAGGTACGTATTACAGATTGAACAACAAGATAAATGACGTAAGAACCTAACATCCGCATTGAATTTTAGAGCATCCAAAGAAATCTCATTTTAAACATGCAGACTGATCAAATAAATACAACATGCAGATATCCAACTGGTCCCACACTCCGAAAAAAGGAAAATCGGAAAAAAACTCTGACGGAATAACATAACATGCTCGTGGAGCGTCTCTTTTAATTGAAATGTATACAATTTAGGCTGTAGTAGAATATAGTACAGCACATGGCCAGAACGGGAAATGGAAATATGAATTATACGTCAAAAGTGGCGATCATTTCGCAATGAAGGTAACAAACGATTCTTTTGTACTTTGGAAAAATTAGATTAGGAGTACAAAAAGCATTTATAAAAGCAACCAAACTCTAATATCCTAGTAATGATCAACGGTACAAAGAAATATTAACCAAGTCATTGCAGTATTTTATCCTCAAGAGTTACGCATTTTAAAATAGTAAATTATATATGTATCTCAGGAAAACATTGTTGGTTGTATCAATGTTGTATCAAAAGTGTTGTTTATAATACTGACTAGTATGCAAAACATGTCTTGAAATACAATTTCAAAAATAATATCAGGTTAAAATCCTTGAGAGGGCTGGTCGACCCGATGCTTTCATCCATATATTAGTAAAACGACAATGGTGAATTGATTAAAGAGCAAAAAGGATTCTACAAAAATAAGGATTGTATCAAATTGAATGGTACGTTTCGATCAAACTGGTTTCAACGAACTTTGAAAATAACTGTGAAACTTTTCAAGCCCGAACAAAATAACAAATTGAATGAATTAAATAAACTTGATAGTAATATGACTTAAAATGGTTCTTAAAATCAAACAAAAAATGATCCGCAGGTAGTTGCCAACATTTTTGAATTATTTCAGCGATGGGAATTCACACAGAAAGTGGACTAGTGCATGGCGTGAAGTCAAAATCTCCACAAGGCCAACGCGTGGAAGAATATTTGGGAATACCATATGCAGAGCCACCTGTCGGTGATTTAAGATTCGCAAAACCAAAGCCATATGGAATGTTTCCGAATGGTATTTTTAGCATATATTGTTTGATAGAAATCAGAAAAAGGCAATAGCATGATGTACATACTAAGCACAACAAATTCTGACAAGAAATCTTTACGCCGCTATCTGTGCATGGATTGTCACGACTAGAGAAATAGCACAAAACGTTTGTTTACTCTTGATGCCATACGATGCAAGATTGCTTTGGGATTCTGTGTTTTTCAGGCACCTACAATGCTTCAAGCCAGGGAAACTCATGCATCGGTTTTATTGACAAAATATACGGGGATTTCAAAGGAACTGATATGTGGAACCCTAAGAATACATTGAGCGAGGACTGTTTGTACCTCAATGTATGGGTTCCACTCTCAGTAAGAAAGAAGCGGACAGTAATGGTAATGTATAAATACATTCAATGGATTGATATCGATATTGTGAACTGAATTCAACAATGTTTTTCTCTTAAACTAGTTATTGAAAATATTCTGTAGAAAACACGGTCCCAATGTCCTAATAATGGACAACAATTAAATGCGAAAATAATTTATATACATGTACTATATTTTATATAACTGTTTTTATTTATATAACATTCTTTTAGTGCAATTGTTTTTTGCTCCTTTTTACCAATGAAATGAAATATCTTTCCAAATGATGAAACCAAAGTTTTACAATATGCAGATGACACAACTGTTTTTGTGCATGACATTAAGTCTTTTAATAATGTACTTGAAATTTTTAACACATTTTATGGTTTATCAAGCCTTAAAATCAACACAAAGAAAACAGAGGCAATGTGGTTAGGAAAATGGAAAAATAGGAGAGAAAAACATGGAGATGTGCAATGGAAAATAATGCCTCATAACTGTATAAAGCTGTTAGGTGTAACGTTTAGTACCTCAACTCATGTTATTGATAATGACTTGAATTTTGAGTCAAAATTTGTAAAATGTGAAAACATTATGAAATCGTGGTCTGGAAGGTACTTAACAATTATGGGAAAGGTTGTTATAGTGAAATCTTTACTTTTATCACAATTCTCCTATCTCATGCAAGCCTTCATTCTACCTGACAAACTTTTGAATAGAATTAATACAATGATGTTTAAATTTATTTGGGCAAAAGGCAGATTTAAAGAGGATGAATTGAAAAAGATTCCTGACAAAGTGAAAAGGGATGTAATGGTACAAGAATATAAATATGGAGGGTTAAAAATGATAAATGCTAAAGATTTACAAATAGCTTATACAACACAATGGGTTAAAAAGTTGCAAGAAAGAGGCAATGGTCACTGGAGAGGCTTACCCATGTACATGTATGGAAAAATGGGTAATGGACTAAGTATTTTTAACTCAAACATAGATTTTGATAGAATTAAAGGTTTGCATAACTTGAGTAATTTTTATAAAAATGTATTACATGTATGGTTAAAACACAATGATTTTAAAAATGAGAGCATTATTTGGAACAATGAAAGTGTAACTCTCAATAATTCTCCATTATTTTTTGAAAACTGGATTGTAAAGGGCATTACATATATTTCAGATGTTGTCCAGGATAGGGAAATGTTAGCATATGATAACATTGTCCAGAAAATAGGGAGAAATGGCCAAACAATTCTTCAATATAATGCACTTAAAGCATGTTTAACACAAGATCTCCTTATCAAATATGAAATGGAAACACCTTGTACAAAATTATTTTTTAAAGGCATTGAGAGCCATCTTTTAAACACAAGAATTGTGAGAACAAAAGTTGTTTTAGAGAGAAAATGTGACATAAAATTTAATGGTGAGATTCTAAACGATAAAGTCTGGTCTCAATTTTTTGAATGTACAACCGATACTACCCTTTTGGTAATTCAATGGAAAATTTTACATGGTATTTACCCTCAAAATATTTATTTGAAGAAATGTAACATTGAAAACTCTGACATCTGTAATTTTTGTAACGCACATGTAAAAGATGACATTGACCACTTCTTTATCAATTGTGACTGTATTAAATCAATTTGGGATGATGTAAATGTTACAAATGATCAAAAAATTGGAAATGCAATTGTTAAAAAAGAAGATTTACTTAAAACATTGGTAATTAAAAAAGCTATACATGATTTAAAAAAAAGGGTCAATACAGCTAGTAATGTAAAAGCAATTTTTGATGATGAAATCATGATCAGAAAGATGTAATGTAACTTGAAATTTCTATAATTGTATTTTATCTTATTGTATGCATGTAATGTAAAATATGTTTATTAATAAAGTTTGATTTTATAAAAAAAAAAAAAAAAAAAAATCTTTCCAAAGCTTGTTGGAACAAAATGCCATATACACTATTTTCTTAGACCTCTCAATATCATAATCATACAAAGGAAATTTTGGTTGATTTAATAAAAAGTATTCAAAAAAAATTAAAACAAAAAACCCAAAATAGATAAAAATTAAGATAAACCGTTTATTTCATTAACAATATACTTTTTTCAAATCAACCAAACTTTCCTTTGTACAATCACAATATTGAGAGACCTAAACACGTTGTATTTATGTCATTTTGTGATTTATGTCATATGATACCAAGAACAAAAACAGTGTCTGATGTGTTTTCTAAAACTATTTAGTGAAAAAGTATATCATTTATTTCAAATTATATAGTTACCATTCAAATGATGACCATTAGATTGACGATATATAAAATTTTCAGAACTTTTTGATGACTGGTTTAAGAGAAACGTGTGTTCCAAAAGTTCACCATATCGATAACCATCCTTTGAATTCAATAATTATGCATAATTAGTTTCGTTTAATTGATGCTCCAAATGGGAATTTTGAAGGGACTGCCAATGATATATGGAACCTCAGACCAGTTGATACACGTTTTGATGGAATACATCCTTGTGTGACATATACATTTTTTATAATTTATATGTAAGTCATACATAAGGAGTGATCATATATTGGGTTGCTCCAGAGTTAATCTATCATATTATTCAGAAGAAAAAATTCAATACACGATCTGATCTGATCCCTTTTTAGGCAACTACTATATCCAATGACGTATTAGAATCGGAAACAATTATTTCGCCAGTTTAAAGTCTTATCGATGCCTTCGCAGTGAAATTTTCATTCTGGAAGAGCACCGATGCACTGCGAACAGAGATGTTTAATTTATATCACGAAGATGGCCGAATATGCTTCAAGGAACCAATCAAATTCCTCGAGGAGTCTTCGGCCATCTTCGGTTAAAGTAAATTGTCACGAAGATTACCGAAGATGTTTCATGGAATAAATCAAATTCGTCGTTGAAGAGTTCGGGCAAGATTTCGGTCATCTTTGGTTAAGGCCTGAAAATCTTTCCAGGTTTGGATACACGGTGGAGGATGGTTAAGGTGAAGTAGTTCTTTGTCCACGTATGACGGCAAAGCGTTAGCTGCGCACGCAGATGTTATCGTTGTTTCTATGAACTTCCGACTTGGAGTCTTTGGATTTTTAAACACTGGAGATGAAAGATCTAAAGGTTATTCTAGATTACTTTTAATGTAACTGATGTTCAGTGGTTTTGCTTTTGTTGTGATGCTATAACTCTACAATGCCCTATACAACTATACCCTGTGCAGCGAACTCCCGTGCAGTGATATATCACTGCGGCGGGCAGGTATCTCACCGTAAGCATGGTAACTTCGTAATAAACAACTGACGTGATTGGTTCTAGTCCCATGCTCAGGTCGCGTGATTGTAAAATTTAGACAATTTCATTGGTTGAATTGCGCGTATTTACTAATAAACAACACGTGCGGTAAACTATTATCAACAAAACTTTTACTCAGAATTCCTTCCGCGGTGATTTCTTCTCATATTTCAATAATTTTGAAATATTTTGACAAAATAATGTTTGGGGAACATTCATGAATATATATTTTATAAGATGTGTGAAAATTGACCACATATGCGATGAAAAGGGGAACTATTTTCCCCAAATTTTGGGGATTTGCTTCATCTGCCCGCCGCAGTGTCTATACCGAGACACTGCATTGGAGTTCGCCTGTGCAGTTTTAATTTTTCTTAAGAAATGTTCAAACATTTAATGTAAATTGACAACATTAGGCTCGTATCGATTTTAAGAAAAAAGGACGTGTTATTTTAAATGAACTATAGTTTACCACCTACTTGTATATTGCCTTATTATAATAGATGAATCAAGCAAAAACTGAATTGCAATATTACAGCTTTTGTTGGAGTCAAAAATAATTGATTTGGGATTTGGAATATTTTAAGGAGATTTACTTCACAAAGGGTTTACAAAAACCTCTTTAAATCCAAAATATGAGCAAAATGTTTTTAAGTTAAAATCTTTTCAACAATCATCATTATTCTAAACAACACCTCAACAGCTAGTGAAACCTTTTTTCCTACATACCACTGAGGTAATACCTGATCGATCAAATATAATCTTTTTTCCAGGGAACTTTGCTTTACATGACATAATTCTTGCTCTTCAATGGGTAAATACGAATATCGGTGGATTTGGAGGAGACAAAGATTCTGTGACTTTATTTGGGGAGAGTTCAGGAGCTATGACTATCGCTTATATGTTGATGATAAATGAAGTAAATTTATTATTTAAAAGAGCGATACTACAAAGTATAGGTCCAGATATAAGTAATGGTTTTATGACAATTAATCAGGCCAAGGAGCGAACTAAGCGTTTTGCAGATGCAATTGAGTGTCCTAACGATGAAGCTATTTTGGATTGTTTGCGAAATAAAGATGCAAGTGACATTAATGCAAACGAATATGTGACGTTCAATTATTTTGAGTTGGCCTGGTATCCAAGCAAAGATGACGAGCTTCTGAAAGAAAATCCACGTACTCTTCTTACACAAGAGAAATTTCAGAAAAAGAACATACTGATAGGGGTCAACAAAGACGAGGGGTTGTTTGTATATTTGCTTCCCGGGTTTACAATATATAACTCAAGCGCTCAAACGATCCAAATGTATCGGGATAACATGAAAAGGATGAACTGGTATCTCTCTCCAAGTACCCAAGATTCGATCATTGCAGAATACTTACCGACCAATACATCCGTTGGAAACGCAAACAGAGACGCCGTACAGGCTGCATCGGGAGACCGAGATTTCGTCTGTCCAACTATAAACATCGGAAAGGCTTTCTCAGGATCCGACATGGGAAATACCGTTTACATGTATTATTTGACATATCGTGCCTCAACCGAGGTGTGGCCAGAGTACTTTGGAACCATTCATGGTGCTGATATTCAGGTACTCAACATTTATATGTATGTTGGTATTCAATTGTTGAAAGATGTGTATTACTGCGATTGAAGACCTGTTTTCCGATTTCCGTCATCTCTCTCAAAATTAGCTGCCTTTATTTGAAGTTTTCATTTTTCTTGATCATTCATCTACATGTCCATGTACCTGGTATACGAGAATTGCTTGATTTAGCTGGCAGTGATTTATTCAATATCTAACACAAGTTTTAAGAAAACAAAGCTGAAACATCTACCCGGATCAGAAAATCTGAGTTTTATTTTTATCATTTAGTAAATAGAGTACTTAGAAATACAAAATAGCGTTTCAATAATTCTCATACCGGAGCTCTGCGATGAGACCTCTATTGTTAGATTAATTATGGCGAAGTATTTTTGCTTGTTAATGGATTATTAAGTGACTTTTACGATGACAATTGTTATTTTAACATACTGTATTTAATTCAAAAAGACATTACCAGTATTATAATATGAGACCGATCTCTTACACATTCATAGCACCAAAGTTATCAAAGAATTCCTTTCATCTATTGCTGAGAAATAACTTGTCAAATTGCTTCCATTTTTAGCACAAACGTAATGCAGTTACCATTGCGTTGCTCTGGTATGGGATCTTTTGACATGCCATCTTGATTGCCATTCTTACAAATCATTTACCTGATCTTTTTCATATTTTCACCTTGCTAACGATACTCTTGGGCTACTTTAATTTTCGTACGAATTTTCAGTTAATTTGGTTCATCAGTTGCCGATAGAATACTTGTCAAAAAATGTCTCACCAAATATATGATCTCGATGTGAACATTTTCTTCTTCTAGTGGATATTTGGTTTACCATTAAACAAGTCACTGAGCTATACTAAAGAAGAAGTGGCACTATCTAAAGATATGATGGATTATTGGAGCAACTTTGCTAAAACTGGGTAATGTTCAGCACGTATATTAACCTTCAAAACCTATTAAGTATATATTCTGTAAGTATAAGTATATACTCTGCCATGACAAAGCGGAGGCGCACAACACCGAATTAACATTTAAACCAAAATGTTACGAGTTTCTTGAAATATAAGCATATTGAAATATTTCTGTCACTCGTCTTAAATTTCACCTGGTATTTACAAAGAATGGGTATCGATATGGCGAACTTTTTGAACACACGTTTCTCTTAAACCAGTCATCAAAAATTTCTGAAAATCTATAACAAATTGTCAGTGTAATGGCCATCTTTTGAATGGTAACAATATAATTTGAAATAGATAAACATACTTTCATCTATATTGTTTTAAAAAACACATCAAACACTTGTTTTGTTCTTGGTATCATGTTTCCAGAGTAAAATGAAATATCTTTCCGAACCTCATTGGAACAAAACGACATAAACACAACATGTTTAGGGGTCTCAATATTGTAATTGTTGGAAATTTTGGTTGATTTTAAAAAAGTATCTTGTTAATGAAATAAAAGGTTTTTCTTGATTTTTATCTATTTTTGGGGATTTTGTTTTAATTTTTTTAATACTTTTTTAAAATCAGCCAAAAATTCCTTTGTATAACTTTAATATTGAGAGGTCTAAAAACATGTTGTATATGCTATTTTGTTCCAACAAGGTTCGGAAAGACATTTTATTTCATTCTCAAGAATTGGTAAAAAGGAGCAAAAACAATTGCACTAAAAAACAAAAAATGTTAACAAAAACAGTTATATAAAATATTTCTAAATAATGTTCGCATTAAATTGTTGTCAATCAGTCAGCATTACATAAAATACATGTTTTTTTACAGAATGTTTTCAATGATTGATTTAAGAGAAAAACATTGTTGAATTCAGTTCTCCATATCGATACCTATCCTTTACAAAAGGTAAAGAACCTAAAATATTTTCCAGTTTTTCGCATTATATTATGTATACACTGAATCTCTTCAAAATATATTCAATGCCGGCGGTAGCCTCGATAATTCATTCGAAAAAAGTTGGACAAGCTTGAAAAATGTAGGTCAAATTGAATTATGACAATTACCTCATTTAATACTGGGCCAAAAAGCTCATTTTGGATAAATCTAGCAGCAATGGAATATTTATTTTGCGACAATTTATTGATGTCTTCGTTTCAACCAGGTCGGACTTTCGGAATCTGACTTTGGTAAGTTATTTTGCTATCTCGATTTAATCGCTATTACCCTTATACCGTATCTTATATATTCACCGTCAAGTTCACCGTCAAGTTCACTGTCAAAAATATTGTTACAGACATTCACATTAAAAAATATCTAGAAATTAGACCAGATCTTTTAGAAATCATGAAAAAATAAGTTTGCTCAAATTTCATCACCCTCGTGTTTTGCCGTAACCCGAGCGTTAAGCTGTCACGCATAATTTGGTACGTACCCTGTGTAGAATAATAATCAAATATTTCATTCTATGAAGGGCAATACCTGTTCATCTTTCAATGATTTTTGCAGTATGTATTGCCCGCAGCCCGTAGGGCGAGGGAAATACATGCTGCAAAAATCATTGAAAGTGCAACAGGTATTGCCCGAACATAGAATGAAATATTTGTTTTATTATATCATTGCTAGACATTCGCTTACTTTGCAGACTGGCACTCTTGTAATATTCCCCATCCTTCGTTCGCAGTTCCCAAAAAACCTTTAAAATTCCATCCAGAACGATTTTATCGATAGATTTAACGTCTATTTCGTTTGTGGACATAACACTTGAAAATGTTCTAAGACATTAGATGTCATTGCGTTGATTTAATGGTGTTTTTAGAATGCACATCCCTCAAGATGTCGTTCTTTTCATCGGAATTCAGACTTTTAAATCTTTTTCCGTCTGCCATTTTGATGCACGTCACAACTGTACTGGACGAAACGGGACGATTCAGAATTCCCGGGCGGGCAATACGCCGGGCAATACGTCTTTTATAATTCCAAAATTAAGGGAGCTGTGAAATACGCTTTGGTATTTTTGATCACATGGTACTGAATCAGCCAATCAAAGGACACAAATTCTAGCAATGATATAATAACACGTATTACCTTGACATGGGAGATTTCATATGACTCTTTTGCTTTTAGCTCCAGTGTAAACTCCATTTACACGTAAAAAATTACGTGTTGCATTTTTGGGCCACCCTGTATCTAAAATTGACATACAGTACATTTCAATTAGATTGTGTATCCATAAAACCTAAACATGAGGAATCAGAATATCATGTTGCAATATTATATGGAAAATACATTCATATTTTACACCCCAAAAATTGTGTATTTCAGATGAATTAGTTTTATGTGCAGTAAACCTGTAGCCTCTTGTAATTTAGAATTTCAGTCATTTTAATTTTTGGAAAATTACATATTAAGAGACAGATGCATCAAAGTGAACACACATTTTGCTAGCCAAACCACGAGCAATGCAACACATAAAAATAGCGTATAAAACATATAGTGTGTGCCAAAACTCCATAAAATCACAAAAACCTATGTTGTGGTAGCTTACTATGAAGTGACCCATTATCATTATAGATTGGTCCATCAACTATTCATTTTTACTTGTCTGCACTCAAAAAGGTGACACGAAAGGGCTAAAGGGCTTGCACCAAGGTGCAAACATCAAATAATAGCAATGGGTATACAATATAGGAGGCAAATTTGATATTGATAAGTATGATAGTCCATTTGCGTGTGGCCATTTTTATAAAAAACAATAATTGTGAAGAATTATATATTTCTGACCTGAAAATACCATCTTAATTCAAAAGTCATGGTTGTTAATGATAATATTCCTATTTCACCTATTCAGTGTTTTCAAAATATTTTAATTACCATTATATTCATTTTTGGCAAGGTAAATAGATATAGGGCTCACACAAGGATCAACTTTATTTGCAATATTTTCATATTTAGTGATGTTTTGAAAAAATATAAGGTTAAACACAATTTTATATGTTAAATGTTTAACAAAATAAACAGAGTGTGTTTATTTCATTGTTTTGACTGAAAAATCGCTATCCATTGCTCTTCCTCTTTGAATGGCAGGGGATATACAAGTACATAAACAGTCTTAAAAAACGTTGATCCTTGTGTAAGCCCTACACTTATTTACTTTACCAGAAACTGATATACTGGTTATTCGTCGGTATGAAAATCATTCCAAAGGTAAAATTGGAAGAATGTCATTGAACTTGGAATAAAAAGCATTATATGGTTAGAAATACCCAATTTTTACCATAATTGTTTTTAATAATATAACCATACCCTCATGGACTATCTTTACATTTCAATAACCAATGTGCATCATATTTTGCATGTTTTACTGCAATTATTTGTAAAAATATTTTTAAATCTTACATTTTTGACTGGAAAGTGAAGAGACAATACTCAAATGTACTTATATTATTGGTCACATTTGGTTATTTCACCCAAACAGATTCAGGATTTTTTAGTCCAGGCATATGAGGAAACAAGTGTGAATTAAATGGTCATATTATACAATACAATACAATACAATACTGATCCAATTTAGAATTACTAGAGAAAGTAACTCTCGTGACTGTTGATTACTGATTGCAGTCATTAAATTAATGACCTCATATTTGGATGTCCTCTCTTCTGATATGATTTTACAATTCACTTCAAATTGGCAAAGGACCAGGTATAGTATGGCAAGTGATATCTGATCGTCATATATTTTACCATGACTACTTTCTCAATATAAATATGACATTTCTCAAAAACACAATATGTTATCTTTCAAGAAAATTCAATTCTCTATGATTATAAAAATATCATTCAAACAATCTAAAAAACCATGAATGGGGAACCCATCTCAACATTTTTTTGAAATTATTTACTCAACAGAGGTTCTTCTTTTTTTTATTTGAATTGCATGAAAATATTATTTAACAAGTGGTCTAAAACTTTTTCATTTGTAGAATTGTAATGAAAGTCTAGTTTTGGAGATATCAATTTTCAATGACCAAAATTATGTTGAAAACAATGGATAGTTTGAGTTTTTCCAATGGAAAATAACATGGAATTTGTGGTTTTTAACTTTATCACATTTCAATACCCGCCCCCCTTTTCAGAATTTGTTAATTCATTAGCGTAGAAGAACTTTTGATATATTCGAATTAAGAAAAAATACTTTAGAAGCCTAATATTTTTCAAAAAGTGACAAGGTGGGGATCTTATCAATAATATTTCAGATATATTTTCAAATATTTATATTTTCAATTTCAATTTATTGATACATTCAAGCATTATGTTTACGAATGTTATTAATAACAGGTGGCACCACATTTGATGCTTATACCCATACATATAGTAGTAAAATCATGTAGTGTATCATTAAGTTGTCAAGAAATCAAACCAGAATGAAATCATAAAAAATAAGTTGAAAAATAAAGGTTGAGGGGGATTCATGATGTTTTTTTTTCTTTTCAAGTGAAGAAGTTGGATGATATCATTTTTATCACAGGGACTTTACATAAGAAAAATCATATTGTTTTCACAAAAACACGTTCAGCCCCAAAACGCCAAATGCTAATTAGATATTAAGAGACCCTGAAATGATCTTGATCCATAAACATTGACTTTTAGATCTCTGGTCACTTTATCATTGGTCATTAAATAGGACTGTAGCCCCACATTTGCCAACTACCTAGATATTGACCTTGAAATGACCTTGACACCAGGTCACCTAATCATTGGTCGCCAAAGGTCACAATTGTTCTCAATTGCCTTTAAACTCCAAATTGCTAGATATTGACCTTGGAAGTCACCCTATCATGAGTCGCTAGGGGCCACAGCAGATACCAGGGCCTTAATACACCAAATACTTAGATACTGATATTTGACCTTGAAATAACCTTGACCTCAGGCCACACATTCATGATTCACAAAGGGTAACCTCAGCCCAAAAACGCCAAATATTTAGATATTGATGACCTTGGAATTATCTTGACCTATAGACCTTGACCCTGACAACAGGTCACCTAATAATCGGTTGTCAAGGGTCATAATTGTCCTCAATTTGCCTTAAAACACCAAATTGCTAGATATTGACCTTGAAATTACCTACACCCATTCAGTTGATCTTAACCTCAGGTCACATAATCATCGGTTGTGAAGGGTCACACCATCGGCAAAATGTTTTAAAATGCTAACTATCCTAGATATTGATATTTTAAACTTGAAATTACCCTGACTTTTGACCTATGTTGAATAAACATTTTATGAACAAAACATACGAAGTTGAAAACTCTTTTTTAAATGAAATTGCTGCTAATGTTTCAAAACTAAGGTATCTTTATTGCAAAAGTAATATTCAAATTGAATAAACCAAAAGAGATAGACTTAAATTATCTAATCTTCCATGAGATTTAGTAAAATTATAATTAACTCTTAAGTAAATGTTACAATGAATGCTCACACATATCTTGTTGTATATCAATCTAGTGCAACTGCTACAGGTATCACTCTGACAGGTATCTGTGAACAAATCAAACTTCTTTGATGTTGATGTAATGCAAATTGGTATCTTTTAATATGACGTCCGTAAGATAAACCATCAATACTAGGATTGTCAAAACTTGCATTAATAAAATCAATTCCCGTCTCATCACTGTCACACACATTACTACAAGATGATGTCTCTTAGATCACTGTCTGCAAGCTCTGAACTAAGCGATGCACTATATGCTCGTAATACTTTTTTATTCAAAATCAAAAGTCAATGATACTATTCCTATTTTACCTATTACATTATTATATATCCGAATAACCATTATATAAGTTTTTGACAAAGTAAATAATTGTAGGGCTCACACAAGGATCAACTTTTTGAAGACTTTTTGATACTGGTGTAGACTCTCCTGCTTGCGAAGCAAGGGCGATGAATAGAGATTTTTCAGTCAAAACAAGAAAACAAACATATAATTGTTTTTTCTTCAACAAATAAAAAATAAAATTGAGTTTACCTTCGTATTTTTTCAAAACATCACTTAATATGAAGATACTATGAACAAAGTGGATCCTTGTGTGAGCCCTATAATTATTTACTTTGTCAAAAACTAATGAAATGGTTATTGGTATATTTAAAAAACACTGATTATATAAAATAGGAATAATATCCTTGACAACAGTAACTTTTTAATTGAAAACGCATTTTAAGGTCATAAATATCAAATTTTGTACCATAATTGTTTTTCATAAAATTACCACACCCGAATGGACTATCATTACACAACAATATCAAATTTGCATCTTATTTTGTATACTTACAAGTATTATTTAAAAAAATGTATATTTTTCAAACTCATCTTTTTGACGGTCGCACCTTGGTGCAAGCCGTTTAGCCCTTTCGTGTCACTATTTTGACTGCAGACAAGTAAAAATGAATAGATAATAGATCAATCTAAAATGACTATGGGTCAATTCATAGTAAGTTACCACAACATAGGTTTAGCCTAACTAAGCCACTTAGAAAGCAATTTGGCACACACTAATACGTGCGTGTAAAAAAGTCAATACAGATCATACAGTACTGTGAAGGGCATTTGTTTGTTTATTTTATAGGTTTTATTGACACACAATGGAAATGTACTACTACATTTACAGAGATTTATTAAGTGTACATAGGATTGTGTGATTTTTAAACTTATCTAGGAGTATAATGTCAATGGTGCAAAATGGTACTTTAACTACTAGTACTTTGCGTCGATAAAGACCTAAGTATTTCACAATTGTACAGCAGAGCATATTGTTTATAGACTAATATGACAGACTATTCTGATTGATTTGTGTAGCTATATCCGACAATAAGACTGAAAACATGGACGATTCAGGTAAGAAGCAATCACACTAAGGCTCAGTGTATGTAGTTGTTTGAATGTAAATGTAGTACACAAGATATTCATAGATTGAATTAGATCTACATCTTCTCTAGACATAAAAGGTTATGACCTTGAAGATAATGGATATAATACAAGAATACTATAATTTATTCAGCCTATTCGTTGATAGTGTATACGAAGTTTTTAATATCAGTTTCAACAGTTTGTTTAAATACGATGGTATATATTGCACTTTCACGTACACAGTCCAAAAATGTGTAACTCAACCTCCATATTAATTGTTGTAATCGTTGAGAAGACTAAGGGAAGATGCACAATTTAATTAATTCACCCAGATGAATTATCATTGTACATGTTAAAATAAACACTATGTGTTATACATGTTTATTACGACACGTGCCCTTTTAAATAATAACCATACGTCGTTATATTAATAGTGTTCAATGGCTATGATGTAACAGAGAAGATGATGAAGTCTTACAAGGATAATGGATTCATCATCATTAAGTAAGTAGACACTGTCAATGCCTACATTATAGGTGAAGGTTAAAGAGCAGTACTACCAAATCAGTAAACTCAAATGAAAGGGGAGTTTAGTCGGGACGTTGACCTTGAGCTCCAGAGATAAACATATGTCTAGTAAACGAATATACGGGGTCAGGGTGCTCCAGTAGTATGAGGGAATGTACTATTATTGCCATTTTGTAAACAAATGTAGCTCATTTTAACCCGCAACTAATTTAATTAAACCAATGCGTGTCTTGCTGCAAATATAACTTTGAATAATTGGATGAAATTCTGCTGCAGGAATATTCTTCCCCCAGATGAATTAGCACAGGTACGGGAAGCCCTCGAAAACCCCAAAGGTGTACGACAACACGCTTATGACGTAAGCATCGTGAACGCTCAAATTTTGCTCTTCTTTTCCATTGATTATAATAGAGTCAAGGACGATTGGTTCCCAGGATCGAAACTCGATATTTTCGAACAATGAAAACGTCAAAATGTCGTTATTTTCTGAAATTATAACCGACCATAAATTCAAAACAAAACAGTTCAAAATATTCCAACCAATATCTCAATCATTCTTCTGAGTTTTGGAATTTTTCGTTGGGAAATAAGACCAAAATTCACGATTCATATGTTGAAGTGAACAAAATGGTGGCTGTTTGAATTCGAATTTTGTATCGCGACATGAATATAGATGTCGTACTCTGGGAGCCAATCCTCCTCGAATATAGTTGATTATTATAGTATAGCTGATTATTTCAAGTTTTTGAATGCAGGAATTACTACTCTTAGCTTGATTTCATTAGAGTTTCTTGGATAATTTAGTATTAATGCATATCACTCGCTAGTTCCCCTCCATAGGTTTATCGACCGGAAGTTGTCATTGAATGTCAAGGTCAGTCAATGTTTCAGTCTAAATTTTGTTTTTGATGATTAATGTTTATCGTAAAAAACCAAACGGGCTTTGGTAAGCTTGTATTCGTAAATGCAACTTTTGGCTATCGGCTACCGGATTAACTTACTATTTTATGACCAACTTATTTGAATATGAATGGAATAGTGGCAGGTGCTATTTATATTTCAATGATAAGTTGCCCATAAAATAGTAGGTTAATCCGGTAGCCTTCAGTCAAAAGTTGCATTTACGAATACAAGCTTGATTTTGTTTGATGATTTTGAATCGCCAAACATAAGTTATATTCCGGTTGGTAAAACGTATGGATGGAAGTGTACTGAAACTAAACAATGGTCAAAAGCAGACAAATGCCTAACTATAAAGTTAACTTCATGTTTTGTTGTAGGTAGAAGACGGAGACAATGAGGGAATGTTCTCAAGGATGACATGTTGGAATTCTCCCGGGGATGATATAACTGGATTACTAGCTCGTTCTGATAAGATAGCAGGGATTGCCGAAAAGGTGATGTGAACAAAATATCACAAACTTCTATTTCATATGATATGGTTATAATATAACATAATATAGTTAACATGATATAATATAAATGCATATGGCTGGTATTAAACAAAATGTTCATGGGCTTCTAGTGAGATATGCAAACAATTTATTAAGTTATCTCTTCGAATAAATGGATGCTTTTTAAAACATTTTACATTTTAGTGTATTTGCGTACTGTAAAACATTTATAGTAAGGCAAGACAATAGCTTTAACCTAGAACTTAAGATACACCAAAATGAATCGTATCCTACTTTGGGAAGATGCTAAATGCGGGGCCTCTCCTAGTCCTTAATTGATGAGCACCTATAGTAGAGCAACTTGATCCCCAGCTGCTTCAACTTTATTATAATACATTGGAACTCTATGATATATATAAATACCGACTTTAATAATCTTTGCTTCGATCTAGTAAACGTAATTTGTACCTTGTAAATTAACAAAGACATTTCATTTTAGTTGCTTGGGGAGGATATATACCACTACCATTCAAAGTTAATGATGAAAGAAGCCCGCACAGGGGGCAGGTGGCAATGGCATCAGGATTATGGGTAAAGCATAAAAACCCGAGGGGGTATGGGAAATATAAAAACAACGAAGTTTTGCTGCATAAAATATTGATATTCACCACTAGAAAATGTGACAATAATCAGCAGTAATGCCGGAGAAACAAACAGTTATTTTCGCTAAAAGTAATGAGTCCAATCAGGGTTTGATGATTGTTTTATACACAATTACGAGTATTTGATATCTAAGTAAAATCGTTTTTTAATGTCCTTAGGAAAGTGTCAAAAAACATATTTTGAGAAGAATGAGTTCGTTTATTTTTCAGATTTATTTTTCAAAGAGAAAAATTACAATTGAATTGCTAAATTAATAGGTTGTAAACAATGTGTAAACAATTGTAAACAAATTCGTTCCCTCTTCGTTCAACCCCCTCCGTTCAATTTTAATTATTTAAGATTATTTTTTATCTAACGCATAGAAACATATTTAAAAAACAGCAAAAAATGTCACTTATAAATAATTATTTATGACCATTGTCGCTTAATTTATAGCAAAATCATTGACATTTGCACATTCGCGACGCTGTGCCTTTTTATAGATCTTGAATCTTTAAAGCATATCGGTTAAAAATCATACAAAACATATTTCCCCATGTCGTGCGCCTATTCGTTCAACAATTCAACCTTAAACTTTCTCTTGAAAAAATAAATCTTACAGATTTGTTAAATGTTCTAGCAAAATTGGCTACTCCCTCTCCGTTCATTATCCAGTTTTTTTTACAGGCCGCAGGGTCGCCGTAGAAGTTATAACTCGGATATATTTGTTCATTTCTGAGGTCCCCGTAGAAATCAACTGGCTTAACAAGATTGAATCATTATTTGTCAATGTTTCACGATCACTTTTCATTTGATATTACATCCTTGCACTATGAATAACATTTATAAATTGTCCCGATGTAAATAATATGAAAAAAGTATTATTTATCAACAGAAATTTAAAATTTACCGTGCGGCTGCCGTGGGAAATGTGACTGCAAAAGTATGAGAGCGCAGAAATTCCACGGCGAGCGTAGAAATGTTACTGGTCGCAGAAGTGATAGACCGCAAGGTCGCCGTAGGAAATGTGACTGGGTTGTTAATGTCATTATGCAAATTGATCAAGCCTTTCTCATCAGTAGGCCTCTTGGTATTTTGGTGAAGTTTTGAAAACCAATTGCAATGTTGTAGATATTGGTACCAAAATGGCATCATGTTTCCTAAAATGATGACCATTAACATTGCAATCGACAAATCCCATAAGATAAACGGGTGTCTACAAGTCCTAAAAGGATCTCACAAAATGGGGAGAGTAGACCATGTATTGGACGGGCAACTCGGCGTCGAACCCGAGCGCTTGAAACTAGCACAAGGGAAATTCGAAAAGGTGTATGCCGAACTTAATCCAGGTAGAACGTTGAGATTGCACCTTTCATCATATCTGACAAATAATCTGGTCGCGAGATCGCTTGGTTGGAAGAATTAGATGGAGGATTCCAAATTATTTTGTGTACCTCCTTTAAGATACCTTTTAGACCGTATGTATTACATTTGTTTTGGGACAATACAAAAATCCCTGATCTCATATTTAGGATCTAGGACAATCTACCTTTTATACGCATTTCAAAATATCAATTGTAACGAAAAGTAAAACGGGATACATCCGTTATGTTTGGTTGATTCTGGACACAGCGTTTCTCCAGAGGGAAATATTTATGGGAATATGTTGATACTGCTAAAGCTGTACCTATATAATAAAATGTAGGCCTGTAGGCTTTTTCCAATTGAATTGCGTTCTCTATTTGTAGGGGATGCTATATTCTTTGACTGCAACCTGCTGCATTCAAGTTCACCAAATACCAGCGAATTCCGGAGATGGATGCTTGCTATGTGTTTCAACACCAAATCTAATAATCCAGTTAAAGCGCACCATCATCCATTTTATACACCTTTACAAAGGGTACTGTATCCGTTATTGTATTCATATTTACTGTACTGTGTTTTTGGTTTGACATAGAGCGACAATAAAAAGTGCACCTTCTTCAAAATGATTAGGCCTACTTTTGTGATTGTGCTTATAAGCCGTTGGTCATGCATATCAGAATCAATAAATATTATCGCTATTATGACGTGCAAGGACCTGGGGACAATTCGGGAAATGCGGGCTGATCTCAGCTTTGAGCGTTAATCTCTGCCTCATTTAAAAAGCTAACTATGTGTTTTATATACCTTTTTGAAGTATTTTTTATTTGCATTTCAGTGAAATTATTTTTCCTTCAACATTTTGATGGGATCCTACATATTTTTAAAGTTAAATATACCCCGACATCGTCAAATACGCTGTAAGACGTAACACTTTGCGCTTACGGGGCTCGTTGAAATTGGGATAACTTTTGAAATAATGATCAAAATCGCACTAAAATTTCACATTTTATTCAATCGAACATGTGCATTTATGACGTCACAATTGCTTGACGGCTACAGTTCAAATTATCTTAAAACGAACGCTTTTAAAAATTTAAAAATTGTGTAAGGTTTTGAAGGCGAATGGGACGAGCAATAAGTTTACCTTCATTTAACCTTCTAATTTAGGTCTGATTTGAAAGAAAAATTAACTGCACAATAGTGTCATGGTGAAATTTACAAAACAATAACCAGTTTGTCTATTTTGCAAATAATATTAAAATAAGAGCTGGTTTTCGAGACTTGAAAAAATGTGACGCATCGATTTTGTACCACAAATTCCATACGTATCAATATTTACTAACGCCCCAAATGGATTTCTTGACCGTTTTTCAAAATTCAAAAACATTTTAGAAATATTGTCCTCGAGATCTTGCTACCCTGTGAATTTTGTAAAGATTAGATAAGGATAAAGTATTTTATTTTTAGGTTGAGTAAACTTGTAAAAAATGTGACGCTTGTCGTTTTTGACGTTGTAAGGCTGTTTGCGCCCTATACTGCTCATTGTTTTGTTTTGGTTTTTTGACGCCATAATGTTACGCTAATTGTCCCCAGTTTCGTGCGACGTGTATATATGGTTTCATTTTTCTGTCATATTCCTTATTTAAAACAGCAACATTTTAGAGTAATAAATTCTTTTGCACACATGAAGGTTCCCAACTCTGCAATCAAGGCCTGCAAAGATCCTTTGAATATGAATGGGAAAGACTTTTTGGATCCTAAAAGTTCAACGTTGGGTAAGGACAAACATTTTAGGGAAGTTAAGCCACACGTTTTAAAGAGAACGTGCAAACTTTTGATCCTCCAATCCCTCTCTATTATGTTCCCCTACGTAGCCAATAATTGCCACAATAAATATATGGAGCCATATTCAGAACGACGTCATAATTTTTATAACAATAAAAAAGCGCAAAATTCTACTTTTTGCTGTGTTTGCAATGCTGTAATGGCAAGAAAAGAGTTTCAAAAATACCTAATGCCAATTAAGATTAACACAAGTGTGTTTTTAATGAAGATACCTCACTCTTCATAATCTATTGCATCATAAATGGTTGATACAGATGTGCAAATGACTTGTTGACAACAGGTACAAAACACGACGTCATCGCCAGGTTTAACAGAGGACCTGCTTGATCAAGACGTCAAAATAGGTTGTGTGACATTTTATCATGAAAAATGTTTTAATATATAACTTCGGTATCATTGCATCAATCAATTTGAAATTTGGTAGACAAATAGGAAAAAGAAAACGCATATCTAAAATCGAATTAATATTTAACTTTAATTTTGTGGCATTCGTAATGATGTAGACCCCAAAACGTAATTTTAATAATTAAAAATACCCGTTGTGACATTGAGTCATGAAAAATGTTTCATATTTTCACTTTTCCAATTCATCAGATTTTATTTAACGGCTGAAAACCTTTTACCTACCAAGGATCATGTAAGGATCAGTAACTGTAATCTTGGGAATACTTTAGCCAAAAATGAAAATTATCGGTTGGTTATTTTTAAAGATAACCCACTTGGAGAAGGTTTTCTTGTCGTCATTTGTTACGCGTGACGCCTTGGTTTTGACGTCCTGCATAGATATATAAGACTTCAACATGGCAAATATCCTTTCATATTCTCAGAAACAAATAATCACAGCTACGAAAAGACGATTAAAATTCAAAGACGAATACTTTGATATAAGCCATATATATATTTAGAATGAATAGTACAAAGGGAATATCAAAGGATGAGATACGCGAAAATCGCGGAATTATCACGTCGTATTGAATATGGTTTACAGACATTAGGAAAATTTTAATTAGGTTTCTAAAAATCAAGTGAGAGGAGATCAGAAATCAACGAGGTCAAAATCTAAAACACGTCCATTTTCTCAAAACGTATAGCTTAACCTTCTTATTTGATAATTTTAGAAGAGAAAAAAACTCATTGCCGCTTCTATACGATCTTCGCACACTTTAAGTGAAGATAGTCGAGTTTAAAATGCCAATAATTATAAATGGAACAATTCACCAACTTACATAAACGTCAATACTTGAGAAGGTACGTATTTCCAATAATTGGAATCAGAATCGCAATGCAATATCCTGACAGAATGTCAAAGTATGGGTTGTTTATCGTTCAAGTAGTACTGTGTATTCAGAAACAACTTTTATATATTTCTTGTTTCATTTTTTCAGCTGACCAGAATATTACCAAAGAAATAAAGACGTAACGAAATTGCTCGAAACATTTGAACAATGGCGTACTTAAACACAAAAGGTCGACAAGGATTACAAACTAAACATTGTGCAAAATATAGTATACGGAGCGTGAAGAACATGATTATGCAATCTTGCAGATTTTTTAATTGAATTTTCCAACGTGTGTATTTATTTCATTCTTAAACAATTCGATCTCATTTCTTAATTCAACATGTCCTAACCACGGATAGCTTAACACGATATCACATGTAAAAAATAACATGAAATACGACCAAACATGTTCTGCGCGTAGCAACCGAGCATTCATGGATTTTCTGAGGAGCAAGATTATTTTCTTATTGCATTTGTTTACCCGTCGATGCGATATCCGAATTCTGATTTATATACGGAACAAGAGTATCGAGACTTTACTAACAAATTAATTAATATCAAACATTCGTTAGATATCATAGTAATAGCTATATTATAAATAAAATTTACAGGTAACACCAGAATTCTTTATAGTTTTTACTTATAATACTGTAACATACCCATGTTCACCCAATAAGAAACATTCACTAAAAGTAATATTCGGATATTTGATCAAATTACTTAAATAACTTCTCAAACAATTTTATTTTTAGAGATCATCCAGTGCTCGAAAACACTGTGCAATATATTGGGCCCAATATCATGTAGTTTCAAACTTGCCACCCTTATACAAGTCCTTTCTGAATGAAACCACTTATGGTTGACAACGTGGTTATGGAGTTGGGAAAATACATGAACACGCAGTTTGGCATGTCTTGTAAAGAGCATGGTCTATATTTTGAAATCCTATAAACCAGATGGATGTACTCGTAGAAACACTGTTTTCTTCACTCTCACCATCAAGGGTTTATTTTATACCCGGGACTTAGTATATGTACCCAACAAAATGACACGACATTCGTGGCTGCATTAGTAACTTAGCAGTAAATTTTCAAATTTATTAGCTTTATTGTATTTCAATCCCCATCAGGGGTCATATACAAAGCATACAACTAACTACAAACTACTTAAGTACAAAAATGAAATATAAATGTGTAATGCCCACGGATGGTGGGAAGTCCTCCATATATTACTTAGATAGATGGAGGACCTCCCACCATCCGTAATAAAATGAAAAATGAAATATAAATGTGTAATGCCCACGGATGGTGGGAAGTCCTCCATATATTACTTAGATAGATGGAGGACCTCCCACCATCCGTAATAATGCCACTAGACCCACTAGTATATGTGAATAAATACATACAGCAGTATGACACGCTACGTTGGCATTGTTTAACCAGACTCCTCTTTAATATCATTATATGAATTTATAAACATTCTGATACTCAGAGCATCTTTCTGTTTCACCTGAAACATGCTCTGATATTATGAGGCATATTCTGTGATCTGAGCACATCCGATGGGAAAAGTTATAACTGTCAATAAGTGTGATAGTTATCATGTAATCATTTACCTAATGTCAATACATTACATAGTAGGCATTGTATTTAACAGCAGATATTAGCACAGGCACGGTTAAACAAGATTAATGACCCCAATTAAATAAAATATGAGCTGGGATGAAAGATCTCAAAAATCCTCAATTTTGGGCTCTCCTGGATCGCCAATTCAAGCTCATTATGTCATGGCATCTCAGGGCTGAGAAGAAATGAGATGTCATGGTTTATCATGATGATTTATAAAGATCTCGTTGTAACAGCATATTATAATTTGAATTAGATTAAATAAATAAATCTTCATATTTGAGATGGAGTTGTATTTAGGAATTTAACTAAGTATCAGCTTCCCGTGTTGAGAATACAAATCTATTTTTTTCCATTTTCATAATTAATGAAATTCATTCTCCACATATTTGTTATGTTACATAATTATTCGTTTTCAGGTTTGAGTTCTGCTGATTCTACTTTTATCAGTTTTTAAAATCTACGTTCTTCACATTTTTATATCCAAGATACATTATTGCATCATGTAGAGAATGAATTAAGCTGAAATATAGACATTAAAATGGACCAAAAAGCAGTTTAGAATTCTTTATTAGTTGCATTGCTTTTTATTTATTTTATCACATTAGCTATAGATTATTTTTTACAAACATTACATTACACTACATAGCATATCACATTTCATTCCATTACATCATATTACACAACATTACATTACACTGCATTGCATTACAATGCATAGCATATTATATTACATTAAATATCATATTTTATCACATTACATATCATATCATATTATATCACATTACACATCATAACATTCATACATTACATTGCACTACATTGCATTACATTAGATTATGTTACATTACATATCATATTATATTACATTACATAGCATATTTTATCACATTACATATCATATCATATCACATTACACATCATAACATTCATACATTACATTGCACTACATCGCATTACATTATATTATATTACATTACATTACATATCATATTATATCACATTACACATCATAACATTCATACATTACATTGCACTTATACATTGCATTACATTATATTATATTACATTACATTACATATCATATTATATCACATTACACATCATAACATTCATACATTACATTGCACTTATACATTGCATTACATTAGATTATATTACATTACATTACACATCATATTATATCACATTACACATCATAACATTCATACATTACATTGCACTTATACATTGCATTACATTAGATTATATTATATTACATTACATAGCATGTGATATTACATACATGTAAGTAAACACCCCAACACCTAATTAATTTAAAATGTTTTCAGGGATACGTGTGTTAAATACTTCTATGCTCATATTGTGTTTCAAATCCCATATTGAAAAACTTGAAAACCTGTGTTGTAATTTTAAAAACATGGATGACCACCAAAAGACAATTTTTCTATTGACGAGTGAGGGGATCATATTAAAAGAATCTGCTAACATGATAAATTATCTAATGATTGGTAGAGACGGGATTCTTATGTCAAAGTAACATTTTATATGTCATTTGAAGAATGTAATCCTATTTTCTTTACTTTATTGCTATATTTATTACTGTTATTGAAAATTGTATATCGAATGCACGTTTGGCCCTAAAAGGGCATCAGTACTAATAAAATCCTATTATGATATCATTGTCTTCTGTTTTCAAAATCATAGTTAAATGCACAATTGCTAAAATATTTGGAATTTTCAACTGAATCTCAGCCGTTCATGTTTTTATTTATATTCATTCATGGATCAAAATTCATTATTTTTTTTATAGTTTATGACATGACACTAGCGTTTATTGCCCTTTTCTAGACCTTTGCCCCTGGAGTATATGGACGTTCCAGCTTTTGCAAACATACGGAAAAGAACAAACCCATTTGATCAGCTGAACCAAGAAATAACATGGATAAAAAATAATCAATGTGGAAAAGGGATTACCATTCCCTAATAACACCAGCCAGCCAGGGGTGTCCAAATACCAATCAGCTTTGTCCGCCATTGACATCCCGATGGGTGCACGGAGAGCTAGTCGAAGTACAATAGACGTAAGTGACTGGCGGTCGAGAGTGAAGAAACAGCGCAACTGGCCAAACAGACAATGAGTCTACGCATCTTCGGAACTTTAAGTATCGATCATTGGCGCCATTTGACCTTCATTGATGACAGTCGATATCTCACAAATAAGCTCAGTGGGCAAACTGTCATTTGAATACTTATAAGAAAAAGAAGCCTGGATAATGTACACACTGCTCCATATGGCCTATGTTTGGTCCTCGTTAGGCGGGTCTCTTTTAGAGAATAGGATGATACTAAACTTCAAAGATCGAATCGTCACAATCGTCGCCTATCGTGTCCCGACTCTGTAATCCTATAGAGGTTGACCATGGAAGGAATATATGGTACAGATGGTGATGATGGATTATTCATCAATTCACAGTGGCCCTCATATTTTCCGGACTAACGTTTAATCAAGATCATTTTGGCTCAGTGGGACTGTATTACTCGTAACAAATCCCTCTTTTCAAATGCAGGCCCAGATGAATGAGGGCCTTGGCCTAGCCCCTGAGGTCACATTAGCTTTTAATCGTTTTATCAGTTGGAAAACATTAGCTGACATTTTGCTACAGTGTATAAGTCACAAGCCTGATTGAGTCTAATATATGTTCTGTTTCAGGCTAGTATTCTATTCAAGGAATCCAAGGGTTCGTTCTAGCGACCATAGCCATCGCTATAGTAATAATATGTTGACTGTTTGTATGCATCCGAGGTGTAGTACACGCCGAGGGCAATCGCTATAATGATGACTGCAATGGCTATTCCGCATAGGCTTATCGCCAATGATATTTTCCCAGTTCTCCTCGCGCCATCAAAATCCCCGTTATCAGCTGAGGAGCTCGACTGCACGGAAAGTACGATAGCAGGGATTCCTGGAAATAACAATTGATTTAGCTTAAAAAACGGTTGTAGTTTATGGTAAAGCAAGACTCGGCGAGTCTTCTGTAGTTGGTTCCCCGGACAGGTTGAATGATGCAGTCATGTTTTTACTCTATATTTGCAATGGAACAACCATTCTTATTGGAATTTTCAAGATTTATTCTAGAAACAATTTCAAACATGGAAATCAAATATCTCATCAATATTCTAAATTTTATGATTTTGATAGGCTTGTTTCAAAAACACTTCACTATCAATAAAATACAGCTTTTTGACTGAACAATTGAACTTTAAACGTCATTTCAAATAATGTTTATTTTTAACATAGGAAATCCTCACTACAACATATTCTAAGACTAATTATTTATTGACAAAACTATAACGATAAATTGTATTTACATACCGAAAAGTATATTGCAGCATAAGCATGTAAATATAGCCAGGCACAAATAGCTGGACGGTCTTGGCTGTGTTTGCTGTATGATAGTTGTCTGAGTGGGTCCTGGCTGAACCACTACCGGTTGAGGGCCAGGGTTGTAGTTATTGTAGACTACATTCTGGAAATTAGCAGGAGATGACGGCTGGTATGCTGCCGGAGGAGGTGGCTGGTATGCTCCTTGAGGAGGTGGCTGGTATGCTTCTGGAGGAGGTGGCCGGTTTGGTGCTGAGGGAGTTTGTTGTCCAGCATACCCGTGCTGCTGATTTGGATCATATTTTTCTTGCATCGTGTTTATTTCTCCCCTCTGATAAGAAAAACAAATCGACAATTAGTTATGTATGTATGTATGTATGTATATCTTTATTGCCCTTTATGAAAAGGAGATACATGTATACAGTGTACAATGAAAATAATGCTGATATAAACAACCTTTCACATTCTCAGAAACAAAAAATCATAGCTACGAGAAGACGATTCAAATTCAAAGACGAATACTTTGATATAATATAAGCCATATATATATTTAGAATAAACAGTAAAAGGGAATCTAAAACACGTTCCTTTTTTAAAAACGTATAGCTCAACCTCCTTATTCGGTAATTTTAGAAGAGAAAAAACTCATTGCCGCTTCTATCCGATCTTCGCACACTTTTAGTGAAGATCGTCGCGTTTAAAATGCCAATAAATGAACAATTAACCAACTTACATAAACGTCAAGACTTGGGAGGGTACGCATTTCCGATTATCTGACTGATTTAAATATGGATTGGAATCGGAATCGCAATTAAAGTAAAGGTTGTTTATCGTTCAAGTAGTATTGTGTATTGAGAAACAGCTTTTATATATTTCTTGTTTCATTTTTTCAGCTGACCAGAATATTACCAAAGAAATAAAGATGTAACGAAATTGCTCGAAACATTTGAACAGTGACGTACAAGGTCGACAAGGATTACAAACTAAACATTGTGCAAAATATAGTATACGGAGCGTGAAGAACATAAGTATATACACAATCTTGCAGATTTTTTAAATTAAATTGTCGAACGTGTGTATTTCATTCTCAAACAATTCGATCTTATTTCTAAATTCAACATGACCCTTACAACGATATCACATGTGAAAAAACGAACTAGCAGGTTCTGCGCGTAGCAACCGAGCATTCATGGATTTTCAACGGAGCAAGATTGTTTTCTCATTGCATTTGTTCACCCGTCAATGCGATATCCGTAGGGTTTGTGTAAAAAACCGGATGACCGGGTACCGGGTACCCGGTCGACCGGGTACCTAACGTTCCTAGCAGGGTTACCAACTTTCAAAGTTCCAGATTTCCCCCGATATATAGTAGCGAATTGACTTGACAGACTTAGCCTACCGAGTGCACTGCTGTTCGATATTTTTACCCTATACGAGACAGAGCACTTTTTAAAATAATCGATCCAGCAAACAGTGACGTCCATGTCACGTTGCTCATAAGTAGCATATAAGTTCCTAGAAGACGTTGCACATTTTCGTTCTTTACACATCGAGGCAACGTAAACATGAGACATCTATTGATGGTATAAAAAGAACGTTGTTGTAACGTGTACGTAAAGTTCGTTAGTGTGGAAAACATAACAAACAGGAACGTTTGATTTTTTACTACATTGGTCCATATTTGACGTAACTCAAACGTTAAAATTCAACGTTGTCAAAACAGGCTTTTAATATCAAAATATTTGTTGGTGGAAAATAACATGACAAAAACGTTGTGTTCTCACTAAGTCGGTTCATTTCCGACGTATTGTTAACGTTAAAAATTTAACGTTGTCGAAACGTTTTTTTCGATTTGAAATAACCTCAAAACGTGACGTTCTTGGACCGTATTGATGTATTGATCTGACGTTATTTAAATATTCAGCAAAACGTCGATGGATGGTTGAATTTCAACATTGTGGAAATGGCTTCAAAATATTTGTGAGTTAAGGAAACGTGACAAAGACGTCAATATGTTCTCACTAAATCGGTTCACTACCGACGTTATTTTAACGTTAAAAGTCAACGTTTTGAAAACGTTCTTACGATGTGAAATTACCTCAAAACGTGACGTCGAAAATAACGTACATGTATCGTCCAGATCCAACGTTATAAATAAAAAAATTCCTAACCCTGCTTGGAACTTTAAGTACCCGGTCACCCGGTTACCCGGTCACCCGTTTTTTTACACAAACCCATATCCGTATTCTGACTTTATATACAGAACAAGAGTATCGAGACTTTACTTACAAGTTCATTAGATATCAAAGTAATAGCTGTATTATAAATAAAATGTACACTGTAAAACGTAACTCCATGCATGTTCACCCAATAAGAAACATTCACTAGAAGTAATATCTCGAAATGCTTAGTAATAGATCAAATAATTTAAATCACTTCTCAAGTAATCATTTTATTTCTAGAGATCACCTGTGCAATATATTGGGCCAAATATCATGTAGTTTCAAACTTGCCACCCTTATACAACTCCTTTTTCTGAATGAAACCATTTATGTGGTTGACAATGTGGTTATGGAGTTGGGCAAATACATGAACACGCAGTTTGGCGTTGTCTTGTAAAGAGCATGGTCTATATTTTGAAATCCTATAAACCAGATAGTATAAATGTATAAATAGTTAAATACTGTTTTCTTCACTCACACCACCAAGAGTTTATTTTATACCCGGGACTTAGTATATGTACCAAACGAAATGACACGACATCCGGGGCTGCATTAGTAACTTAGCAGTATGACACGGTACATTGGCATGGTTTAGCCAGACTCCTCTTTAATATCATTATATGAATTTATAAAGATCTCGTTGTAACAGCATATTATCATTTGAATTTGATAAATTAATAAATCGTCACATTTAAGATGGAGTTGTATTTGGGAATGTCATTATTCTCTTCCTGTGTTGAGAATACAAATGTTTTTTCCATTTTCATAAATAATGAAATTCATTCTCCACATATTTGTTATGTTACATAATTATTCGTTTTCAGGTTTGGGTTCTGCTGATTCTACTTTTATCCGTTTTTGAATTCTATATTCTTTATATTTTTATATCCAAGATACATTATTATTGCATCATGTAGAGAATGAATAAAGCTGAAATATGTCCCATTAAAATAGGCCAAAAAGTAATTTAGAATTCTTTATTAGTTTCATTTATCTTTATTTATTTTATCACATTAGATTATTTTAACATTTCATTACATAACATTACATTACACAGCATAGCATATCATATCTCATTACATCACATCATATTACACAACATTATATCACACTGCATTACATTACACTACATAGCATATTATATTTCATTACATTACATCATATTACACAACATTACATTACACTACATATCATATTATATTACATTACATATCATATTATATTTTATCACATTACACATCATGACATTCATACATTACATTGTACTACAATTGATTACATTAGATTATATTACATTACATATCATATTTTATTACATTACATATTATATTATATCACATCACACACCATAACATTCATACATTACATTGCACTAGATAGCATTACATCAGATTATATTACATAACATAGCATGTGATATTACATAAGTAAACACCCCGACACCTAATTAATTTATAATGTTTTCAGGGATATGTGTCTTTAAATACTTCTGTGCTCATAATGTCTTCTATTTTCAAAATCATAGTTAAATGCACAATTGCTAAAATATTTTGAATATACAGCCGTTCATGTTTTTATTTATATTTATTCATGGATCAAAATTCATTTTTTTTTTTTATATAGTTTATGACATTACACGAGTGTTTATTGCCCCTTTCTAGACCTTTGCCCTTGGAGTATATGGACGTTCCAGCTTTTGCAAACATACGGAAAAGAACAAACCCATTTGATCAGCTGAACCAAGAAATAACATGGATAAAAAATAATCATATTATGTGGAAAATGGATTACATTCCCTAATAACACCAGCCAGCCAGTGGTGTCCAAATACCAATCAGCTTTGTCCGCCATTGACATCCCGATGGGTGCACGAAGAGCTAGTCGAAGTACAATAGACGTAAGTGACTGGCGGTCGAGAGTAAAGAAACCAAAAAACAGCGCAACTGGCCAAACAGACAATGAGTCTGTCTAGTATCTGCGGAACTTTAAGTATCGATCATTGGCGCCATTTGACCTTCATTGATGACAGTCGATATCTCACAAATAAGCTCAGTAGGCAAACTGTCATTTGAATACTTATAAGAAAGAAGAAGCCTGGATAATGTACACACTGCTTCATATGGCCTATGTTTGGTCCTTGTTAGGCGGGTCCCTTTTAGAGAATAGGATGATATTAAACGTCAAAGATCTAATCGTCACAATCGTCGCCTATCGTGTCCCGACTCTGTAATCCTATAGAGGTTGACCATGGAAGGAATATATGGTACAGATGGTGATGATGGATTATTCATCAATTCACAATGGCCCCCATATTTTCCGGACTAGCGTTTAATCAAGATCATTTTTGGCTCAGTGGGACTGTATTACTCGTAAGAGTGCCCATCTTCCCCAAACTTAGGGTGATTTTCGGCTCACAGTCGTGCAGAAGTGCACATCCCTCTTTTCAAATGCAGGCCCAGATGAACGAGGGCCTCGGCCTAGCCCCTGAAGTCACATTAGTTTTTAATCGTTTTATCAATTGGAAAACATAAGCTGACATTTTGCTACTTTAGTGTATAAGTCACAAGCCTGATTGAGTCTAATACACGTTCTGTTCAGGCATGTATTCTATGGAATCCAAGGGTTCGTTCTAGCGACCATAGCTATCGCTATAGTAATAATATGTTGACAGTTTGTATGCATCCGAGGTGTAGTACACGCCGAGGGCAATCGCTATAACGATGAGTGCAATGGCTATTCCGCTTAGGCTTATCCCCAATGATATTTTCCCAGTTCTCCTCGCGCCATCAAAATCCCCGTTATCAGCTGAGGAGCTCGACTGCACGGAAAGTACGATAGCAGGGATTCCTGGAAATAACAATTGATTTAGATTATAATACAGGTGAAAAAACGGTTGGAGTTTATGGTGAAGCAAGACTCGGCGAGTCTTCTGTAGTTAGTTCCCCGGACAGGTTGAATGATGCAGACATGTTTCTACTCTATATTTGCCATAGAACAACTATTCTTATTGAAATTTTCAAGATTTATTCTCTAGAGACAATTTCAAAATTCCCAATTTTATGATTTTGATAGGCTTTTTTTCAAAAACACTTCACAATCAATAAAATACAGGTTTTTGATTGAACAATTGAACTTTTAACGTCAATTTAAATAATGTTTATTTCTAACATAGGAAATCCTCACTACAGCATATCCAAGACTAATTATTCATTGACAAAACTATAACGATAAATTGTGTTTACATACCGAAAAGTATATTGCAGCATAAGCATGTAAATATAGCCAGGCCCAAATAGCTGGAAGGTCTTGGCTGTGTTTGCTGTATGATAGTTGTCTGAGTGGGTCCTGGTTGAACCACTACCGGTTGAGGGCCAGGGTTGTAGTTATTGTAGACTACATTCTGGAAATTAGCAGGAGATGACGGCTGGTATGCTGCCGGAGGAGGTGGCTGGTATGCTCCTGGAGGAGGTGGCTGGTTTGGTGTTGAGGGAGTTTGTTGTCCAGCATACCCGTGCTGCTGATTTGGATCATGCATCATGTTTATTTTTCCCCTCTGATAAGAAAAACAAATCGACAATTAGTTATACATTGACAATTTATTGTGCATTCTTGACATTGACAAATTATTGTGCATTCTTGACATTGACAATTTATTGTGCATTCTTGACATTGACAATTTATTGTGCATTCTTGAGATTGACAATTTATTGTGCATTCTTGACATTGAAAATTTATTGTGCATTCTTGATTCACTGTTGACGCATAACCCACTGCTGACGTTAATTAGCTAGTCTTCATAAACGATCATCGAAATATAAAAGAAACATTTTGTTCACCAATGCTCTTGCGATATGTACGTATGTTTTACGATAACTCACGACTGTTCTTCTCATTACAGAACAATACAACTTCATTAATGAAAATATGTATGCACATGTTCGACTTGGACATTGGAACACCAAAGAGCATTCCAAAACACAGCAAGAAAAAGAAACACGTATAAGCACACTGGCGGATCAAGAAGCAAACAAGGGAGGGGGGCAAAGTCATAAAAAATGTCCGCGCGTGCGCGGAAAACATTTTTTGGCCAATGAAACTAATAATTGGGCCGAAAGTTTGAGGACCATTTTTAATGATTTGGCCTAAAAAAAGTTATGACCAGAAAAGCCCATTGTTTGAGGCCCTACAAAAAGATGGGGCCCTAGAAATGGGAGCCCTAAAACCGTTTTCTGGGTTCACAATGGGGGAGGCATGGATCCGCCAGTGAATCACTAGTCATTTGAAAAGTTAGCCACCATTCCAATTCAAGCTAACTCACTTAGAGACACTGTTCAACTACAGTACCATTCAGAAATCATCATCGCAACCCTTTAATAAACATCTGAAGTAAAAAAGAACCTTACTATTCATTTGCCGAGGGATTTTCTCCAAAGCCTGGAAGATGTTTTCTCATATGACTATCAATTATATAGCCATCTTTACCCCTCTTGCAAGATGAGATCTACTTGTGACATCACTGGTTTATAAACTTCAACAACATGACAACCGATACACCGTTGCTATGAGTATCTATGCTCATTCTACAAAACTAAGCTGTGGTGGCATGCCGATTGAACTTTTTTGCCATGCGAATTTGAAGCTATTTTTCACTAAAAAATCATAAAAAATGTAAAAACTATTTCATAATACTATAATACTTACTTGTACAGAGCCATACATGTATGAGAAAAACTTTCTTGTACTCGTACCTGTGCAATATCATCCATTCTTGACTCGCTTTGATAATGTTTGTACAGATACTCATACAAGAACGTCTACTCTATATCTACATGAAATGTAGCTTGACTTCATTTCCAATGTTTCCATATTTTCAGAATTTTTTCCTCAATGGGAGCAAGGACTCGTATAGATGGCAGTTAACTACTAGGTCACTACATTTATCAAATATCTATAAAATTTCCCTTCATTATTATTTACAAACACGTTTTAAGATTCAAAATCATAAGGTTTTGGATTTTTCAATAAAATTTATCTTGGGAAATTTTTGGAGCAAATTTTAGATGTTCGAGCATCCTGTTAAACCAACTGAATTTTATGCCATCTATTGACAGTCCTGAAGGCCATAAAAATAGGTCGAATATTTATGATAAAGGATAGGTATCGATATCGAGAACTGAATTCAATAATGTTTTTCTCTTAAACCAATCATTGAAAACATTCTGTAAAAGAACATGGTATTTTATGTAATGTTGACAACAATTTAATGCGAAAATTATTTAGAAATATTTCATATAATTATTTTTGTTAACATTTTTTGTTTTTTTAGTGCTTTTGTTTTTGCTCCTTTCTACCAATTCTTGAAAATGAAATAAAACGTCTTTCCGAACCTTGTTGGAACTAAATAGCATATACAACATGTTTTAGACTTCTCAATATTAAAGTTATACAAAGGAATCTTTGGTTGATTATAAAAAAGTATTCAAAAAATTAAAACAAAATCCCCCCAAAATAGATAAAAATCAAGAAAAAACTTTTATTTCATTAACAAGATACTTTTTTAAAATCAACCAAAATTTCCTTTGTACAATTACAATATTGAGAGACCTAAACATGTTGTGTTTATCTCGTTTTGTTCCAATGAGGTTCGGAAAGATGTTTCATTTCACTCTGGAAACATGATACCAAGAACAAAACAAGTGTTTGATGTGTTTTTTAAAACAATATAGATGAAATTATGTATATCTATTTCAAATTATATCGTTACCATTCAAAAGATGGCCATTAAATTGACAATTTGTACGATTTTCAAAAATTTTTGATGACTGGTTTAAGAGAAAAGTGTGTTCAAAAAGTTCGCCATATCGATACCCATTCTTTGATGATTTTTTGAAAATCGTTATTCCCATCTAAATTCAAACATAAAGAGGCTTTGTGGAGTTGAAACCAAAAAAGAGCTGAATCCCCGATTTTACCCCATAATAATGGACGCCATTTTGAAACAAGGCAAGCTTTTGAGACGCCACTTATGGAACAATTGACAACCTTATATAGACACATTATAAAAGTGAAAGAGTTCCATCTTGTTGAAAACCAAAATTTACTTGTTATCCAGTTGAAAATATGTGCCTTGCCAAAAGAACGTTTTCGTCTATTCCTTCGTTCAATTTTATTCCGGGCTGTTAAAAATAATTGTCCTTGTTTTTCTGATGATGGTTTCCGGGTTTTCAATTTTGTATCCGGGTTAAGGAGTAAAACTCCGGGTTACCCTGATAAAATTCCGGGCAGAGAATAATTATTATTGTATTAACTTTTTGTATTTTTAACCATTTGTTTTTTACAGGTGAGGATGGTGAGATTTTCATAAATCCCTTAATCGTATGAGTCGTCGCCTTTTTTCAATGAACATCATGATCCACGTACACCAAACCATGATTGCTCATGTATCGTTTACAAAGGGACATTATTTTCACAAAACTAAATGCCATTGCTGGCTTTTTAAAGTTACTTTTCAAAAACATCCAGTTTCTTTATAAGTTACTAAGTTCATATTGTTATATCTTCAGTTTTTAAACAAAACATAATGTACATTTCCACTTATTTTGGGAAATCACCCAGGCACGTAGTTCAAATTCAAAATAAATCTCCTCGTTCAGTTAGTTGGCACTTAATCAAAACATCGTCTTTTTTATTACACCCAGATCATTTATGTTTGAATTCATCAATGAATAAAAACAAAGATTTAATAAAAACCCATACAGATAGATAGATGTGCCGGAATCTATTCGTTACATCACGGTATGTAACCGTTACGTTAAACGACAATGTGGCAACGAGGATGTGAAATTTATTTCAAAATGGGAACAGCCTATAACTGTCATGTATAATATCATAATATCATGTATATGTCAAGTGACATGAAATGAGTCATCTATTCATTACATTAAAATATGCCTCGGTTCGCAAGTTTACTTTTACGGGGAATGTGTTCCTCCAGGGGTTTTAAAGATATCAATTATGGGTGACCAAGATTAAGCTGAAAGCAATGGATCGCATGAGCTGTCCCTATGGGAAAATAACATGAGAAATATTGTTTTCCACTTTATCTAAAAGGAATGCATTATTCCTTTTAAGGGGTTAACTGTGTCTCAAAACGCAACATATTGATGCAACAAAAAATTGAAAAAGCAGGTGTGGAAATTAGGACATCTCCGAAGAAACATGTGGGTGATTTGTGTGCACATTCCCTGTCTCAAAGTCCAAATTATCTTATCATCTTTAATCTTCTGAAATCTGCTGCAATACTTTCCTTCGCAATGTAAGTAAAGTAAAGAAAATTAAGTCCTATTATCCCTATTGATTAACTTATGAAGGGGAGTGTAGCAGGGTGAAATTAAAATTGCCTACAAACTTTCGAAGGAAGTGTTATGGGATGAACTTAATTACATACGCGAGCAAAAGTCAAAATTGTGCTGTCAACATACACACACATAATTAAAAGCTTATTTTGTAAAGTTTATGCGAATGTTCAAGGTGAGCAACGAGGATGTAAAATGCTCAGTAAATAGTACTATACAAATGAACCAATAGGAACGTTGAAGCAGTTAACCTAGTCTAAAAAGACATAAAAAGTCCTAAATAGAGACGAGAATGAAATTAATGAAAGTCTGAAAAAGCCTCGTATATACAATAGACTTAGTTCTCTTTATTTGAAAATTTCTCAGGTTATGCAAAATGAGGGCACACATCAAAATTCTGGGTTTAACTAATATCCTCGTTTTAGGAAGAAAATACTGTTTCTATGGCTATTTATGTTTTTGTTAGGCATGACAGTACTTCAGATGTAAATCAAAATAATTAATTAATTTCTACTGTTCAAAGAGGTATTTAGTTTTAGAAAACGCGCGATGTTTTAAGGATTTAAATGTTCAAACTATTCACTATTTAAGTTTATCCAATGTTTTAAAGTCATATTTTTATGAAATCCAAATTTCCAAAATGCCGAAAGACATGTTGCAAACTCCTAGATTTGAACAGGTGTTGGTGTACTATCTTCGCTTATCCCCTATACTTCTTTCAATTCTTTTTGATATTGTATGATATTGTATCTGAGAAACAGAGTTTCATTGTATTTTGTAAAAAAAGTAGATTAGCGAATTATTTATCACGGAGATCGAAACTATGGAAATATTCTCAAAATGACATCCGACAGGTAATTGCATTTTAAAAATCTGTATTTTGACTTTCATAATTTTAAATCATGAAAGGAGATCACTATTGAATTCTGGTTTCAGATTTGGGAGAAAATCTTGAAAGAAATCTCTCATCGTAAAACAAAATATGATAATAAAAAGTACTTACTTTTGTTTAGTAAATTAGAAATTATCAAGTCCAGACGGTACGCGATGCCAGCTATGATCAAAACAATTTAAGTGTTCACTAGCAACGTGGCATATCAGAATGCTAGATGTGCATAGAGAAAATCACACACCAGATGATAACGATAAATTATATGACAGGCTGTAACAAAAAGAAGACACAAATAACTTTCCCAAATGAATGGGTCGTCGTATCTTGGTTTAAAACTGCATGAATGTCAACAACTATTATAAAGTTCTAAAGTTATTTTAAGTTAATGTATTTTACGTCAACCTTTTATATTGTTCATTTTATCTTATATGTCCATTATATAACTTTTAGTGTATACTTTAGCCTATCACGAGGAGAAATTATATTGTCTTCACCTCGCAAACAGTTTCGTATAGCTAATGCCGTGGTGGATGTATTCCCTATGCCAAACTTGTTTATTTGTAGGTTATTTGAGTTTAATACTGATTAATAAATTGTAGTAATTGTAACTTGCTATTGTTTTTTTTAGGTTATTGTTATTTATTTCTATATAATTCAACATAATTATTTACATAGATTGTGAGGGGCCGAGGCTACGTAGCATTATTGGCCCCCCTCTAGAAAGTTAAAAACATATAATAAATCACTGTGTAGGATTGAAACGGACAGACGGTCGTCCACCAGGTCTTGCCCATGATGATGTATATGAGTGTTAATGAGAGATGATGTGAAATGAGGAGGATGGTCATTCTAAGATGTTATCGATATAATTTGAAGATAGTTGAAGGCATTTTGTATTCAGTTCACTATTTAAATTTTCATCAAAATAAAGTATAAATTCTATTTTTTGCTTTCTGGATTTTCCAGATAGCACATAATATCAAGATTATCTAACTTTAGGTTTTGTTCTGTATGTAATCATTTCTATGTATGGCGGTTAGAGGGCAGTCGAGTAAAAGATGAATCTTATCTTGATCTCGGTGGCCACAGGGGCAAGAAGGATCTATGATGTTGTTGGAATTATGTCTAAAAAGTCACTTTTAAGGGCAAGGTCGCTTCTTATTGTATTAAGTTTAGTTTCAGAAGACCTTTCCAAATTAAGATTTTTTGTTAAAATATTCTTTTTATGAAATGTATATTTCTTATTATAGTTCTTCTTAAAGATTGCTTACCCTTTGCATTCGTTTGACTTCACTTCTTAAAAGAGAGCTTCGTTTAACTAGACTCTGCACGCAGGGTAAAGATTTCTAGGGTTGGCGATGTTTTTATTTCAGTTGAAAGATTTTTCCAAATGGAGATAGGCTTTATGGCTGGTGAATTTAGGTATTTTACAGACGCTCTCACGGGCAAAACATATTCTCTTCTGGAGCGGAGTTCCCTCCTTTCGGCACCAGGATTGGACAGTTTTTCATATATAGAGACTACATAAGAGGGGGTCAAATTTGATCGGACAGAAACTATTAGGGCTGCTCTATAATGGAGTTTGTCTAGTTGTTCCAGAGCATCTTGCTATGCCGAACCATAGATTAAAGAGCCGTATTCGATTTTTGAGAGGATGAAAGAAGTGTACATTGTTCCAAGATGTTTTGAGTTTACTCTCATTTTCATTGCTGATAGGGGATTTAGTAGTTTGTCAATTTTTGCTCGGACTTCGTTTATATGAGTTTTAAAGTTTAAGTTTTTATCAAGAGTTACGCCTAAATGTTTATGTGAATCCACTCGGTCAATTGAATTGTTATTAAGTGTCAAAGTTGGATATGGCCTTTCAAAGACGGTTTCTTTACAAAATATTATCTCTTTTGATTTCGAAGGCTTGAAGTTCATTTTCCAAGTTTGGGACCATTTAAAAATATCGTCAAGATCTTTTTGGAGGATTTCGTGAGTGTTCTGAATTGGATTATCTCTAGGTACAGGTAAGTAGATGGAGGTGTCGTCTGCATAGATGTAAGATGTTGAGTCAATTACTTCCGGTAAATCATTTATGTATAATAAGAAAAGGATTGGCCCAATTTGGCTCCCTTGAGGCACCACTGTTTATGTAATTGTCTTCTGATAAATTTGATAAGATTCCGTTTACTCTAGTTTGAACTTTTCGATTTTTAAGATATGAGATTCAAAGTGTCAGCACCAAAACTATTGCTATTGTGTATTTTTCTTTGCCCATATAAATTAGCCTTTCTTAGAAATATTATTATTATTTTCTGTGACCATGCCACGTCTTATAAAGCTTTTTTGTTTATGTTGGTATATGCGAATTTAGTCATTTTCTGTTCAATATCCAGAACCAAAGGAAATTTTGTTATCCTTGATAGACTGTTGCATTTTATCGAGTTTAAAAAAGTATTAAAACTTTAAAAGGGGACATGCCATTAAGAGGCCATTCTCTGACGTCATTTTTCAAAAAGTTTGAAAATAAAAAAATTCATGAAAAGTTCTTAAAATATTCTGAATAACAAGTTGAATATATATATTTAATGATGGCACAAGCAAAAGTCTGACAATTAACATGAAATGAAGGGTTTTGACAGATGCAAAAGATGGTAGATTTGTGATGAAGAAATAGAGGTTTTTGCAGTAACAACACAATTACCTCGAACTTATCCGTTATGAGAGGCTGAGGACTAAACTTGACATGATTTTCAATCTCAGATTATCAGTAGTATCTAACTTAAGCTGGACAGCCACTCAAAATGTATATGGAGCCCATAAGATTCATTTTTCTCAATTGAAGTCACTATTTCTGTTTTTAGCTTCAGAGGATAGGAGGTACATGAACATGCTAAGTTTACCTAGATCACAAGCCTTACCACAAATATAAAGTATATAGGAATAGAGTTGATATGTGTGAAAGCCTTAAACTTCCCATTTTATTGGGGATGGAACTTGTGGACCATGTGTATTTCTAACTTCTTCACATGTGCATGGATCTAAAATTGTGGCAGCCATCTTGGATTTGTCATATTATATGGACATGGTTTTGGTTGTGCTGAATTTGTTTCAAAATAACATTTCTTGTATACCTTCGATAAGTGAGATAGGCATTTAAAATTAAATACAGATAGTATACTTGACATTTTATGCAGTAAACAGTAATACAATTCATTCTTACATAATAAGTGAGTCCAGACAAAAAGTTGTTATTGTGTTAGTTTAACTGGGCATAAATTACACTCATTGGCCTTGGTTTTCTTAATTGGCTTGGATAAAATGTTGTTCTGTTTATTCAGAAAAGGAGTATAGTTCAATATACAAGTTCACATTCGTTCCATCCTCTTGTAGAAATGAATCTCATATTATTTCATCTCAAATATAGAACACAAAAATATAATAAAAAACAAGTTTCTATTAATTGCAAAAGTTAGCTTCTATGTCATGACTGAGTTTGGGTTCCTCTTAGACATCCATCTGGAAATATCGTATTGACAATTGCTATACACTCCATATTTAATCCTCCTAGTAAATAACATTGATATACAGTATACAAGTATATATGACATCGAGGATCTGGGGTTTGGGTAATGTGAGACATGAGGCCACTTGTCTTTTTGAATCTCATATTCAATATTCTTTCTTTAAACCCTCATATTTAATATTTTTGGAGTGATAATTCAATTATGTACCTATTTTTTATTCTTTATCCCATAGTTGAACTCTGTTCCACTCTGTTAGGTAACATGAAAACATATTTATGATATTTTGCAAATGCGTGGAAAAAGTGATATCTGTGGAATACGGAAAATTTTTCACAGATATCATCTTTTGGCAGGGATTTGAAAACTACCACCAATATGATGTGTTTTGTTACATAGTGATTTCATGACATCACGGGGATGAATGAATGAATGGATGTTGTTTTGATATGCTTTGTTTAGTTTTAGAGGTGAACTATGGGAAAAATAGAACATCCTATGAATTTTCGTGATATTGTGTTAATCCAACTCATTGATATCAATATCTGCGCTAACCACATTCTCATATGTTATATAGTTTGGCACAGGCCATCATTTATTTTCCTTGAATTCATGCTTTTGTTTCTCGTTTTAGAAATGAGAGGAAATCTTTGATTTTCCTTGTATTTAAGTTGCTTAAATGTTGCCCTGTGATGTTGATAAAAGTCAATAGTAATCCATTACAGTCATTGCTAGCCCAGAACCTACCAAAATAGCATTTGCATTTTGTCAATATTGCCCTATGTGCTTTTCCATGAAAATAATTTTAATCGTATCTTTTCTTCAGTATTTCATATATTACATTTTAATATATTTAAATTGGTTAATATTTATATACTATTTACTTAGACAACAATAAATAAAGATTTTTTTGTAAAAACACCACATATGGTATATGATCTTTAAATGACTGGTGTGTGAACATCAAAGGTCAAAATTCGCTGAAATTGTATTTTTATAAAGCACAAATGATTTTTCTTCTATATGATATGCATTATTATCAGATATCTTTGGGGGCTAAAAAGGGCCCTTAATGACACCCGTCCTTTGTTTTGTTTGTTATTGATTCTTAACATCAACCCCATTTTCAGTTCCCAAGAATTGCATGATATCAATAATTCCATAATCGTACACTACCTATTCTGTTATTGTATTGTATTGCCAAAATGGGAGAATTGTCTGTGAGAGGGATGAACTATGTATTTAATTCACTAGTCCGGATTCTAGATTATATCGAGTGTATCAAAAATGAGCTACTACTTATGGCATTACCAAAAAGTGGTGACATATTCTGGTGGTCTCCGTTTTTTACGGCGGTTTGAGGTTGGTGGTTGGCGGTTGGTGGTCGGCGGTTGGCGGTTGGCGTCTAAAACAAATTCTTACAACTTCCAATAACTTAACAAATACTGATTATATCTCAACAGTTCAAATCTGACTATAGATTTGACCTTCAAGGAATTCTCAAGGTCAAAAAAGATTTGACCTAAAATGACATTCCCATGGTCCAAAAGGTCTTCTTCATCTTGCTTCATCTGTCAACTTCCAATAATTTAACAAATATACTGTATAGATTGACTTCAATTTTTTCAAAATCATCTATCTATATGGTTTCAGAAGTTCAATTCTGACTTCATGTTCAAGATTTGACCTTCAATGACCTTTTAAGGTAAAAA